GATACGAACAAAAAGTTAGCTCAATTTAAGTTCAACATATTTCTATAGTAAAAGGTCCAATTCATGACGTTCTTAGAAAATTTAATCCCAGACCTTATTCATGAAGTTTTAAACTCAAATATTTTGTGAAGCTTCCTGTTCTTTCAGAGCTCAGGCTTAGTTATCAAACTATGAAAAGCCTACATTATTAAAAGATGCAGGGGCAGATCCAGGAATTTTTGCAGGAGGGGGTGTGCCAGGTTCCTGAGAAAATGTATCTCCCTTCCCCCCCCCCCTCGGCTTGAAATTTTTTGAGAAATAAATGGTCTCTATTGTCATTTTGGCGTATATACATACACATTGAGCTTTTTAAACAGAGAAATCCAACATATATCCAGTTTGACGTCATTTTTTAATATGAATTAATATAATGAGATTGTGATTCAATTTAATTTTTGATGCAAATCATTAATTTTGATATCACATATATCATTATCTCGCACTTTGAGTGCCCATCCGGTCGCACCATCTGACGATAAAGGATAAAGCACAATTATGATACTTTTCTCACAAAAAACGTTGTTTTACAAAAGGTTGTTTTACAAAAAAAATTTTATGTAGCTGAGCAGGGACCCCCCCTCCCCCCCAAACCCCCCCTCTGGATCCGCCCCTGAGATGAAATATTAGTTTAGTAAGAAATTTTACATACAATATACATGATAGATTGCATATAGCAGCTTATTGTAGGCTACATGCCAGGCAATTATGTCTCTTATCTAGATAATACTAAGTTTTTGTTAGGAAATGATCACACCACCAGTTTAGTTTAGAATAATTGAAATACCATGCTAACAAGCCATCTGGTTTTAAATGTAGCACTCTCATTCTCAACACTTCATACCAAATATTGTTTTAAAACATGTCATAAATGGCCAAGATATTATTGAAGGTGTTGAGAATTTATAGCATTTGTTTCTGGCTATTTATTTAATTCTTCAAACATCTGTCGAGATAAATAGATTTACCCGTTAAATATTGGGATTTAAAACAACTTACATATGTAAATAAATGTGCATATCTGAAAACAGTAAGGTCCTGGGATAATCCTTCACATGAGATAGTTGTTGGGTGCTAATGATAGCATGTTAGTCATGTAAACATAGCAATAAATAACAAGTGGTATCAGGTGCTTCGGCAAGTAAGTATATCCTGCCTGGTGCATCCAACCTTGACGTGGGTTTTCTCCAGGTTCTCTCCCACTGTTAAAGACTCCTACGTGCAAGCGAATTATTGAAATAAAATTAAAACCATGTGTTAGTCCCAAAATGACCTAGTTTATGTCAAGTGGACATTAAACCCCATTTCTCTCTCTGCCTTGTGCAAGACACGTACCACTATTTATAGCTAATATAATGACTTGGATTTTAGTAGATGGAGTCTGGAGCAACATTGTACAAATAACTTCAGGACAACACTCACAAGCAGTCACCTATACTTAAGAAAAATATTAAAAGTGAGACAAAAACTCTAATCTGAATTTTTGAATGCATCTACACAGACATATTAACTTCAATACAAGCGGCAACCTCTATAATAATATTAAAAAAAAAAATTTCATTGACCATTGTTTTTTTGTTCCTAATAATTACTTCAGTGTGAAAATAGTCAAGGGTTTATATAATTTCAGTTTGTTGTGAATTTCATTAAAATACCAGTCTAAAATATCAGTAAGCCAACTCATTTATTTAAATATTATTAATGTCATTTAATGACATTTCTCATTCAGGAAATTCTTTGTTATGTCTAAATTTTCATGACATATATTTCTACATGTCATGTCATTTGATGACTAATAACAAACATGGAATATTCACTGGTATTTCTAATCATTTATAGAAATCAAACTGGCTCCTATTGTTTGGCAATTTTTTTTTGTCATGTTTTTCTGTTGCAAATGTAGAATCATTAGTTAACTTGTACATTTAACCTATAAATACTTTTATATAATCTGAACAAATAAAATCTTTAATCTAATTGTTTATTTTATACACCTACATTGAATTGTGGTCGTATACAATTGTATGTGGACCCTCTATAGGTTAAACTTATTATCCGATTGATTTTAAATTTTTAGTGTGTTTATGTATTCATGTTCAATGGTTTGCAATGATTACTGTTTGAGTTATGACCCTTGAGACAAAAGTTATAATCCAATTTACTTGAAATTTATACACAGTGTTTATTATAATCATTAGATGATTTTCAAAGGTTTCTGATAATTACTGTTAAAAGTTGTGGCCAATTACCTGAAAAATAAGGAAGATGTGAAGGTCTTTATCGAGTACTCAGATGAGCTTACTGCTGGGGGCGTAGGACTCATGGTCTGTCTAGACACCTATCTTTATAAATGGCTGGATTATATATTGCTTATTGGGAATTGCTGATGAAAATATTTTCTTGGTTAAATGTCATTTAAAAATGAGTGAATACTGAGAATGCTGATATTACAGTTTTAAAGGTGGTGTCCTGAACAGGTTACACTGTACATGTAAAATAGAAATGGCGGTTATTTGATTCATCAAGAGGAAACACATATTAAACTTTCACATTATAAATATTTAATTCTAAGCATTTTTAAACCTGGATTCTAACATCTATCTGTACATTTTAAACAAGCTAAAAAAATATGCTCATAAAAATCTGTTTTGATATGGATAGAATTTCACAATATTTTTCAAAAAAAGTTTATGCAGAAATCACTAACAATTTTGTAGACAGAAATTTTGTCTTTTTTATAGCTAAATTCATTTTCTTGTGCTTTATTAAATTCCTATCTCTCCATAAGTGAATTAAGTGTTTAATTTATATCAGTGGATTCCTAGACCTTATTATAAAGTAGACATGTATATTGATATGTATTTGATTGTAATAGACTGCGTGTATTCAAGTTATGTTAATTATCTTAGACATTAAATAATAAAAAAACATCTCTTAGTTAATAAGTGAATCATATCCCACAAAATATTATATTACAACTGTAAATATTTTGTCTGATTTAATAAAAACATAAACATTGAATTATCACTCTGTTATTTTCTCTACAGGTGTTAGAATAAAATCAAATAAGATTTAACATCTTAGTTTTCTGGGTGTGCACTTTAAATCATAAGGTTTGGTCTGTTATAGAGTCAAGTGCCATGGTTTTCTCCCACTGCTAAAAACCCCTATTTGCAAACAATAAATTGAAATAAAGTTGAAAAGTTTGTTTTGCCTGAAATGACCTAGTTGTGTCGAGTGGATGTTAAACCCCATTATTACTCCCTCGAAGAAAGGTATATGCCATACAGTGTCCTATGCAAAATGTCAGGAAACTTTAATGTGCTGTCAATAGTATACATGGGTTGGATGGCCGAATGGTTAGTGTGTGCACGTTGTATCATAAGGTCTGTCATTGAGTCGACTGGCATGGTTTCAATCCCCGGTTGTACGTGACAAGGAGTAGGATCTCCTGTCCAACCTTGTAGGTTTTCTCAGGGGCCTCTGGTTTCTCCAGTTTCCTCCCACTGCTAAAGACCCCTATGCGCAAGCGAATTATTGAAATAAAATAGAACCTTATGTTAGTCCCGAAATGACCCCATTTCTCTCTCTCTTTAAATATTGTTTCCTGGGTGAGTTAACATCTTAATTAGCCTAGTTAGATCTGATAAAGTTTCCTTCGTTGAAAGCAATAAGAATTGCTGAATTTTATACCAGTCCTAAAAATCAACATCCTGTATAATCATGGACCTTATAATACATGTAATATCTTGATGAGCCCAATAAAACACAATAAATATACATAATGCAACACCTTATACAATGAGAAGAGTTAATTCATAAAGACCAATACACATTATGTAGATTGGTAAACTTCTAGTTCACAACTAGTACAATAGGTATAGCACCTAAAATGTTTTATACAGCTATCTTGAACTCTCAGGAAACAGACGGACAAGCTCGTTACAATATACTAGCTTTGTTTGATGGAGGACAATACACCAATTGATAAATCGATTAATATTAATTCTGCAAGTGTAAGAAGTTAATTACCAATACCTTTCCAATTGTGACTAAAGTCATATTTAGGTTATATAATGTAGGTTAAGTGACCCATATGTAGGCCATATATGCTTTGTCACTGCTTTTAATTTCCTGCATAATCTTCTTAAAAAAGGGTGGAGTCCCACCTTTTGAATTTATCAATGTTAGTAAATATACAATTATAATATTTATTAAACAACATATATAATACAAGATGAGTCATGTGACGCAGCGTACTTCTAGAAGCACGCGCATGTATTGTGCTTATATAACTATGACGTCAAACTCAATAATAACTATTGTTGTACATACAATGCTAGGTATAATGAAATAGGAATCTATCGTAAATGCCAAAATTATATTTCTACACTTCAAATCCCTACTTGTGACCCAATAAGAAAGATAGGTTGCCAGGCAACAAAACAGCTAAACTGTCTGGGCAGTCAACATGGGTTGTCACATATTTATTTTTTGCAGGTAATGGGAGCATTTACAAGACACTGACATCAATTTAATACAGATTGAATGATAACTTTTGTCATTCGAGGGTTCACAAGATTCTACAAAGTGAAACAAGGGCCATAACTCTAGAGGTGATCAACAGAAATTATTGAAATTTGATAGGCTTCTTTGTTGTACTAGTTCGAACAAGGCTTGTAAACTTTGGGCAGATCAAATGATAAATTTTGTTGTTAAGAGTGCTCACAAAGTGAAACAAGGGCCATAACTCTAGAAGTATTTAACAGGAATTGTTGAAATAAAATAGGAATTTTCGTCTTACATGTACAATTTTCAAAACGACAGGATAATAAATGTCCTCTGTAGAATGTTCTCGAGAAATTGTGAACGACAGACTGGTAAACGGAAATACTCGCGGACGGAGGTGACGACAATATACGACCATATTTCTATGTGGGCATATAAAAATCAAAACAATCCAATCGAGTAGTTTCTTTTATTTGTTAATATTTGTTTTATAGACTGCCTTTAATTCCAACACAAAATCTGCTGCTTGATGGCACCATCCTATTTTGTATAGTACACACAACTACATATTATACTGACTATCAACAAAATACAACACAGGCATTAAAAAGAAATTATCACTCTTACCAAGAAAATATATAGAATTAATTTTGAATAATCCTGTATGAAAAAATAACTATGGGTATGACGTGGTGCATGAGTGTTTCCTAAACTTCTTAAAAATACAAAAAAGATTTGTGTGATTAATAAAATAACAATTATCTCAGCTGTGGCTTGACAGATTTGTCTCAAATTTAACTCTATAGTCAAATTATGTGAAATCGAGAATAATTGTTTCACCAACCAGTCAGACCTCCAAGGTGCGAATGATTCTTTAACAAATGAAAATAAAGTACAAGAAAATGATTCAAGTTGTTCATCGATGACGTAAACCACACATATGATGAAAATTGATAAACACAAATACATAAACATTATAGATATTAACAAATAATCAGATATTCAAAAATTACTTATAATACTAAGGGCGTTTATTAAATGCCCTGTTGTCCTGAATAAATCGTAAATATACACTTTCTGTCCACTTTTTAACAGGAACAGATATATTTATGTGATTTCTTCCAATGACCAATTTCATTCAGTTGAAATTAATACAATATAGGAAAATAACTGGCTATATTTTGAGCAAACTGCAACATTTTATGATTAACTGAATTGTGTGAAATGCAAATGAAGGGAGACTACTCCATTATTGACAATAATTGTTGGGAACCAAAACAGCTGATGAACAATGTAGTCCACACTAAAATATGCATACTGGCTTGTATGTAGTGGTCACCAACAGATATATCATTAATATTTTCTTTCCTTATTACTTTGTGAAATAAAATGGGATTTAACGTCCTACTTTTCTGCATCAACTGGGCTAATGAAAACGGATATACGGCATGTAGAGTGATGCCACACCCTACTCTTATTCGAATTCCAACTGTCAAGGGTTCTTTTGCTTTCATGCCAATGTGTAACCCAATAATACCACCACATAATACCTCATTATTGTGAAAAAACAGAATAGTTGAATTATACCAAAAAAATTGAGGTAAGCCATAGTCAAAATGATGACACAAAGCGAGTCTCTGTTGCTAAGAAAATGAAAATATGACGGCATAAAACCTGGCATTGTTCAAAGGAATTTTTTGCCAGTAAAATAATAAATACAATTCATAGAAAAGCATCAACAGATAGATATAAGTTAAAAAATAAATAAATTGAACATTGCATCTAAAAAAATAAAAGATCACAATTTAACATTTTCTTCAAAATTCCTTCATTCATAAGTTAACATCTTCTCACAGATTCTTTATATTTAGTTTTTAGTTCATTCTTAAACTTTCTAAATAATATCCTATTCTTGTCTAGTTCATCATTTTTTGTTTTATGAAATTCTTGTGTATGTTTAAAACCTTTATGGACTAGAAAAACATCTGTAAGAACACTGAACTGATAACCTGCGATGTGCATCTCACATATCTGGAAGGAAATAAAAAGATACAAGTAAATAAGAGATGAATCATAAACAGGTATCACCATTCTTATCAAAGAGAACTATATGTAATTAGTTTTAAAAACAATATCATATACAAAATAACCTTAGATTCACATAACACAAGAACTATGTACATGTACCAAGGTTTTCACTCAAGTCATATCTGCTAGTCTCGACTGACTGACAGTGAAATTGACCTGTCATCAGTCAATTTACATGTCATAAAATCAGAGTTTCAAAGAGTTTAACCTTAAAACACATTAAATGTAATTAGATTTATGTCAAAAAATGATCCACTGGAATTTTTAAGAATCGATTATTACTTGATTAAATGTTGAACTATATATAGCAGTCAAATCGCATCAAACCAAAAGTCATTGTTAATCAACTAGCAAAGATCTCCAAGGTGGTTAATCCACTTTAAATACAAAATGATGGAGAACAGTTTTCATAGTCCATGAACAGTCTGACAAAAAGCTTTTTCGTAATTTTTTGCATCACTGAGGAGGGTAATTGAAACATAATAATGTATACATCATACATGTATTACTTGATGCCATGAATCCATGCAGGTTGTATTAAACGGTCATGTGTATATATATACATATGCTTTAAGCTCAACATCAGTAATGTACATGTAAACACTAAGTGCTAATCAAAATTATTACATAATTCTCTGGCTCAATGAATATAAACAGATAGCATTTGATAACTGATCTAGGCTTGGTCAACATGAATACTATCTACATGTAGAAGACCAGAGTTCACACACATAGGTTAGCAATCATAGATATGTAATAAAATGGCATTAAGGTTACAGAGAAGCTGTTATGAGGTATCTTTCAGTTTGATTAAAGGAGAGGAATTTATGAGATACAATAATTCCAACTACATGTATTAATTTGATCGACTTTATATGTAAGTATTAAGAACAAACATTTATTCCTTGCAGAACAAAAATTGAACCCAGTGTGTTTTATTTGATAAATGTACAGTCAACCCTACTATGGTATAATCAATACACAAAGCTTCTCACATTTTATTAATATATTATACAGTATTTGTGTTTAAAAGCATTGCCACAGGCATAATAGTTGGGGGTTGAAGGAGCCTTCAGAAGTCTTAAGTGCATCCAAATATATATTTTGTGGTGCAAAATACATTATGTAAGACCATATAAAAATACAAACTTGGTGATGGTCCCCCCATGATCTAAGAAATCCATCCCACCTTTAAAAAAAGGTTTCAGACCCTTTTAATAGTTAAGAGGATTTTGGAAAAATGTACGTGGATTTCCTCCCTGAAACCTTTTATTACGCATTGATCAAAGGTGTAATTTCTTACATTTCTAGCCATGTATCCCTACCAACAATAAAAATACCAAATATCTATATTGCACAGTCAATACTGTACACTGGCAAAAAAATCTATGGTTTAATAACATCCTACTTTACTGCTCCAACTGGTCTAATAAAAATTTTGCCCAGAAAGCATTGAATTCCAACTGTCGGGTCTTTTATGCATATGCCAATATGTACACTGTAACACAGGACCTCTTGTTTTTTGTACCATCCAAACAACTAGACACTGTTCCTGGCCAGAGCCCTTGACTCCCCACCCCCCCCCGGAAAAAAAATTTGCCGACCATAGCTCTAAAATACCTACTGTAGACTGTGCCGGGTGTGCCCCCCCCTAAAAACTTCACTGTCCCTCCGAAGATAGCAAGCTGGCTATGGGCCTGCTTGTCTTGCACTACTTGCAAGGAGATACCACGCTGGAAAATCCTAGAGAACTTTTTCATCTAACACTCGATCAAACCCCGGAACTCATGGTGAGTCAGCTCCTTGCTCACTGAGCTACCATATGGCCCCCAGCTCCCATATGATACTATACATAAGTATACTCAGAGCACGTAATCACTCATGTCAAATTTTATGTTGCACAACGATACCCAAGTATGCTTGTGTAACATAATTTTGACATTAGTGATTACTTTTATAATAAAAAGTAAGCCAAAGTTTTCTTAAATGAAAAGTGGTATCAGGTGTTCAAATTACTTCAGAAGCAATAAATCCACACACCTGACTAATTCTGTTGAAGCCATATTGTTTAAAACGTTCATCATATAGTGGAATAGATTTTGCTGCTATATAATATGGTTCCCATGGATCATGAAAGTCAACATGATATGCAGAAGTCAGCTCAGATTCTGATGCTCTCCATTTATCATAATCTGTATATTTTTGGCATTTCCAGCATACTTCCTCATAGAATGGTCTTATGATATTTTTCTCCCACATATCTATCAGCTCCATTCTATTCTTTGGTACTTCATACCCATTCTTTAGTTCAAAAGCTGGAACCACATGTGCTGATCTAGAAATGAAAGTTGTCTTTTTCAGGAAATAATTTTTCTGATTCTTCAGAAAAACTTCTTTGAGGTTTCGGGAAGGAATCATATCTATATCTATTAAAAATATGTGTGAAGTTCTTGAGTATTTTAATGCCAAGTTTCGCAATAGATTATGAGGGTATTCTATTCCTTCTATAGCGTAGTTTGCATTGTTCGTGTTTGTAGGTGGAGTGTCGCAATCAAAAGTTACATCCCAGGATGGGTTGTTGATAGGAGGTGTATCGGTAGGATAAACCATATGAAAAGTAACAAATTGACGGATGAACTTGTTGCAGAAATGATAGTAAGCTATGGAACGCACAGCATTTTGCACATCATTAACATAAGTAAATACAGCAACAGAAACTGGTCCTTGAAAAAACTCTGTTAGTTCTACTAAATGATGGAGATGATTTGATGTGCACTGAGTGATTATTGTCAAATTTTCACTGTTCATAGTTGGTCTCCTGCTAGCTTGAATAACATTCGGTATTACATTATAAGTGCCACTTTTGTCTAGTTTGTGTGGCTTCCTAACTTTACTTTCAATTTCTAACAAAACTTTATTAATTTGTGAAAAATCTTCGGTCTCTTTTGACTCCAACTTACTTAAAAGTGACATGTGAAATATTTGTAGGAAAATGACAACAAACACAAGGAGTAGTATTAATTTCCACAATCTAAATTCTCTACACAGCTTCATTGTTAAGAAGATTTCTCAACTCTATTTTGTTGACATTAATTTATTAAAACAAGAGAGCTTTAAATCAGCTCTATCAAGAACCTAACGCACTCACTCGTAACAGGCCCTGCGACGTACAGATTCCGATTCCGATTCAGAAGACACTGTCTGTGACAGGCCGTGCATATTCAGACAGGCGCATCGGTGAGTTTTAATGTCGGCACATTAACGATATCACAAATTGCAGATAGTTTGATTTCTAAATATAGTAGACATACAGGGAAAGTTTCTGTGCAACTGGTTTATTTTACACCCTTAAAATACAACCCCAATTCACATCTAACATCTATTTATATTAACATTCATGTCATCTTTCTCCTTGGCATGAATTGTTTTCATTATGCTGACTTCCTGACTTGCGCAGTTAAGCATAAGTGACGTCAGATGAAAATGAAAATGGCCTCCAGATTGTTTTGAGGATTTATTTTACAAGTTATAATCAAAGATATATTGACTTACAGAACTGGAAATAAACCAAGGGTATGAAATTTAGAATCCCAATATACTGCTGCACCAAACACGCGCTTCGTAATTAGAACCCGACTTGACTATTTAAGTGAGGATCATTTTCTTTATTGAAACTGCAATGAGATAATTTCTCTATCAATGATTCTTCATCCTAATTCTTCCAAAATAGAACCGGGTTTAGATCTACTGATAGTGATATTTGTTTTTTCCCTCTGTTTTCCTTATATCCAGTCTTCAATGTCCATAATTATATCTGATTCTCATTGTGTCATTGGGCTATAATTCACAACCATTTCATGGTTTTCATGCATAGTCTTAATGGATATCATATCATGAAAAAAAAAATGTTTTAAAGAGTGACAGTGGTGACATTTTGAATGTTTTTCATTTGTCGTGTATTGACCTCATTCATTTTGCGTACAAACAGGGTACGTTAATTAATTATGAAATACCTAAAAGGTAAGAATAAGGCCAGTGATATGATACAGTACTCTCTCGGCTGCCGAGTACACCAGAGTAAGCTTAAATAAGCAAATTTACTGTTGTAAGTCTAAGTCATATTCTAACCCATGGCCATGGCAAAACAGCAATAGATTAAATCCTGCTGGTTGTACAGGATTCCATTAGAAAGTGAAATTAGACTTGGATATCCTTATGGACAATTCACAAAATTAAAACAGTTTAAGCTTAATGAATTAAACCGCAACATTCTATATCACAAGGTCATAAAAGACATTTCACTTTACTCCATTAGTTCTGATTTGTTTTGAATTATTTCCAGACTCTGAGCTACATGCATGTATGTGGTCAAACTCAAACAGTTTCAAGGTTATTGTTAAAGATGCATTATGTAAGAGCTAAATCTACCTAATTGAAGTAGGCTAATTCAGATCTTCTATTTGGCCCCAAATGTTATATAAATACTATTAGACATATAATTCACATGCCAAGCCCATAATCAACTCTCTACATCATCTGATGCTTTTAATATTCAACGATTTAAACACGATTGATGGTTAATAATTTATTAAAAAATGGATAATCAAGACTTTTTTTTTATTATTGTAACAACGGTAGCAGTGACAATCAAGTCTGCACTGTTCTTCAAAAGGAAGTAATTTGACTGAAATTTTTAACATATTCGCTTTTAATTATCCATTTATTGACTACATGTATTATTGCGAGAACTGTCTGGTGTTTATCTAAATCTTACACAATGCATATTTTTGTCATTTTGTTTAATTAAAGGAAAGTCCATTAATGGATGTATAGTGTGTCTAGTCTTAGGTAATAGGATTAAAAGAAAAAAAAAACCATGGTACAGCACTAGGGCTGGCGGAAAATATTGATATTGCCAATAATCGTCGATAAGCATTTTGAAAATCGATTATCGATACAGTTTTAAAATATCAATTATCTCGCAATTATAGGTACTTCACTGGTAAGAAGAAGTCCATAAAAATAATCTTTATCCCTGTATTCTTTGCAACACTTGCTTGGGCCTAGAACTGTTATTAAACAGAATAGCCATAATAAAACATGTACGTTTAGCTTTTTCACGCCACCGATGAGAAATGTTGACTGCTGATGTCATGATGAGAGCCAATGGTTTCTCGTAACATTCAGTTGTGTCCGTTATTTTAACTCTTCATTTCCTTCGTCTTCTCTGTTTCTAAGACAAACACATACTTTCCCTTTATTATTTTATCAAGGAATTTGGAAGAAATGTCTGAAGAGGAAATAACTACATTTTACACATTATTGTCCCCCGCCTTTCGAAGAAAGCAGGGGACTATTAAAATGGGTTCGTCCGTCTGTCTGTCTGTCCGTCTGAATGTTCAAACTTGGTGTATGTGTTGATTAGGTCAATGCCTTGATGGAGTTCGAAGATGAGCATTTTCCGCTTAGGGTAAGCAGAGATAAGCAATTTGATTGGTTGATGCTTTGGGACACGATAACTTTTAATAGAGCTAGAATGTTCAAACTTGGTGTATGTGTTTATTAGGTCAATGCCTTGATGGAGTTCGAAGATGAGCATTTTCCGCTTAGGGTAAGCAGAGATAAGCAATTTGATTGGTTGATACTTTTTTTATTTATTTGTGTTATATGCTTGATAACGACTTGTGAAATCTTGTTGAAACGTCGCAGTGAAATAAACCACAGTAATTGTTATCCATAAATAGTGTGTTATTTGCTTGATGATTGTGATATTTTTAACGACCAATCCCATAAATTGTTATTTGAAAAAGAAGTTGGCAAAGGTAAGTAACTCTCATCGGACAATGTTAGGAGTTGGCCTATTCTAAATGCGTAATTATTAACAACCAGTTATATATTATGTTAATGAAGACCAGAAATTCATATAATAATGTAGGGTCATTAGTTTTATTTAGAATCGTTCGTTCGCTCCCGGGACTTTACGTCCACGTGATATCGTAGACAAGTTATTGTATGACATATTTCAGACAAAGAACGAATAGTAATTATAATAACAAAAGTCAAACATATAGATGTTATACATATTTGAAATCAACAACACATACTACAGATTTTGATAATACAATTAAATATAAATAAATTATAGATATATACATTATTTACATAAATCATTCAGTAAATAGACATGAATATGGTTATCTACCCTTATAAAAACGAAGGCGAAACGATTGGTTTTTAAACTGTTTTCTGATTGGTTCGTAGACTGTAGCTCTACATTCTAGGCAAGGGCAGATAATTTAAAATTGTGGAAACCCTATGGATTAACCCAGGGTATAATGGAGTAGAACAGAATGAGTACACTGGGTAACCGAGGATGGAAATTTCATTGGTCGATACTTTGGAACAAGATAACTTTGATTCTATCTGATAGAGAGTGATGAAACTTAGTGTATAGTTGATAATCAGTTTGATTGCTTGATACTTTTGAAAAAAAAATAAATGTGCGATTAATTAATATGTGTCATCTATTTTATTTGGGATTTCGGCGGGGGACATCAGCCTCACTGTTGGCTTGTTATTCAGGTCATAAGCGACAAAGATATGGCGAGCGGTGGCATTTCTGTCTTCCAAACGAAGTTGATTAAGTTTCTTTCTACACCTTGGTTTTGCTACGGAATGCTATTATTTTATTGTCAAATAAATGATAAAAATTCTACATGTATACAGAATGATATCACAACATAAACTCGCATATAATTCATTATTCATGTACAAATTATGATTGTTTTCAAACCAATTGTAAGTCAAAATAATTTGCCGATATTATCGATTTTTGATCGGCGGATGGTCGGCGATAATCAATATTTGAAACAGATCGATTGCCAGCCCTATACAGCATCTGAGTCGTCTTATTAAGGCTGTGCATGTATATCGAAACATAGCATGTTAATAAATTCAGAAGTAGTATATCCATATAGTTGTTTTAATTTGTGAAATCTCTAGGTATCATTACTGGATTTTATTACCCTACACATATTAATATGATAGATCTTTGTATCAATAATCATGTTACTATAAAAGGAAATAAACTGTTGAGTGGACATTCTCTCGTATCAGTATCTTTATTAAGCACGGAAGACTGTAGCAGTAGGCCTACAATAGCTTAATGTAAATTATATAGTGTTGTTTTTATTTTGCAGGTTTAGTATATAGTAAAGAATGAAGAAAGATTTAGTTCATATATGTTTTCTACTTGGTGTTTTATATCTTATAAAAGCAGGTAAATAATTCAAGTATCTTTTATTGTGAAAATATAAACTGATTGGACTAGACACATGTATTTCTACTATTACTAAAAATAATATGAGTCAATATTTTAAAAATGTCTATGAATTCTCTTTGGGTTTTTTTATTTATATTGAACATTTATGAAATGATTAATGAGTAAATGATTTGAAAAAATGATGGGTGAATATGTTGCCTGACCTATTTATAACCTATTCTTCATATTTGCACTTTAGTGATGTGGAGAACAGTACTGGTAATAAAGAAACACTCAGACAAAAATGTTATAAGTGTAGCAAACAATTTCTTTTTTTTCAGAGGAATGTGAACCACCTAATGATGAGTTTCCAAATGGTGAAAAGACAGTTTTTAATTCAACAAGAGTTCGAGTTCATTATAAATGTACTATTGGTTACATTCTTGTAGGAGAATCTAAACAAGTGTGTGGGGATGATGGGAAATGGCAACCGAAATTCCCACCCAAATGTTTACATCCTCGTAAGTTACTGTCTTTTTAACATTCTACTGTCTATCGGCTCGGTGAGGTTGACGCTGGGTCACTAACCATGGGTTCATGGGTTCAAAGCTCAATCCTGGTGTTGGCCAAGAAATCTCATGATTTTCTATCCCAGGCCCCGTGTTCTGAAAGCATTCTCAGTCTTAAGTTAAGAATTTATCTTTGATCCAGAAACACTAAACTTTGCACGTAGTTTCTTATTGATGTATTTGATACATAGAAACAACAAAAGTTTTATAAAGGACTAAATTTAGTTAAAAAAATGCGAACAATTTTGAGTAAATTCTTAAGTTATGTCCGAGAATGTTTTGTGAAACGGGGGCCAGGTCGCTTCTCCTCGTCAGTTGTGCAGGATGGAAGACTTGGCAAGGAAAAATAGCTAATTGTTCAAAATGGCAGCATGTTTGTTAAAGATGGAAATCTTAAAAAGAAAAACGCTAGCATTGTTGTCAGTGCAAAATTTATCTCATAGTGCACTGCATCTGCATGATATATGTATGTCTTCATTAGCCCTGTTGGTGTAAGAAAGTATGCATTAAACCTATTTCATTTTATTTCATATGGTTAATGGTTGGCCGAGAAAGTTCCTCAGGAGTCTGGCAAGGGCGGTGTCTAGTCGTTTGCACAGGAAGAAAAACCAAGGCCCTGTGTACACATTGATGTGCAAGTAAAAAAATCCTTGTCCGTTGCAATTTGATATAAGAGAAGGCTGTAACCCTGCTGTTTGGGGACAATTTTCTTCATAACCAAATATTTGGTGTATGTCAGTCTTTATTAGCTCAATTAGTGCAGAAAAGTAGAACGTTAAACTCCATTTTATTTAATTTGTATGGTCAATAATTGATGAGTCTAAAGTGTTGCACTGAGGATCTTCAGTCTGTTATCAATATGGCTGTAGCTGGATTGTATCTTATGTATCTGGTAAGAAAAGTAGTGGTGATTGTCTTATGATGTGGGTTTGTTCTGAGTTTTCCTAGCAAACTAATGAAACAGTATCTACTTCAAATTTAAAATCTCCTTAATTTAAAGTGACCAAAAATATGCAATTTGTGTGTTGTGTGGATGTTAAGCCTAATATCTCTTTCAATAATGGTTTACAAAATAATTTCTTGAAATCCTTTCATATTAAATCGAAAAGAAGCAGAAAAAGTGAAGCGTAAGCAGAAGGCATACTGTTAAGCCGCAAGAGACAGTGTTTTAGAAAAAATAAAGAATTTCTAATAACACACACACACAGCAAAGACTATCTAAAATGGCAAACCCTTAACATGCAAAGGAATAAATAGTTAAGTACACCAAGTGCCCAAATCAACTAGAATTTAAGTTGAACGCAAAACTAGTCAGCTGAATAGACCCGTCATATTAAATTTCACATTACATTACAAGTCTGGCAGAAATGATACATCTTGCTACCATTTTACGTTAGTTTCTGATTAACAAGAATTTACATAAAATACTTGCAAGTCCATATTTTTCACAATTTTCAATATTGGCAATTTCACTTCGGTGGAAGTGGATGTTAGATAAAACTATTTTACACACACACAATTTTCAATAAGTGACAGTTTTAAATTATTTACTACTCCATAATATATTCTTCGAATTAAAACTTCATGAATGATTCTTCTTACTATTCCAGAAGAAACAACACCAAAATGTAATCGTCTTCCATACGCATTACATAGTAAAATAATATTTCGAGGAACATCTTTATATCATGAAGTGGGGGATACAGCTACTATTATTTGTGATCAACAATATACAACTACTGGTGGCAGATATAAAGAAAGTTTTCAAATAGTCTGTGGAGCAGATGGCAAATGGGCCATGTCAGACGGCACAAAACCAATTCTAGCTTGTACAAGTAAGAAGGGTGCATATAATTTTAAACAATTAACTAAAAGAATTTTTTTATATTCCTTTGAAACTGCTGATTGTCATTCACATTTTTTGGTCAATATTAAATATTTTATGGCTTAATCAAAATATCGGAATTTGCAGTCGTTGTTGTTTGTATTTCAGAGGAGAGCCAAAAAAAGCTCCCCTCAATCAACGAATTGAAAAAATCACTCCCCTCAAAAAACTCTCCCAGTTTTGATAAGAAGAGTGATTTAGAAATCAAGTAGAGTGATCTGATATTAAAGAGAGTGATTAGTTATGTGCATGGGAAATGGTTCTAAGATCAATAACTGCATGTAATGGGTCATTCCAGGTTTCATAAATGATAATAAACCCCCAATGACTATTTAAACTAGAGCGATTTTCAGTTTTAAGGGGAGGGAAAAATAACTCCCCTCAGTCAACATTCAGGTGAGGGACAGGTGCTCGAGAGCCTTAAAAACAATGGCTGAGTTTGCTAAAGATACAAAATCTCTCAACCATTATAAACTGTAAAGGTTGGGTATGCAATTATGTTCATCTAAGGGGGGTTGGGTGTTCGAATGGTTAATGTGTGCGCATTGGATCATTGGTCTGTCATTGAGTCAAGTGGCATAGTTTAAATTCCCCACGTGTACGTGGCAAGGTGTAGGGTTGCCTGTCTAACCCTGTAGGTTTTCTCCGGGTTCTCTAACCCTACGTGCAAGCAAATTACTGAAAAAAATTTAAACCATGTCGGTCCCGAAATGACCTAGTTTGTAGCGAGTGGACATTAAACCCTATTTCTCTCTTTCTCTGTTCATCAAAATTTTATATTAGACACAAGAATGGTGATCAATGGCTTTCCCGCATCAAGATTATTCCATTAACAACAAATAATTATTGGTTGTCAATAAATTCTACAGGTCGCCAAATTCTATTGTTAGCTGTTTATATGTGACCAGAAGTTTCAAGTAATTTTTTTATGATATGGACAAAAGTTGAAATCAGCTCAAAATGCGATTTTTATACAGTAGTATATTCCAAGGGCAAAGATTTATGTTTAGTTTTGTAAAAAGAAATCATTGTTTAGACAAACGCTAAAATAAGCATTGCCATGAAAGCGATAGGCAATTCTCACGGACGAAATAAGAAATGATCTATTGCTGAAAAATAAACGATGGTGTGCCCACGTGTTCTAGGATTGATTATTATAATGATTAATGGTAATTAAGCTGAAATTTTATTTTTTGTGTTTTTACTCTTGCAGTAAGACGATGTCCTTTACCTCCAACAGTACCTAATGCTTTATATCACTACAGTTCACTACCTCCATTGATGGGTGAAGGTAGTCGGGTGTTATATACTTGTCAACCAAAATATGTATTAGTTGACAGCGAGAATAATTACTTAACATGTCAAGCTGGTAATTGGGAGGGCTCTATACCCACTTGTGGTAAGTAACTTATAATTTAATTATGTGGAATTATCCGTGTCTTAAAACCTGTTCCCAGTTTTGAATTTCTAAATGTATTTTCAAGCATTCTGAATAAAATCCAGATCTAAATTGCATTCCATTTCTTTTCCCTTTCGATGGTCTCCATTCAAAATATACATCACACCAGTTTGTGGCGGAGTTCACCTCAGGGATCATATAGGTGAACTTTGACAGAAGGAAGTGAACTATTTATGTTCTTAGTTTGGAATTCCAATTGTCAAGGTTTCTTTTATAACCACACCAATGTGTATACGGGACGTCAGTTTTATCGTCCTAGGGGGTGTGGATGGCCGAATGGGTACCGTGTGTACGTTGTATCATTTAAGGTCTGTCATTGAGTCAACTGCCATGGTTTTGATTCCCTGGCTGTAGAGACCCCTACGCGCAAGCTAATTATTGAAATAAAATTGAACCATATGTTAGTCCCGAAATGACCTAATTTTGGTCGAGTGGACGTTAAACCCCATTTTTCTCTCTGAAAGACTAGTCACTGTCCTTGCTAGGCCCTGCGCCCCGCACTACTGACAAGTGTGGTTGTTTGGTGATTACTACATGTATATATTGTATTAATTATTAGCAACCACATGACATCTTCTAATTTTTACTAATATGATCCTTTCTTTCAGTACGTAAAGCAGCATGCAGCAGTCCAAGAGCTATACACAATGGTCACTGGCATTTAGTAAAAGAGTCTGGTAATGAGGAACAGGTGTTTGGAGAATATAAAGTTGGTAGTAAGATACAATATCGTTGTGATATAGGATATAAAGCTATTGGATCTATAATGTTAGAGTGTACAGATAATCATCTCTGGTCAAAAGTTCCACCTATCTGTGTCTATACTAATGGTAAGTAGGGTACCAGGGCTAACCGGTTAAATTTAGTGATTTGTCAGAATCTGATCAAGAAATGATTCATTTAATCGTTTTATCTATATATATATTTGTGACTGTCGTTTGTCTGTCTGTCTGTCTGTCTGTTCGGGTTGGCGGCTACACTAGGTCTGCCCCGAGTCTGAAATTTGGGGTATAGGGGTAGCTCGGACCGGGGAGTAACATAGGCCAGGTGGCGTTAGTCTACCACTTCCGGTTTCGGAGTTATGACCCCTGAGCGAAGCCGGTCTGTTCGGGGTTGGCGGCTACACTAGGTCTGCCCCGTGTCTGAAATTTGGGGTATAGGGGTAGCTCGGACCGAGGAGTAACATAGGCCAGGTGGCGTTAGTCTACCACTTCCGGTTTCGGAGTTATGACCCCCCGAGCGAAGTCTGTCTGTTCAGGGTTGGCGGCTACATCTGCCCTGAGTCTGAAATTTGGGGTATAGTTGTAGCTCGGACCGGGGAGTAACATAGGCCAGGTGGCGTTAGTCTACGACTTCCGGTTTCGGAGTTATGACCCCCGAGCGAAGCCGGTCTGTTCGAGGTTGGCGGCTACACTAGGTCTGCCCCGAGTCCGAAATTTGGGGTATATGGGTAGCACGGACCGGGGAGTACATAGGCTAGGTGGCGTTAGTCTACCACTTCCGGTTTCGGAGTTATGACCCCCCGAGCGAAGTCTGTCTGTTCAGGGTTGGCGGCTACACTAGGTCTGCCTCGAGTCTGAAATATGGGGTATAGTTGTAGCTCGGACCGGGGAGTAACATAGGCCAGGTGGCGTTAGTCTACCACTTCCGGTTTCGGAGTTATGACCCCCGAGTGAAGCCGGTCTGTTCGGGGTTGGCGTCTACACTAGGTCTGCCCGAGTCTGAAATTTGGGGTATAGGGGTAGCTCGGGCCAGGGAGTAACATAGGTCAGGGGGGCGTTAGTCTACCACTTCCAGTTTCGGAGTTATGATCCCCGAGCGAAGCCGGGTATCCTGCTAGTCAAATAATAAAACAATCTTTAGAGATAATTATACTCAAAGGAAGCAAATGGAATTGAATTTGTGGTTTTATCACAATAATTGATGAAGATGCTTAAATTGTATTGGATGTAAATTATTTTAGAACCAACTATGAGTTATCTGCCTGTTTGCAATTTTATTGTGGTTGTATATGTCATTGTCCCTTTCTGTTAATTTATATATATTGTTTACATTATTACTCAGGGGGGTATCTAGAAAATTTTGAGAGGTTCTGATCCCAAATTATTTAGTTCTAACTGCTTTAGTGGGTTTCCGGAGGCTGCAGGTCACCGGCCAATGGAGTACCTTGGGTCACAGCATCAAGACTGATTTAAGTCATAGTATAGTGTATTTAAATGAGATTTGAGACAGACTTGAACCATGTTGCTGTGATTTCTTATATAAAAACAAATTTTGGTAATAAATAAAGAGTAAAAATCTCTATCCTTGACTTTGAAATTGGACCTAGATAATCTCCTGTTACTATCAACCTACATGTATATAAAACATGTCAGTATTATAGGACAGTATAGGTGTTATGAGGGTTTATAGATATTACTTGGCTGATAATTGTATAATATAGTTTAAAAAGTCACAGTATTTTAGCAGTGCTGGATTTACCTGTCATAAGCCATTCTTACACTCATTATAGTCTTAAACTATCTTCATCAGTCTCGGCTTTGCTTAAAGATACATTATGGGAGAGTTGGCCATTCTTGCTATAACAGTTCAAAAGTAGATGATGAAAGAAGAATATATTGAAAAATTCAGTCAAATTACTTTATTCTGAACATAGTTATCATCGTTGTAATATTTGCCTAGAAATGGTAGCGAATTGTGTCTTCACCTTCGCTGATCGTTTGATTGACAGGCGTTAACTCCACCTACATATCTCGATTATCAAGTAAAGTTTTCAATGGCATACCGAAACGCTTTACAGCGGCCTCGCTAAGTACACTCTATCATTTAGCCTCAATCTAACTGACGTATTTTCATCAGGTTACCCCTTATTTGATTTAATCAATTAGTGAAATCCTATTTAAATCTGAGCTGTAGCCAAGCCATCCGTGGGTCTACAGAGTTGATTTTGGTCTTGTTGTTTAAATAAAGATCTAATTTATAATTTCTATAACATCTATAGCCTAAATTAAGACTTGCAATAATCAGATTTAGCTCTTGCATAATGCATGTTTAATTGTGTTTAAAACAAACTTTCATCTTCTTCTAGTTGTGAGGGTGGAGGATTAGATAAGTGGAATAGCCAAGGGCTGCTCTTCATCTAAATCCGACATTGTTTTATTGAAAACGTTTTATATATGAATTAAATATTTTTCAGAACCCAACTGGTATTGTCCTACATTACGACATATAGAACATGGTGTCTGTAAATGTGCAGAAGAGAATAGTAGTAATAATTTAGAGTTGTGTGAACCATTTGAACGTGGTGTTGAGATACAGTGTATGTGTGATAAAGGCTATACATTAGTCGGAGCATCACATTTGAAATGTACACAAAATAATAATAAAGGTGTATGGGATGAAGATGTACCATATTGTTTAACAAGTAAGTATAAATATTACTGTCAACTCCACCTGTTTTACAAAATCGCAATTTTGCTTTTGTTCTTGTATGGGCAACTTTGTAAATTAGTATTTAAACATCAACCATCTTAGTGCCAGCAATTGTCCTGTTCCTGTTATTTTATATTTAAAAAGATTAAAACAGAGATATTGGCTTTATAATGTCACAATTCCCATGGAAGTGGTCCATAAAACAACTAAAAATACATTTAAAGCTGAATGAGCTAGAAATTATGAATAATGTTAACAGTATTGGTTGAACAGCCCCTAAAGAAAATATCTATTACAACAACAGCATGGTGAAAAGTTTGATGGGGTATGTGCATGCCATTCAGAAACCCAGAATGGCTGATGCCTAATCCACTAAAATGTTTTACAGATGTGGCCATTTTATTAGCTGAAGTTAAAATCTTAGTATTTTAGCGCTTGGATAATTACTGAAAGGAATATATTTATAAGTTGCAAATTCCATAAAAATTGCTAATGCATTAATTTGATTTATAAATGATTTTTGATAGTGAAATGAACTTCATTTATAACATTTATTTTTTAGTTACTGATGATATAGGTGTGGCTAGTGGTCAGGGTCCCGAGTCAAGTGATTCATCCTCTAGTAATGATGGCACTGATGTCACAAACCATGTCAGCACTTTAGTTATCGTCATAGCTACAGCTTGCAGTGTACTTGGAGTGTTATTATTGGTTATGGTCATAGTTGTATTCAGACGCAAGAAACAGCGCCCCCATCTCTTCCACCCAGGAATGACCCCAACCCCCTATTCCCGTGTTCACATCAGTTCTATTGATGATCATGATCGAGTGGCATTGATGGCATATGCTGATGCCACACGTGTTCATCTACCGACATACGAAGAAGCAATGCAGCAAGGACAATTCCGACCATCAAACAGCACAGCGACCACACCCACGTCTGCTCCCCAGGGATCTGAGTATCGACCATTACCCAATATACCACCTACTATCAGAAATATACACACAGGTTTAGACAGTAATCGACATTCATCAGTCACAACTAGTACCATGAATAGAGATGGTACATCAGAAATATTTGGTTCTCTCGATACAGTTAATGTTAGTATGAGTGATGCTTCTACATCAGGAGAAACATTTGATAGTGGTACATCAACTAGATCTATTAGTTCACAGAGAGCTACGGCTGGTAGTCTAATGTCTTCAGCTGATAATCTGGCTAATGATGGTAGGTATACCTTAAATAAACTTTAAGTCTTTATGTTCTTATTTATATAATGCATTGATTAGGCTAAATAAATTTAAAAGCCTCTTGAATCTTGCGAGGGATGTTTCGTTTAAACTTTCAAAGCTTGAAATTTACGAGTTCGATAATGAGCATTCATTGTTGAGGCTGATCAAGACTTATTGAACAAAAAAACTCTGCTTCTTATTGAGGTAAGATGTTTAAACTTGGTATACATGTAGATGTTCATTTGGTATCAAATGATGGACATATTATGGTTAGATTAAGCAGAGATAAGCAACTTAAACAGTTGATGCTTTGTATCAAGCTTGACAGCTTTGATTCTAATTGAGTGAAATTGGTGAAACTTGATGTAATTGTATACATTTTTTTTACATCAAAATCTAGACTAGGATAATGATCCATTTCTGCTCAGGTTAAGCAGTGTAATAAGCAATTTGATTGCTCGATCATTGTTTCGTTTGATTAGATCTAATCCCACTCACACACTGCCATACTCAGTGCAAATTTCTATCCCAAATTATGACTAGTTAACAGTCCGATCAACAACTAGTACATAATGACATAACAAAATAAATCTGGATGAACTAGAGCTCTAAATATGTTACTGTAAAGTGTCTGGTGACAAACACGGCTACATTACGTCAGAACGCGCAAAATCTATTATGCTCAATTAAAACTAGTACATAACAGATATTGCAGAGAAACTAATTATGTGATAATTGAGGCTATCAAAAATAGCTACAATGTGAGAGAGAGAGAGAAATGGGGTTTAACGTCCACACGACACAAACTAGGTCATTTCGGGACCAACATATGGTTTTAATTTTATTTACATAATTTGCTTGCGCGTAGGGGTCTTTAGCAGTGGGAGGAAACCGGAGGACCCGGAGAAAACCCACAAGGTTAGACAGGCGACCCTACTCCTTGCCACATACAACCGGGGATTCAAAACCACGCCAGTCGACTCAATGACAGACTTTATGATACAGCGCGCGCACGCTAACCATTCAGCCATCCAACCCCTCTAGCTACAATGTAAACATTAGGTTATTGAACTATTATATATAATTTGGCTGTATTTCTAGATGCCAGATTGTTAGATAATAGAAGTGAGAATATGACAGAGTTAGTAACACAGACACCAATTGAGGAGAAGGAGGATTAGATGATATTAAATAGCGGTATATGTGATATGTTCATGTAGTTGTGAACTCCATTCACTTGGAACTTTATATACATTACATATTTACTTATAGTCTTAGATTCTTACATTTATTGAATAATGTGTTTATTAAGAACTACATTCAGTGTGCATATATATGACTTACCATGGCAACCATTTGTAGAGGAATATTATACACACACATACACACACACACCCCAATTAAACATAATTTTTAATTGTGATCAAAACAAAAACAAATAAGATAACTGTCAAGAATTGAATTGACAATTACCTTTATTTTATTTGTTCAATAAAACTTCAAATTAAACCATGCTTATATGATGTTACCCATTATTAAGAAATCCTTCCCCACTCTTAAGAGAGAGAAATGGGGTTTAACGTCCACTCGACACAAACTAGATCATTTTGGGACTAACATATGGTTCAATTTTATTTCAATAATTCGCTTGCGCGTCCCCACTCTTAATACTGCAGGAAAGGAGTTATTGTATTTTTAAAAATGAATTGTAAAATAATTTTGTTAACTTGTAGTTAGAATTAAATAAAACAGGTTAGTAAATAATAAATAATTAAATAATTTCATAAAATGTCTTAATTCTTCTTTCCACATATATATTGCATGCATGATATTGTGAATGTTCAGCAAGATCCGAAGTTGCATTAATTTTATGTCACATTTTTATCCAGTTTGCGATAAGTTAATGCAGCAATAATTTCATGTTACTACTTCTACAGTCATTATTGAATTGCTAAAGTCTGTGGATTGAAAATTGTTTAGAACTATGGTCTTTAATGATATTTTCTATGTAATTACATTCCTGTAGGAGTTATCTTTCCTTCAACCTTCCCTGTCATATCATTATGGATTGAACATGCTTTTTGTGAAAATTTATAATCATTTAATTCATTTACTCATTATAATAGAGGGTGTTTAATGAATATTTTCCATCAGGAATTTCGTTAATTTATAATTAAATAATACTATTCATTAACAATGTGCAATTGTACAGCTAAAGGTTAAAGAAATCAAAAAGTAAAATGCTAATTGAAAGTACAAAGTATAAGTCACAATCACCATTAATGGAGGTAAGGATTTTAATTAAAGTTGGTAAAGGTAAAAGGTTATTAAATGACAGTTCACAATTGATGATATTAAAAACAGAGTTTAAGTTAAATTGATCTCTAAACCACAATTAACTAGCTAGTCCATACATGTAAATATTTTATAAATGAAAACTGTAAAACTATGTTATATTTTACTTAAAAGATTTAGTAAATATAAATGATGGTTTAAGATTTATAGAAACTTCAAATGGCTCAGTTGTAATGTGGTCTTATATTGCTGTCCTCCTCATCTGTCTGGCCACCCGTTCTTTAATTCAGACATATTGGGCCTTTAACAAAATTTGTTTAAAATAATAAGAAAGCACTTTAACCAATAAATTATACACAATTATTTCATATCATTATCAGATATACTGTAAACAAACATAAACCTGTCCAATTATTAAATTTAACAATGCCGTCCTGCATAAACCAACTTATTCTGCAAGACCATGTCCTCTTCCTCCAAGAATTGTGTGTGAAATAGCTTTATTTAACGTCAGCTTCCTCTGAAGTGATATCACCAACAAGAAACAAGATTCGTTATTTTAACAAAACTTATTTTTCTGTGATCAACTTTTGTACTGTTCTCTCTATTTTTTTCCCCTGATGTATCCAACTTACCCTTCTTTCTCTGATATTTCCACCATCTAAAATTGCCAAATTGTTTTGTAAACATTGTATATATATAGCATTTTGTTTGTTTTGTAGAACTGTAAATGTATATATTAGGATAAGCAACTTTATATTAATCAAAATGTAGTCAACTATTACATCCATCTTGTGTTTGCTAGAGACACACATTCAGAAGGCAAAGTTAAATGTACAATAATAGAAAAATGGTTATATCGACAAAAAGGGTATTTCTGGAAAATGTTTACAGAACACTATTATTTCACAGTGTTCTTTAAAAGATTAAAACTATGTGATAATTTAAATCTATGATATTAAATTTTTATTTGATTGTAATTTTCATATTTATTGATGGTAGCTTTTTAAAAACTAATATGCTATTGATGGGTGTTAACCTGACCAAAGCGGGTAAAACTTAAAAAAACGAAATGGGGGGTAACTCGCAGAAGGGACAGCCCTTTCTGTTAGACAATTCAGTGAGCTTTATACTGACATTGTCTAGTTGGATGATTAAGCCAGTATAGTATATCAAAAGTTAGACTCAGGGTTTTCTCCCCTGTCATGTCTTCCCCCTGAGTATGACCATGAGTTTGTATATATATAATAAAAACATACATATATAGAAACATGTATATATAACTAGTCATTTAATTTCTGCACTCTAGCTTTGGCACATTAGCAGATTTTTGCTCCTGGAAGTTTGTTTTGAGAAATCTTGAAATAGTTTCCGAGAGGGCAGGTTTGTTTTTAGCAAATCTCTGTGGCTCAGATATAAATTAAAGTGAATGAAGAATTTGTTAAAAAAGAAATTATTATCGTTTATTGGTCTTCTTTAAGATTGAAGTGGTCCAACGCGTGCAGATTTATATTTTTCTTTGGTTCCATAATGGTTGCTATGCTCTGCATGACATCATAAATTCTAATGTTATTTCTAGGACAAGTGAACATACATGGTTACAAAAATCATGAATCTGCTGTTGCAGTTGTCACAACCAAAACCTGAAAAAATTGATTGACTTCTAGTAAAAAAAAAAATTGCTAATGGGCTAAAGGCATTATATTGTATAGATCATTATTTTGTTAAATCATGCATTTACCTCTGTATGTATTTAGTATACATTAAACCTATTTATATTGTACAAATTATACACATTACTGTAAATACACCATTTGTTTACTTACAAATTGATTTATGTTTACTAGTAAATATTTTAGTATAGTACATCTGTATGTTAATTTTAGAATAATCAAGTCTACTAAATCGTTACCTATTGATTTAGTTAAAATATTAATTTGTGATTTGATTCGGGATAATAAGAACATTTTATATACTTTAGTAAAATTTTGCATTGTCTCAATAGTTCACAAGTTTTCATTGTTTTATTAAAATCATGAAATATGCATGAAGTTTTTGAATTAAAGTTGCTGATAACAGTTTGTGATCCATTCTAAAATCTATTCAATTGCTTATTTAAGATTTTATTAAGAAAACAAAAACGAAATTTTAACGGTAGTATAATCTTCGGTCATGGATTCAACTGGATAATAAAGCGGTCCCTATCATGTAAAAACTGACCCAAAATCAACCAGTTTTGAACTGATATTCCCTATTACAAATTTAACTTTTTAAAAAAATTATAGTTTGTAGGTATTCAAAATTACTCAAATAGCGATCAATAGCTTTAACATAAGGCAGACTTACACATTTTAAACCTCATATCTGCAAATATAAATTATTTTGTATCTCATGATATCAATTTCCTTTTAAATTATTAGGTTTTAAACTAACAGAAAGAGGTTTCCATATCCAAAAATAATATTGTTTTGTAAGTAGTTGAAATTGTCTATATAGTTGATTTCTACCACTGTGTTGTACTATTTGAACCCACCATTTTACTAATCATATTATTTATAGTGCTTAATAATTTGTTATTGCTGTTTTATATAGCCATATTATAGTCTGGTTATACTTATTATTATACTCTTGTAACAATTGATATCAATAAAGTTACTTTTCGTAAAAATATTGTTGACTTGCGGGTTTTATCTTTTAGATTCACAGTAATATAAAGCATTTATAGACATGAGAATTTTGGGGGTGGTTGATTGACTGGGGTCTTTATATTATATGATCTGTCATTCCCACACTGATACGTGTAGGCCATAGCACACTATACACTCTTTCCAACATATTCCGATCTTCTTTATCTGGGGTGGAGCAGTAAAGTCAGGAGTTAAACCTCTTTTCTTTTTAGAATAATTTATTCTTCAATTTTCATATAATAACAAAAAGTCAGATGATATACGTAAAGTTCATTCCTTGATATGTCTTTGATGATGATCATACTTATCACAAACTAGAGAAAAAAACAATTCTTCACACGCACACACTCATCCTCCCCGCATCCCCACGCTCACTAAACAAACATAAACCCCCTCAAAAACAAAGAAGATATAAATAATTTTAGGCTAGCATTAATCCTATAACCAGCATTGTTCCAACATCATGGATTCTTTTGTAAGCCTTCAATAAACGAACCCCAGCACCAAGAATCTCTGGTTCTACTTCAGGATAATCCTCAGTGTCCTCAACGTGCCAAGCCCCAACTATTCGTCTGATTAGTTCACAGCCTGCAAAGCCTGCAGCTTCGGACAACAGATTCTTTATGTAATCCTCCTTGTTATCCCCACTAAAACTGGTTATTGTTTCTTGATAAATCAAAGAAACGGCATTACAACAATCCAGTACCTTGAATGCAGTTGCTCTACCGGTGTCCTCACTTGTACTCAGATGATGATAGTAGCAGAAAATATAATTAGCAAACAGAAGACCAAGATCAAAAGCCGCGGGACCAACAGAAGCAAATTCAGCATCCGTTATCCTCATATCTCGTTCAGTGACCATGAGTGAACCCGTGTGCAAATCTCCATGAATCAAACACTCTTTCTTGCTCTGGAATAAATTTTTAAGAACCTTAGCAGTTTCCAAAATATCGGTGTCGTCATAAATAGCGCCCAAATGTGGCGTCACTTTGGCTGTGCATCTGTTGGTCGGGTTGCCTTTACTGAAAGGTCTGGTAAAGACATATTGTTTAGTAAGAGAAACGAGACTTGAATTGTTAAACCCTTCGTTTAGTTCCTCTATCTCGTCGTCTCCTATTTTAGAAATGTGGGTAGCCGAATGGACTAGAGCTAAATGGCGCGCCAAAGCTTCAGCTAGTTTGATGTCAACGTTTCCCGCCAAAAGGTGCTTCCGGTAATCCACGTGTTTCCGTAAATCTTCCATACAAAGAACATTGTTCTCTTCATCATAGAATATGGGTTCTGGAACCGAACCTGGACTTATCTTGTTGAACATCTGATAGGCCTTGAACTCTATGGAACCTCGTTCTGTACTTAGAGGATAAGCTGGTCCCAGACATTTGATATAAGGAGGAGCATGTTTTACCACAACACTTAGAGCGGGTTTACTTTTACTAATTATTCTAAAGACATTGTTTAAATTTCCAGAGCTTATTTCTTCCACTTGCAAATCATTCTCATTTTTAGCAAATTCTAATCCTTTCTGTCCGCTGTGTTTGGCTAGAGACGATTTCACTAACTGTTTAATACCTTCAGTGTTAACAGCCATGGTGAATTTAGACACCAGATTGGTACAGCTCTAACAATTTCTCCTTTTAACGCGACGGCGATATCCAACCGATATTCCTAAACAGCAGAACTCCAATATCCACCTAATCAAGGTTTGATGTTATGGATGGCCGTTGAACGATATTCTGTCAGTTTTATTCTTGAGCGAGTTTTCACAGATGTGTCCAAGCTAAACAAGTCACCGGATCTCTAAATTTTAGACAATCAATTTAGCTAAGAATATTTATCCTTGAAATTACTCGATGAAACACCGTTCTTTAGCCCACTATGACAGTTCGCGATGTATTCTTTATACTTATAAAACCCCTTCAAGAGCCACGTGACCCAGTACAGCACAGTCTTTTTTATGTATAATCTGAGACGTTATATTTTATTCTGACTTAAAGAGAGGTCGTTTACGTTGTCTTTAAAAGCAATATGTACCCCATTTAACGTTACACGAGAGGCATACAATAAACTCGTTAAATTGATTTCCAAATGTAAGAAATCTCCTTTTAAAATAGCACCTGTTAGTTATTGTACAGTGAATTAAAATCTGTTTCCTAAAATAGATATTCTTTCAATGACCCCATCCTTCCACCACTTTAAACTTTTATAATAACTTGTTACATGTCTAAAATAAAGTTAATCATAGTTTATTGTAACCCACTTTGATACCGATAAACAACTAATAATAAACCTGTGGTGCGTATTAGACGCACTTGACTGATAATTTGGTGTATAGGACGCGCCCTGTTTTGACTTGTTTAAAAATTCCACAAATTATTTAACATTGGTGGATTATTTATATCAATAGTTTTATATTACTTTGATAAACAGGCTCGACACCCACTTCCAGTCGTATTATTATTGTGAGAGGAAAGATTAACCCTATTCAAAATACTAAACAATGTGGGAGAGTTAGAATTCGTATAAAATATTTTGACCATTTTAATTCTGGTTTGTCAATTAAATATATACAGGGGCGGATTGGGGCCGGGAACCGGCCCGGGCTCCCGTGTCGGAGCGGCCCCTTTTACTGACCGCGGAGCCCGGACGGGGGGTCCGGGGGCTCTCCGACGGGAAAATTTTGAAAAATGAACCCCAAATATGCGATTTGGTGGCATATCTGATTATAATCTCTGTCAAATAATATATCTCATAAATCGATTAATTTAGGCCAAAACCCGACCTGCAAGTAATTTATAACCATCAACCTGTGAAATTATCATATCGTCATATTATTAATTAACGTATTATCATTGTATCGTCAAGAGGCAAGAGAATTTAACTGGTTAAAAAATGGGACTAGTTGAGAAAATTTTGACCATTTGATTAACCAGTTAGGAATATTGAATAATTAGGAATATTTCCATTGAAAAATGTCACATTTGTGATGCCGAGATTGATTCCTGCTGTGATGGAAGGCCACGAGACAGATTGGTAGAGAGTGACGGAAGTGGAATTCTGTAATTTCATCTCCGAAAATAACGAGTTAATAAAAATGTCAAGGAATGTTTAACACCAGCCTCAGGAATCGTCTCGCACTCATATTCAGCCAGCAGACCAGCTATCATCAAATTTTGCTGAGGCCTTAAAATTGAATTTTTTGGGGGAGTTACGAACCATCGGCAGACGTTTCTGGCGTATCCCCACAAACAGGATGCAGGTGACTTAATAATTAGTAAATTTGCGGGCGACAGTGTCGGGTGAATCCGATGAAATTTTCGGATGAAATTCGGAATCCCCATTGCAGGATTCCGAATTCCGGCCCACACCCAGCACACCCGGCCAAGAAAATCTATTATACCAGCCCATTGCAGACTCCAGTGATGGCTTGGCGGCCCGTTAAAGCCACCAGCAACATACAACATGATCATCATCGCTCCATGACCGGTCCAATAACCCCCCTCCCCCCATTACAATGTTCAGAAGAAAAAGGTTTTTTAGACGAATTGGACAAAATTATTTTTTTCATTTTTTGACCGACCGATGGCCCAATCCGCCCCTGAATATATACTACGTACATGTATATCTATTTTATCACAGGTTTACAAATGTGTCTATGGTACAGCTTATTGAAATATTGACTTTGAAATATTTCAAGTACTCCAAGATTTACATCAACATAGAATATGTTTCTACAGAAATGACTTGACCCAGTTCTTTTCGATTTAACCGCCTGTCTATTATTTGGGATCTCGAAATCGAGGGGCAAGATATCTTTTACAGATGTCAATTTCTTTAGCTATCATAGTTGTGTAAACTAATTTTATAAAACCTAATATCAGAAACATGATTGAAAACACGTTTGACAGACTGATCGAAATTATTGCGAGAATCTAAATCTATTCAAAACTCGCATTAACCGTATTTAATCTTCGGATAAGCTATTATATTTTTAATATTAGCGTATTTAGGTTCATCTTATTATGGAAAATCCAAGAGCTGGCCTACTTAGAGTCAGGTGTTTTTCAGCAGCATTCGTCAAACACCTCGAAACCGCTAAAAAGATATGTACGAGTAGCATAGCACTAATATCTCTTTAAAATAATTTATTATTTTATTTCATATAAATAAATAAGTTCATTCCCTCAATTAAATGTCTTTGATTAGTTTCAATCGCGGGAATTATCACAATTATGAAACAAAAGAAGTTTTCTTTCCCCACCCACCCTCCTTTTAAATACACATGAATCTATAATATACATGAATCTATAAATGATTTTACGCTAACATTAGTCCGATAACTAGCATAGTTCCAACATCGTGGATTCTTTTGTAAGCTTTTAATAAACGAATCCCAGCGCCAAGAATCTCTGGTTCTACTTCAGGATAATCCTCGGTGTCCTCAACATGGGCAGCCCCAACTATTCGCCTGATTAGTTCACAGCCTGCAAAGCCTGCAGCTTCAGACAACAGATTCTTTATATAATCCTCTTTGTTATCCCCACTAAAACTGGTTATTGTTTCTTGATATATCAAAGAAACGGCATTACAACAATCCAGTACCTTGAATGCAGTTGCTCTACCAGCGTCCTCACTTTTACTTAGATGGTGATAGTAGCAGAAAATATAATTGGCAAACAGAAGACCAAGATCGAAAGCCGCGGGACCAACAAAAGCAAATTCAGTATCCGTCATCCTAACATCTTGTTCAGTGACTATGAGCGAACCCGTGTGCAGATCTCCATGAATCAAACACTCTTTCTTGCTCTGGAACAAATTTCTCAGAACCTTGGCAGTTTCCAAAACTTCAGTGTCATCATAAATAGCGCTCAAATGTGGCGTCACTTTGGCTGTGCATCTGTTGGTCGGGTTGCCTTTACTGAAAGGTCTGGTAAAGACATATTGTTTAGTAAGAGAAACGAGACTTGAATTGTTAAACCTTTCGTTTAGTTCCTCTCTTTCGTCGTCTCCTATTTTAGAAACGTGGGTAGCTGAATGAACTAGACCTAAATGGCGCGCCAAAGCTTCGGCTAATTTAACGTCAACGTTTCCCGCCAAGAGATGCTTCCGGTAATCTACGTGTTTCCGTAAATCTTCCATACAAAGAACTTTGTTCTCTTCGTCATAGAATTTGGGTTCTGGAACCGAACCTGGACTTATCTTGTGAAACATCTGATAAGCCTTGAACTCTATGGAACCCCGTTCTGTACTTAGAGGATAAGCCGGTCCCAGACATTTGATATAAGGAGGAGCATGTTTCACCACAACACTTAAAGCGGGCTTACTTTTACTAATTATTCTAAAGACATTGTTTAAATTTCCAGTGCTAATTTCTTCCACTTGCAAATCATTTTCATTTTTAGCAAATTCTAATCCTTTCTGTCCACTGTGTTTGGCTAGAGACGATTTCACTAACTGTTTAATATCTTCAGTGTCAACAGCCATGGTGAATTTAGAAACTAAATCGGTACAGCAATAACAGTATTTGCTTTTAACACGCCGGTGATATCCAACCGATTTTGCTGAACAGCACAACTCCACTATCCTAATCAAAGTTTGATGCTATGGATGGCCGTTGAACTGGTATTTCTAAACTGTATACTTCTGCCATCCAATTCTTTTATATGTTAGGGTGGGCGTTGAACGGTTTTCTCTCAGCTTTATTCTTGGGCCACTTTTCACACGTTCTCGGAACTGATAGTTCAAAACTGAATACTTCTGTTATCCACCAGCTTTTATGGGTGGCCGAAGGACAGTTTTATTCTGGCCCCACCTTTCACAGATGTGTCGCAAAATCTATATCATTAATTAATACAGTCAATGATTGAATGAATCACTTAGCTAGTAAGGTTAAATGAATACTCTCCTTGATTTAACCCGATGAAACTCTGTTACACTGGCTTTTTGGTCACGGTATTGTTTATCATCCTGTGGTCACGTGATCACATGTTATCAGTTGGCTATATTATACTTTAAACATTAAAAAGGTTTTCTCTCGACAATATGTCAATAGATGTGTTTAAATGGTATTTGCATTTATACTATCTGTATCTTTATGTTCAAAGTATATTCTTTCTTTATGTTCAGAGTATATTCTTTTTCCATTCACATTAGTTATATTTCAGAAAAGTCGTCCAATTATTGCGTTATTGTAGCTAATGACATTTTACAGTATACATGCCATTCCACACACCCCCTCCGCCACCTGAATGAAATGGGAATTTTCTGTACTAAAATGGGCTATATTGTATCTTTAAATAAATTATTAGGGTCACGCTTTCTATAGATCCAAATCCCACGTACTCAAGTACTTGAGTGATGTGTTTGGATATAAAAACATTGATAATTTGGTAAAACACTGGTTTTGTCCTTTCCATAATTGTCAAATTATTCATCAAATACTATCTGTTTATGACATGTGGAACAAATAAGGTAATATTTTCCTCCCGGTCTTCGTAGTATGGGGATGTTTATTCCATATTTGGGAAGCAAATTAACGCCAAGGAATAGGGCGTTATAAAAGAAATTGATCAGAGCTCACCCAGATTTTCCGAGCAGCCATTATCTATACTTTATTGAGAACCAGGAACATCGAAGCCAAGCAGTTTTGAAACTAAATTTGTTGAAACCTGTAGTTTTATTTACGATCACGAAGGAAACAAAACAAGGAAGTCCGGTATTACTACAACGGGGCCTCGCTTTTTCGTACCAACCGCACGACAAGGCTCTGTTCTTTGACACCACTGATAAGTGTAAACCAGGCTAGAAATAAATACGAGGAATGTTCACAACCAACACTATAATCGATCCCGGGACCACCAGGTTGGTGATCCAGGGCTTTACTCACCGAGTCACCGTGGCTCCCATGCCACTTTAAACGTTTATAATAACTTGTTACATGTCTATAATAAAGTTAATCATAGTTTATTGATACCGATAAACAACTAATAATAAACCTGTCGTTTGTCATAGGTTATAAGACGCACAAACAGTACACATGTAAACGCTTACATATAGGACGCGCTTATTGTTTTAACCCAATTCCACAAGTTATTTAACATGAGTTTATTATTTTGATCAATAGATTGAGCTTACTTTGATAAATATACGTGTGGCATAAACTGTTATTTTTTTATGATCAACATTATTGCAAAGAATTGACATTAAAGCGTCTGGTCGTCATTTGGTGATTTTCAATCCTGTCTCTTTCCTCCTACGCCCCACTCCAACACTGTTTTTTGTTTCCTTTATTAGGGTTTCACACTGCGTAGCTTGTGTGAAACACTATTGTTTTTGTTAAAATTATTATTCTTATTATTATTATTCTTCTTTTGTTTTGAGTAGATCTCAGCAACTGATTGTCGGATCGTTACGATTTCTTCGGTTTTATCGGAAAAGTGGGTGTGACTTAGAGGATAAAGCTATTTTGAACGTTCTGCGACAATGCGAAATGTCCGAAATCACCGAAGCTATCGTTTTTAGAAATATTGCAGTAATTTTAACAATAATCATTGGATTTTAACTTTCGATGCATTTTGGCATAGCCGGAGACGGGGCACATAGCTACGCTACTTTTGATTTTTGATTTTCGGCAAATCTTCGCAGATATTAGGCGCTAAATTTAGAAAATTTAAATTTTTACAAAAAACTTTTTTATTTATGAATATTTTTTAATCGTGTTTTACACAAATATAACGAGTCCTCTGACTTGGGCAAAAATGTGAAAAATTTTTGTCTCGGTAATTTTCCTTGGCCCCCATTGGCTAATTCAGTTTTTCAGTCCTAGATTAATTATTTATTGTTCGATTTGTATAAAACAAAGTTCATATGCCCCGTTGTCTCAATTGTCATTTTTTTTGTTACCAATAGTGTTATCTGTCGGCACCGGAAGTGGCGTAAATTGACAAAAAACTACAATTTTGACAGTTAGGTACCATTTTTCGAAAGCAAATATTATTTTTTTCAAATCTGGTATAACTGAAATTGTGCGCCCTTTAAAGGCGCACAAAATGTTGGGACCATTTTTTTTAATTTCGATTCCGTTTTCGGGCTATTTCGATTAAAAGGTGAAAAAAGGTGTAAAATTAAGCTATTTACAACCCATTCAGCGTTTTCATATTTTAAAATATTACTTCGTAACTTTCATAAACTCGTAGCAATAATCTATACGGAGAGAATGTATGTGAAAATTAATTTGTAATATGCGCAGTTGCCGAGAAATGGGCAATTTTGCATGAGTCACTTTTTACGCTAGTTTGCCTGTAAAAGAGTCAATTATTATTCGATTTTCATAAAAGTGACACCATTTGATGTGTAATGTCAATTTTAACTAGGTCAAACCAATTTAACATTTTCAATATCACCGGAAATGACGTAATTTGGGCAAAAATTGTATTTATAGCCTTCGAAACCAGTAATTTATTCAAATGAGTCATATTTGTTATTTGTTTAAAATTTTGATATTTGATTCAAATCAACTAATACAATGAACCCTTACAATCATATAGATATCACAAAATGGTTTCTAACTTGTTCAGTTGCGGAGAAATAGGCAATTTTCAACAGGTCACTTTTTAAGGTTTTTTTGTCAAAAAAAGTGTCAATTATTATTCGATTTTCATGAAATTTTCACTGTGTGATACATAATGCCATTTACGATATCATACAAGTAATTTAAGATTTTCATTATCACCGGAAGTAACGTCATTTTGGCAAAAACTGTATTTTTAGCCTTCAAAACAGATATTTTATTCAAATGAATCAGATTTGTAATGTTTTTAAAATTATGATATTTGATTCCAATCAACAAATAGAATGAACTCATTCGATCATACAGATACCTCAAAATGGTTTCTAACTTGTACGGTTGCAGAGAAATAGGCGATTTTCTACAAGTCATTTTTCAAGGTTTTTGGTCTATAAAGGTGGCAATTATTATAGGATTTACATAAAATTTTCACCATGTGATGATGCTATTTCTGATTTCATAAACCAATTTAACATTTTCATTATCACCGGAAGTAATGTAATTTTGACAGGATCACTGACATGTAGCAAATGAATTGATTGCTGGATTTGGTTGTTTCTGCGTCCATTTTATTTCATGTGTGCAATGCTTATGTGGAAACCTGTTTAACGGTTTCATTGGTACCGGAAGTGACATAAGTTCAAGGGTAACGTGGCACCGGTGAAACCCGTCATTACTGCTTCGCAGTTCTAGTTAAATAATAAAGTTGAGTATATTTTAGATCGAATTAAACCGTGAAAATTAGATATTGTACGAAAAAGCACAATTGGAATCGACGACTTTAATAACTGGGATTTGTTTTTTTTTTATCATCTCGTCCTTGACCAGTAGAAGTTTTAATAGTATTCATATTACATTAGACTTAAGTTAAGTTAGCCCTATATATAATTCCACCATAATACTATGGTATAATGTGGGATATTTAGAATTCGTATCAGAGTAATTTCCATGCAACGCAGTTACTCGATTTCACGACAGAATAAATTAGTGTTAGTAGTCAGTAGAAATAGTACTCTTCTTAGTTACTACCGTTTTCGCTCTCGATTCTGTGTGACGTTTTTATGAGATAACAAACCGAGATCCCGTGTACGCGTTTGCACTTAAAAGGACCCCTGACAGTTGGAATTCGAGTAATCGGGAAAGCCGCTGCCAAGTTAAACTTTCAAACATAGCACACTGCTTTATTCCACGTACCTTCGCGTCAAACTTGGACAAATTGCTTCCAGACTTTTTTACTTGTGAGATCTTCATGCATCATCTAGTGCAGTGGTTCCCAACCTCTTGTTGGTAACAGGGGCTAAGTGAGGGGGCGCAATGACGAGTTTTGCGCCCCTTGAGTTTTTGCGCCTCTCGCAAATGCCAAAAAGACACTCAATTTCAATGCGGTTTTCAACATTATAATCAGAATCACAATGCCCAATCAGTGTCAAACATGCGTGGGTCAGATATGCTACAAATCGACTCTAATATGTTACACACAGCCCAATATTACCCGGTGGCACTGGGAGGGGTTGCCATCCCATCCCAACCCCCACATATAAATATTGTTTATTGAGGCCCGTGTGCGATCTTGTTCCTAATGCAAAATCATAGGTCACCACGCACCTGGTTGGTAATGACCTCATTCCAGAAACCAGCATCTTATCGCAGCCCTCGAAGAACAAATCGGATATAGAGTGAGAATCCCTTAAAACTAGTTTCACTTTCCAGATCGTGGGCTGGGCGTGAGAGAGGAAATGCGATTGGCAATGTGGCAAGAGATGTATAGATCAGAGATTTATATGCTTTTTAAAGTTTCAGAGTAGTCTGTCACGATCCCACTAAAAGTGCCCGCGACCCCAGCTGGTGTCGCGACCGAGCGGTTGGTAACCTAACCCAGGATCTAGTGCATCTTTAAGGAAAATATGGGAAGGAACACAGTCGAAATAAAGAAATAAATCAATTTATTTTATGATCAGTAGTGGAATACCGCATTTTATCAGTGAAATAAAAGTGTTATTCCACTGGCTCCAAGCGAACAAAGTAGTCCATGTTGTTTTTAACTAAAATGATTGCAAAATCATAAAATAAATAGAACATTTGTCGTTTTGTCGTGAATAACATATTTTATTTCATCTCTAAGCAAGAAAACGTTTATATTTTCACTCATGCTACGCATTCGTGAAAATATAAGTTTTCTTGCTTCTCGATGAAATAAAACATGTTATTCACTCTAAAACGACAAATATCCTCTATATAATTAAAGGAGACATAAAGTGAGGGTGGGTTGTTGACCTGGGATAATAAACGTCACCTATAGTGGTTGAGTTATTGATGTGTTTAAAGGGACAACCAGACAGAACAAAACCTTGTCACATGGATAGAAATCACAACACTTGACTGAGTGACAGACCTTTGATAACTTGTACTAGTCACCTTCTTTCGTGATAATACTTTAATTGAAGGATGTTTCAGTGAACCACAAAGAGGACGGTATACCTTTATGTTGTATTTCAGAAACATTTATATATAGTGGTATTGAGGCTATACCTGCGCTAATTTGCAAATTGAAAGTATATGCGGAGCTTTGTCATAGATTCCAAGTACTTTGCATAACTTAACACCTGATCTGTGTGGGCGATGCCATGTTACAGGTTCATCTAACAGTAGTCTGGATGGTTCGGAAATCAACCATGACATTATAGGCCTACCCAACATAGATAGAGTCAGCTTAAATTCGGTAGTTTGTATTCATTTTGATCGGTTCACTACCCAACCCATATTCTAAGCATTTTAATAGGTCACGCTGACTGACGCTGTGTAAACAGCCTTCTATATAACAGCAAAACCGACGAATGAACATCAGTACCAATATTTATTGCGTAATAGTGGCGCAATCCTCTTTCTCTCTGAGCGGGAAGCAGAAAACCTGTCTGAAAATATCACTGGCAGATTCTCTTACAGGTTTGTTTTATTTTATTGCATATTATTTTAAATCATGTATATAAGCCCACGCCAGTCATCACGCCGGTTAATCAATATTCGGCTCTGTTAGTGACTGCGTTGTGTTTATATGTATTTAGTTTACTGGGCGTGGACCATGCGGATTCAATACATTCATCAACATAAACTAGAATAATGTTCAACGTTGACATGCGTCATTTTCATATAATCCACGCTCTCTGAAGGTAAAAACAATTTCTTTATACATTATAAATGAATGAGAACCCGAACGCTTGAATTGCATGATATTTTACCTGCACGGTTGTCGATTACATCTATGTATCTACAAGAGAACCTTTGTATTTTATGCATTTGTGGGAAACATTTATGATCACCTGCATGTACAGTTCCGAGTGGAAAATGTCGGACTTCCAATGTACCTTTTATGGCTATTTTACTGTACACTTATCAAAATACCGCCATTTTAAAAAAAAAATGTATTTATGATGTTAATTGCAGAGTTTCGACGCGCCCTTTGTGTAAACATGGTGTATCTTGTGTTGTAGATCTCACAGATCTCACATAAAGATTAAAGTCGCGATGTCTCCATATTTATTAAAGTATAATACGTTAGGCCCGAGCGCACTTATATGTTTGGGTTACTTCAATCTGTTTATTTTACACGCTATATATATCGTCTTTATTAGCCAAGTCAGAGCACAACAATAGTATGTTAAACCACATTTCCTTTCATTGATATGTATGTATATATAAATAAAATAGGTTATTCAATAATGAACTCTTGACAGTTGGCATTCGAAATAAGAGTAGGCCATAGTGCCATTGTCCGGGCATAATTTCCATCACAGCTCACAGTATAGCACATGCCCGTTTTCATTTAGCAGAAAAGTAGGACGTTAAACCCAATTTAAATTGTAATGCAAACAATGTTGAGGCTTTCAGACATGCCCCAGGTCTTAATTTATTTATATTCTGGTCGACATAGTTACATATTTATATCCGACTCAACCCGAGCCCAGTCTGAGATATCACACTTGGTAGAAGCGGACGTAAATCCCCACGAATGAACGAAGGAGGCCCGCGTGCGCTTATTTTAAACGCTAATTATGATGCATATATAGCAGATTAATCAATAATGAATTACATGTATAAAGACAACTCGACATAAAAAAATAAATGTAATGTTAAAAATAAATGTGGAGTCACCCAGACATGTTGCCTCGAGTCGTTATTTGTTTGTATTCTGATCGACATAGTTACATAGTAGGCTATGCATATCTGTGAGGAATTAATCTTATAACGTAAATTAAAATTTAAAGGAGCACGAGGCGTTGTATTTATTTTTATTCTGTAGTCATAGTTACATAGTATGGCTATATTTATGAGGAAATAATCTGAAAACTAGATTCTAAATTTGGGGTCTATATTGTATATTTTTCAAGGCTATTAATTTTACTTTTATTTTTTTATATCAATAGAACAATATGGCTGATCACCAACATGACCACCAACATGAATGCCACGAACACCACGGACCAATCACTCCAGAGTTCTGGTTGAAATACTGGGATTCAAAAGAAGGCCGTGAACTTAATCATCAGGAAGTTCACGAATGTCTCTTGAAATACGAGGATCTAGCTCTGAAAGGGCGGGAAAAATTGAAAATCTTCGTTCCCCTCTGTGGAAAAACGTATGATATAAAATGGCTAGCTGATAAAGGACACGAGGTTGTTGGCATAGAGTTATCTCCCGTTGCGGTCCAGCAATTCTTCGAGCTGAACAACATTGAGTTTTCAGTATCAAAGGTACCGTCTATACAAGGAGATCTATACACAAGTAAGCTTGGTAACATAAGAATCTACTGCGGTGATTTTTTCTTGTTCTCGAAAAACCTTGAAAGTAATTTCCAGGTTGTTTGGGATGCCGGTGCCCTGCATTCGTTTCCCAAATCGGAGAGAGAAAAGTATATAGATGTGGTGAAAAGCTTGATGGCGCCGGGATGCCAGTATCTTTTGGAAGAAGATGTACCAAGTTGCAGTGATCGTTTTGAGATAGCTGACTTGGAGAAGGCCTTTGGACCAAATTTCACCGTAGTAGATCTGGGTTTCACCAAAACAGACGTCGCTATGTTAAAAGAATGGGAAATAGAAGGCTTCAGAATATTTCACATTTATTAAAACGTGAATTAAATTTTATTGTGAGATCAAACCGTTTCTTATAAGCTATTGGTTATAATACAAAATATTTTTTAACATGTTTTGGTTGCAATATAAAAAGGTCTTTTGATATATTGGCACTACCAAAAAGATCTAGATGCAAGGGTGAGGGTGGGGTGAAAGCGGAAGAAATGGCCCTGGCCCTCGGCATTTTGGGCTACGTATAAGATTCTTAATTCACCCCCCCCCCACTCCCGTGACGCCCATAAGGTTAACCCGGCAACATATATTAGTTACAATACAAAATATCTGTTAAAATATATTGGTTGAAACACAAAATGTATGTTATTCTTCGTTACAAAATTTCTGTTCTAATCAACAACAAAAAATGAAGATTATAATCAAAACAAAATGTATGTTATAATCTATTAGTTACAAATATTATACAAACTCTCTTGTATTGTTACATCGCTTTTTTAATTAATATTACTGTGACACTACAGTCAATTAGGAACTAATATTGACTTCACGTTGTGAATAAAACTTCAAGGATCAATTGACTCTGTAACACTTTGTTGGTTTAACTATGTTTTTATATATTTACAACATCCATAATACAATGGTTATATATAGGAAACTACACACACAGCTATGGCATAGAATATAAGTTCCCCATCCCTTAGTTTGTGTTTTGTGGCGAAAGTTACGCTCTGCTTTCTAAATGATGATCTCCCTCGGTCCCTAAGTCGAGGCGACTAAAGTTATGTCCCTCTAGGAGTACAGCATGTTGTCGGTATCTAAGCCTCTCAGTCGAGGAGGCTGTGGATATGATGTTTCCCTAGGAACTCCGAATGATGCTTTAAATGAAATTTAACCTCGCTCTTTCTTATATAGAAAGTATAGATGTGTCAGTTATTAGGACAGGCCAATTACTATTTTGGGGTAAGTGTTTCAAAAGGGGACCCGTTTTCTTCAACGTTGTTTATTTAATTGGATTAATCTATGCACCAGATTGCTGGACAACAATAACCCACCTTCAGAAATGAATGGTGACACTGTCCGGGAGTGAGTCTAAGAAAGCTGAATTTTGCAAAAAACCTACTTAGCCCATTTCTTATTGTCACCCATTTGTTTAGCCACTTCAATATATTAAACAGAGCACCTTTCATAGAACTAAAATAAACCCTATAGTATTACATTGCTACTGGTATCATCTCGTATCATTTTAAACGGGAGAATTTTGACGCATACACTTTATGGAATTCCAACTGACAAGTGATATTTTACGTTCACTCCCAATGGGTCAGTGGATCGCTGTTTGTTTCTCCCATCCGAACCACTAGACAAACTAGCAAGCATTTGAACCCTAGACATTCCGAGTTCAGTTTCCTGACCACGTAACAATTACCATTCGTTCTTTAGTCGGGGTTAACGTCCGCTTTCACCGAGGCTGATATCGCAGGAAACCCGTCGACTATATAATTAATTTTCTTGGGACATTTTACAAAACACCGCGGAACTCACCCTTAGTACCGAAGAGAGAGAGAGGGGGACTAAAATATGGTTCAATTTTGTTTCAAAAATTCGCTTGCAAGTATGGGGTCTTTAGCAGTGGGGGGAAATCGGAAAACACCGAGAAAGCCCAAGTAAATTGGACAAGAGACCATAATCCTGTCACATACAAGCGGGGAATCGAAACCACGCCGCTGGTAATCATCTATATATAGGGACCTGTAGGTAACTCAGACAATAATTATACAGTGGAATTCCTAAAATTAGTCGGTTATCCCATCAAGCAAATGCAGCGACGACTTCCGAACGACTCGATATTTTGAGGTGTAATTTTTAACTTAAATCCACTTTTATCTCTTATCCACGTTTGCGCTCCGAAATGTGGGACTTCCCTTTAAAATGTAGTTATCGCCTTTGCAAGAGTTATTTCCCTTACATGCATTATTTAATTAATTTATTAAACAGGTAAATGATACTGAACAGCATGTACGCTACAAATGTATTTAAAGATAGGTACATTAGTCACACGCGTAGATTAGATAGCAATTAAAAACGAATTCTATCATTACTAAGCCTATCAGTTATTTTATCCTATTTCATATAGAAAGATTAGACATTTAGATCAAAATAGGTATAAAAGATCAATATATCGCTCCATTTTCTGGTCATTACATTTCACTTGCCAAATTAGCCAGCACAACAAATCTCGATTCTGAGATAAGAATTGTTAAACTAATGTTAAAGTAAGAAGATGATTTAATATCAAATTTTAATTGTGTTTAACGACCCTTGTCTTTCAGGTAAAAAGCTTTTAACTGGTCCGTATCAAAACATTCACACCTTAAGACATCTCCTACGAGTCATAACGGTAATTAACATGCTGGCACGCCTATATCAATAACGGTTGTAGTAGGACGAAAGCGTACAAACCTGTTTGACCGGTTTTACACAGTCGTGCGTCTACTTCATTCAAGGTATAAAACTATAATACAATACAGTGTTATTGTTGCCTCTCATGGGGAGTACAAAACCAGTATTTGGTTTAACCCGATAGTTGAAAAATTCAAAATGGCAGGTGCTTTCGGTTCGGCTGCTACGCCGTTTATCGGTACTGTGGCCCTGCTAGCTGCTATGATTTTCCATGTTTTGGCTTTTGCGGCACCTTACTGGTCTACAACAGAAAATGAAGGGAATTATGGATTATGGAGACGAGCTCAATGTCGAATTGAAGGCTCAACTGACTGCTATAGATATAATATGCACTGGTCTGTCGCAGGTAACTGTTTCATTCATTTAACTTAAACTTCCTCGGGCACTATTTCTAAAACATTATTAAATACATTATTTCTGTTAAACTAATATAAAGCAAAGTTGTTCGCGTTTACTGTACGGTATATATAAGATATTTAGAAATAAGGAAAAACAAGTCGCACCCATAAAAACAATAGAATTGATACAAAAATAACAACGGGATCAAATCCAACCAGTTAACTCTTGGTTTAATGAACACAAATCATTGGAGTGTGAATTTAATTCAATGAGTAGCCATTTTATTTTGGTCTTGTCTATTTGTTACAATCTTTTAGGCCATTTGACAGACCAGAGACACAACAGTCCAGATCGTTTATTCATATGTCAAAAATGTGCAAATATACTATGACGATTGGCTTGGCTTTTGTATGAACAAAACTGCAGAATTATTATAACTGCATATTTATCTAAGACAAAAAAAAAATAAGACGGTGTGATATTCATAAAAATCTAATGGAAATTTTATAAACGGCCACTACTTATATTTTACTTTAATTCTGGTATGTTGGCGTTTTAAACCTGTATGGTTTTCTTCCTTGACATAATAAGACTAAAATTAATGACACGAGGTTTAAAGTCCTACTTTTCTTATGGGCATAATAAAACTAATTGGATACATACAAAGATATCAATTTTGCTTGAATGCAGTCCTCCGTAGAATAATCTTATAACTTAATTATGTGAATTACAATTAATGAATACTGTGTAATTTGAGTTAGAGTGAATAATTTGTGTATAGAATAGTTTATAAATCGAGTTGATGTATGTATAAAATAGTGTATAATATCATGTCTATAGACTAATTTATAACTTGAGTTAATGTGTATAAAATAGTGTATAATTTGAGTTGATAAAATGTGTATGATAATATGTGTATAGAATTGTGTTGAGTTAATAATATGTGTATAGAATAGTTTATAATTGGAGTTAATAATATATGCTTAAAAAATAGTGTATAATATGAGTTGATAATATTTGTATAGAATAGTGTATAATTTGAGTTAATAATTTGCGTATAACTAGAATAGTGTATTATTTGAGTTAATAATTTGCGTATAAAATAGTGTATAATTTGAGTTAATAATATGTGTATAGAATAATTTATAACTTTAGTGGTTAATATATGTTTAGAATATGTGTAATCTATCTACGATTCCAGAGAGAAAGATAGCATATCAAGTGGGAATATTGGGTCATACATGTACCTCTCCTCCGCCATCCTTCCTTGTAAATGACCTGGTAAAAATTCTGTCCTCGGGGGTATTTCCCTTCAAAAATCTGTTTTTTGAAACATTCTTTTATATTAATTTAATTAATATTTTATAAAATTGTACCCCACCCCTTTCTGAAATCATGTTACTGATCAAAGAGTTGTGTATAATTTGACTGTGTTATAGACTGTGTTATATATTTTTTTTTATTACAGATTGGTTGAATGCTGTACGAGGATTAGAATGTTTAACTATTATTTTCTGGTCTGTACCCTTAATGATTTTGCCAGTATATATCTATGTCGCCCTTGGTCTACACTATAGATGTTTGTTGGGAAGCTGTTGTTTATCTGTCTTGGTAGGAAGTAAGTAAACATTACCAGAGTTTATTCACATGTGATCGTATATTACTGACACCCTGCTCGTTCACATTGCATAAGCACAATAGATACTACAAATATTTATAATATAACCTGTTAACATTTATATTGGTTGTCTTGAACGTAAAAAGCGTATTGATTTTCAAGATTTTCGATAACATGTAGAGTTATTCCCCTTTGATACGAAATCTTGTTCGCGCGTCAAAAAATTTAATTCTGATCTGATCTTTTGAAAACCATAATCCACTCCACACTGAACTCTATAAATGGCCGCATTAAGACTTTTGAACACTGTGCAGAATATGGTGCCATCATTATGTATGCAATTCTTTTAAAATAAAACCCCACTAAAATCTTATTATTCGAAATAATACAAATGGGAATAATATAGCGTTTAATATACCAATTCCAAAAGGACACGGGCAGTGGGTGCCAAGCGCAGCGATTTGTTAGGGTGGGGATCTTTGGCGTTTTATCTTTTTATGGTGTCCCTGCTTTACTGCTGCTATAAAGACATGCTTTGCCTATAAGACTATAAGGGAATATTAACATATTAATATTATTTTAATATTTGTCTTCTGCAGGTATCTGTAACATTATTGGTGCTATAATCTATGGTATACAAATTGCAACTGATGATGTAATGCGACTTGGATGGTGTCTTATTATTTGTATAATTGGTGGAGCTCTAGGATTCGTCTCTTTCATTATTCTACTTATTGCCACTTTAAACAGACCAGACTTCTCCATTGACCGCCATTATCCATCTGGATTCTATGTGGATCCCGACAGGAACAGATTATATGCTGTGGGAGTAATCAATGATAACTTTGAAACGCTTAGTGTCAAATCCGCACAGTCCAACCCACCTGCTGGAATGGTCGTTGTTCCCCAGTAAAACACATATATATCAAACATAGACTGAATATGCCAACGATAACAATGATCGAAGTTCTTTAATGCTTGTTAAGAAAGTCTTTAATACATAGTCCACTCTTTAATCTTTCTGATTAGAATTATTCAATCCTGCTCACATATACGTAATGTTATTCAAGTTGGAGTTTCAGGAAGATCTCTACTGCTGTCCACCTAAATTTGTTCTTATATACAATCGGGGGGGGGGGGGGGTTTAACGCGTGCGCGTTGTATCGGAAGGTTTGTCATTGAGTCAGGTAGCCTGGTTTCGATTCCCCGCTTATACGTGACAAAGAGTAAAGTCGTCTGTCCAACCTCATTGATTTTCTCTTGGTCCTCGGGTTTCCTACCACTTCTAAAGACCCATAAGCGCATGAGAATTACTGAAATAGAATTGAAAATATGTTAGTCCCGAAATGACCTAGTTTGTGTCGAGTGGACGTTAAACCCCATTTCTCATAGACCATTATTAAAATTAGACTTTCATTGATAAGTTCACACAGTTGAAATCCTTGTACATGAACACACAATGGGGGGTGGGGGGTATGGTGTTGCTTCCAGTAATTATTATTGGCTGATGATTACAGTTAACAAATAAAACCAACAATATCTGGCAGGATTTTGACATATTCTGAGCTGTGTCTAAGCCTGTATTGGGACTTTAATATAATTCATGGTCTGGCCAATTTTTCTTGCAGTATAGGCAGGATATGACCTGGGGATGTGGGGTGGAGTGGGTGTTAGCAATCAACAATTCATACCATGGATAATAATTTGGACAGAAAAAATTATATGGATAGATTATGGATGTCAATCTATGCCAATAATAAATAATGGTAGTCAATTATATTAAATGTGATAAGCAAGAATTCCAAAAATAAAAAAATAACGTGCTACAAGAGCTGTATTTTTATCAGATTTGTGTTTTATTAATAAAATACTCATTAGTGATCTTAAGCTTATAACAATATCCTCGTGACAAAATTTTCGAACTTTCATTTTTATACACAAGACTAAAATAAAAACTCAAGATAGATTTTTTCTCAAAATTTAACACTCATTTCACAAATGTATAATATATGTATGTAGTACGTAAACTGTTCACAAATATACTTTAATTATTCTGCAGTGTATATAATAGATATTTCTTATAAAATTATACTTTTATACAATATAGTACTCTTTGTTTTCTTTGGTATTACCCTTATGATCAATCTGATTAAAACAAAGACCCTTTCGTTTCCAAAGTAAAAAAAAAACAAAAAAAAAAAACGAAACGAAATATAGATCTGATTTTAATCAGATTATCCTAATGATTTTAGTCATACTGCACGCAGCGACCCATCTACGTCATAGCGGTAGACAGGCGCCTAAGTTTGAGATAGATTTTAGTCTATCAAATGGAGACATGTTTTCCCAGACACAGTCTAAAAAAAAACCAGATCACCAAGCACACATGAAACAGCCTTTAATAGGCTTTTACATGGATTTTAGTCTATCAAATGGAGACATGTTTTCCCAGACACAGTCTAAAAAAATCCCAGATCACCAAGCACACATGAAACAGCCTTTAATAGGCTTTTACATTAAAATATATCTAGACAGTTCCTTTAAATATTTTGGGTGATTTTCATTGGGTTGAGCATCAGTACCGACCCTTTATTTAGTCTATGGTCTATAAAGACTTTCGTTCAAAAAAATATCTGGACAGTTCCTTTCAATACTTTGGATGATTTTCTGTTCGGTTCAGTATCAGCATAGACTCTTTATTTAGTTTATGGTCTATAAAGGTGTCAATAGACTTCCCTACAAAAATATATCTTAGACTTCTCCTTTCAAAAACCTTGATGATTTTCCATTAGGTGGCGAACCAGCACCGCTCACTTTGTTATTAGTTAATATGTGCAGGAATCCATCAGTCTAAAAACAAACCGATGTAAAATAAATACGTTCATTTCCTAAACAAAATTTGCGACAAAAAAAAGCCATAGGAATACTCCTAAAGCAGCAGCCTCAGATGATATAAAAATATTTCCAAACAACTGCAGCAATATATTGGTAATCATGTCTATATACTTGCCATTGTGTGTGATTGTCACGTTCATCAGGACAAAATATTATACATATACAATAAAACAAAATACTTTTAACTACACAGAACCTTGCATAGCAATCTGGGCGATTATTTCCAAATGCCTCAGTATTTGGAGCTGTATACTATGAGACGAGGTATATTTATAAGCTATTTCTATACATTTGGAAGTTTGATTTTCATACGTCAATTCACCTGTATCTACGACTGCAGTTTGAAGTCAGCGACCTCTGCTTTAGGGAAAAGCAACGGGAACCTATTTGTGTTAGAATACGGAAGATCGTGAAGATAATTCCCCACATATTATATCAGCGTTGTTTACTGTATGAGGGTGAAAGTGAAAGATGGATAGACCAGAATTCTATTCTAAACACTACATAAGGTTTTTTTCCCCAAAGTTATACATACCCATGGTCTTCACGGAGAGTTAAAATTATAAATATACCATCTAGGAACAACGAGTAACCACAATTTCTACAAGATACGATCCGCCTAGAAAGAAAAAAAACAACAAACAAAGAGATATCGGTAAATATAATGATATTTGAATGTGAGTTAAATGTCTGTTGGAGAAACTCCACTTCATGAATAGAACTCAAGTGTATGCGCAACCGACCGTACCCTTCAGTTTGTGGATGATCTATATTTCGTTTCTTATTTTTTTTTTACTATCGATGGCCTCCATCCCATGAAGGCGGGTGTTGTAGCGAAAACAAGAAAAAAAAACCAACAACAAAAAATGATAAAAAAATCCCCAAACTAAATACGATCTGTCTTCAATTCAGATTGCACTGATTTAATATATATATATATAAATTAAAAGGGTGCTTACCGTAAAAGTATATCATACATTCTAAAAGATTAAGTAGAAAATACCACCTACCTGTTTACTTATGTTTACTTACCTGTTGATTTTCCCACATGACTTCAGTCTTACGTATATAAAAAATCAAATATTCTTACTTACCTTTTATTTTGATTTAAGACACATTCATATTTCTAAGGGCAAAACCGGTAAATAATAATAACAATAAACATAGACATATACAAATATTTAAGAAATCTGTAACTTGAAGAAAACAAATGAATTATATATATATATATTAAAGTATGAGTCATGTGATCTCTTTTGTATAAACAGCAGCCATTCCGAAAGACCTGAAATGTATATATTACAGTTGGTATCGATGTAAGTATACAATAATATGGCCTTTTTAATACTCGATATTATGATATATTTATTAAATTATGTCCCAGATTTCAGAGAACACTTCAAATACAAAATGGTTTACATATTTAAAGATGCATTATTTAAGAGCTAAATTTGCCTATTGCGGGCTTTCTTTTGGTTTTAAATGTTATACAAATTATTCAAACGACCGACCCATAATCAACTTTCTAGAACATCGGATGGCAGTGATTTTAACGGATTAAAACACAATCGCCATTTAAAAATATAATTTAAAATTTTTCAAAGACTCATAAGTGCGCCCATAAATAGTAATTTGACTGAAATTTTCAATATGATTCATTTTTTCATTATCTATTTTTGAACTATTATAACTAAAATGGCCAGCTCTTTATCTAAATCTAAATCTTTTATAATGTATGTTTAACAAAAAAAGGCGGCTAAACTGTTTTGTAGATCGTGACATGGCTTCCATTATATCTATTAGTCAAAGTTCGATATTTTCATAGAATCATTCACCTTTTGACATATATCATTAACACATATCACGGGTAGTTTTTGATGTTCTCATTCGAATAAGAGCGGTGCGCGACCTGACCTCATTTTTCAATCAAAATGGACGCCCATTAAATATGGGGTTTCGGATATTGCAGCTTCGCGGTATGACAGAACATTGATCCAAGTGCCGAAATCTATGTATTAGTAAACACTGAATTTACCACAAGTATTTGCATTACCACATTTGCACCAATATCCTTAGTGCTATTCCAAAAACACCAATATATAGGCCTAGTTCATCAAGAATAAATTAATGGATATTGAAAACAAATATTAAACCCACTTGACTATTAAATAGTATATTAGTCTGTATGCGTTGTCAGCATTTGAGAATAATAGGTTATTGGCTAGATTATCCGGTCCTTTAGATTATCATAAACAAAGTCTAAGGGAGGTAACTAGTCCTAAAACAAAATGTCGACGCCCATGAAATTAATTAAGAATGTCATTTCAGAAAATCCACTGGATTGCATTGCCAGTTCAATATCCAACACTCTTAATTTTTTTATATTCTAAAATTTCTCTCTTCATGGGCCATATCTATTAATCCTAAATCGTCGTCACGATTCATCTTGGTTTATAATAATGAAGGGGTGCAACTTTTTGGTGCGGGAAGGGGTGCAACTCTTACTTGACTTGGCCAAAGATACTGGATAATTAACCACATCACAAACGAAACTCCCGATTACGCATGGGCAATGAAACATTTCGTCAAATATTGACAACGGTCCCAGACATTCCGCACCAATCTGTTTCACAGAGAATTACGAGTCTAGTGATATATCTCTGTCCGAAGATGACTGCCTTAACACGTGCTGTCACAGGACCGGCGTCAATCATTGGCTGAATGGCGCGTGCATTGTTTATATAAGACGTTACTGCTTCGGAGAGAATGCTGCATTTTTTTAGTCATTTTAATACCCATTTACACTAAATAGGAAATAATTTTTACCTACACTGAAAAAACCCTTGTGTTGGATCTCAACACAAGAACTTGTGTTAAAAATATTTAACACATGTTTGTGTTGTATTGCATTGCAATGACACAAGTTTGTGTTTTTTTCAATGTCTTAACACAAACTTGTGTACATTTATAAAATCTTATGTGTTTTTTTCCATATAATTAATTACGTCGACATTAAAGATAACATTTATTATGTTCCTTTATCACTAGCCTATATGTAAAACCACTCTTCCTGAATTTGAATGTCGAGTAATTCACTTGATTTATTTTTTAATATTTCTAATTATCTAAAAGGATATATTAATTATTACAAACATTAAGTAGAAATCGCAATGTATGTATCGTGCGATGCATTTAATATCTCTTTTAAAACAACGTATTTTATAACAGTATACTGATATAAGAGATCAAAGTTTTAGTCAATTATTATCTAAATATAAACTATTTATTTAATTAGATATAATAAAAGATTATTCTGATTCTACTCTTTGTATATTTTCACATCTTGTCTCAGACAATATACAGAGACAGGTTATTACAATGTCTGCATTTGGAAGTGTCTGATTGATATCGCCCCAATAAACTTGACACATCAAAGACAATAACAATTGTGTTATATCTACGTTTTAAAAAATTGTTTGAATGGGCGTGGAAATAGTCGAGTTAATCTTTTTATTTAATTTAATTGGTTCATTAATCGAAATTGGAAATTTATTCTTACCTGTAAATGACCAATTAAAATGAATTACTCTTAAAACAAAGAAAGAAATATTTATTAAAGTAATTTTGCGGTATTAAACCCTGTGGTACTGCAAATGTTAACTGTATTATTAAGCATTAGTATCGAAAAAAGTGATATTGTTGTGAAAAAAGTTTGTTCAGAAAATAAGAATATCAGGTTTGTGATTTTGGTATTTTTTAATACAATGTATTTATAACGCAAATTTTTCGTTTCGGTTAGAACAAAATATACCTCCATTTTAATTGGCCGAAGGATGTGTGACTAATAGAAATATGGCGGGCGGACAAACTGACCAAACAGTATATTTCGAGGTATTTGAGGTAAGCTAATTTAATATTATATCATAACTGCATGTGCATAATTGTGTTTCTGTTTGATTAAATATTCAAAAAATCATTCTTAAGATACAACCTCGACACCAGTCCGCCCTGAATTGCAATGTTTGTTTTGTGTTCTGGGCGCCATTTTGAATATAATACAATCCAGCGATAGTGTAGTCTAATTCCTTTAAAAGGGAATCCTAATTTGTTAATTTTCTGCAATACCACTTCGGTGAAGGCGGACGTTAAATACAGCTATTTCACGTACAAAGACCTACAATAAAATCCAGGTGAATTGGGAAAAATATTCATGTATTTTCTTGATGAAGAGTAGCTATTTCAATTTGTAAATGCCCAGTCATCTTAGACAAATAATAATTCCAACTTCAAATCAGTTGTATTTATTCAAATCATATTCATACCATGAAGAATTGTATTTTTCCACTTGCATAATAATAAAAACTTGACTTTTATTATTTTATTTCTTCAGGCCAAGAGCATGGAAAATTGGTAATTGCCTTGTATCACTGCTAACTATAAATCACAGGGAGCCTTGGGCAGAAATGATAATATGGTTCTCAGATATGTTACTGTGTACAGACTGAACAGAAAATATTTATACACTTGCTATTACAGTACTGGCCAAATTAATAGCATTTTTTTCTAAAAACGTTGCAGAAGTAACTCACTAAAATTGAAGTATGAATAAAATCATACACCGTGAATATATTGAACTGAATATTCTTACACATAACCATAGGCGTACGGGGAAATTTTTGACTGGGGGGCGGTGGTGGTTGGTGCCCCAAAAATGTAGTTAGGTTCTTAATATGTTACATAATAATAAATTCGCTGTTAAATTGGACACATTCAAGAACACAATATTTTTTTATACAACTTTTACAAAGTACAATTGTGTGCCCAAATTTTCCCAGCATTTGGTTCCCAGCCCCCCCCCCCCCCCCAGCTCGTACGCCTATGCACATAACCATATTGACATCTACTTCACATTGCATGGTTGGTCGACGCAACGCCGTGTATAGATAAAGTTGCGACAACTGTGAAGCCAGGAATTTCATATGACGTCATGCAAACTTATTATCTATTTATATGACCTATTATATTGTTGGATGTCATAGATTTCAGCGAATAAGTGTATATAGGACATAAAACATACATTTTTTAAACAAAAAGTATAGCTGAACATACTATTATTAGTATTATACAACAAGAAGCGCACATTATTGTTATATAGCCTTATTCTATAAGAAAAATCAAAATAAAAGATACACTAGATAAAAGTACTATTAAACCAGGGGCGGATCTAGGAATTTTGAAAAGGGGGGGGGGGGCGCTGCAAAATGAAGGCATTGACCGCGGAGACGGGGCTTGCCGCTGAGGGGGGGGGGGGGGTCCCCAAGAAAATTATCCGTCATTTCCTTGCATCTGTAGCCATTCCAAGAGCTATTTCCCAGACTGGTGTGTTTGAGTCGATGGTTCGAGTCATTTGGGATCCCTACAACGGGTTGGGAACGGACATATTTGAGTCTGAGAAACGGCACTTTCAGCCGTAAAAAAGGGCACTGTTGAAAATTAGGGGGGAAGGGCGCCCCTCGCGCCCCCCATTGAATCCGCCTCTGATTAAACATATTTAACTTGCATTCGCTTTTAAAGGAGCTAAATCGCTAATATTTGGGAACTAGAAATTGTCACAAATGGGTCGCACTAACCTTGATGTTGACAAATTCGTAAGGCGATATGAACATCAAGGTGATATATGCATATATGCAGCATAGATAATTAAAACTTCTATTCAAGTTAAACCAACTGTATCTATTTATGTCTTACGTCGAGCTGATTACATTTTATGATTTATTGTCATTAAAACATCTATTGGTGGTTAACAGTGTGTAACTAAAAACTAAAATTGGATCTTATTATTGCCAATGATATAATGTAGGTTGAATATTTTATCACGAAGTCTATCGCATCCAGATATTTAAAGCGCGTTTACAATATATTCATTTTTTTGTATCGTAAAATTCATCTTCATTTGACGAACTACACCCAAACTACAGTCAGTGTAAACACGGTTTGGAGACTGTATCTGAACTACAGGGTACATCGAACTACAGTGTACATCATGCTTAAGAGACACTATCTAATATCCAACAGGAAAAATGACGATTAATTTAATATCCGCCAATTGGTGTTGCTGCTATTTTGTATTTTCAAAATTTATCTTCAAATTCAGAGACATCGAAAACCATATAAAGGACATTGCAAAAGTCATATCTTACGTATCTTAAGAGATGCCCTTTTAGTCTACCAAATTTATGTTTTTTTTTGTTAAATTGCCTTATACATGTATTACCAAATTCGGTAGCCCTTTTAAAAGAAATGCCCGGCACCACATGGAAAATACATTTCTTTAATTGATGTTTGTCAAATTCGATTTCCGCACATTTCGCGTACATAACCACGATATAATGGTCGAACATTACGTACATCAGATAAACTATTTTTAAAGCCCAAAACTGTTCAGCTAGTCTCTTTTAGTTATCAAGCACCTGTTTTATGGGATAATCTACCATTTAGTTTAAGATGTTGTACATCTCTATATTCTTTTAAAAAACAACTTAAATCACATTTATTTAATGAGGCTTTTAACTGACTCTGTATACAATTGTTAACATGTCCATAATCTTGTTGTTTATTTATGATGACATTGTCACTTTGTAAAGTGCCCCTGAACATGTTTTATGAAAGGGCGCGCTATAAATATGCTGTAATAATAATAATAATAATAATATTACCAAATTTGGCGGCCATTATGAAAGAAACGCCCGGCACCATATAACAAATACTTCTTTTTTTTAATTTGACGTTTGTCAAATTCGATTTTTCGGCACATTTCGCTTTCATAACCACTCTGTGTATGAGGAATTTAAAAAGAAATCATTTACAATCCAACGAGTAAATAGTAAAACACACTGATTACGAGATATCGCTCTCAGAAAATTCCCCGATTTTGGGAATTATTTTGTTTGATATATTTATCACTGAACCAAACTGCATTGGTTTCTTTTGCATTTTTTTTTTAGGGTAAAACGTTATATTATCCCTCAACGTCTAATACTGCAAGAAAAAACAAATTTTGGTATGTAAACCTGTATGAAGCCATGACGTCATAGCTTTTATGGCGTCATAATTGGGACCCAAAATGGCGCCTGGAAATGAGTTGTCGTAACTTTCCCACAGTCTACTCACTCATGTGCTCATCGTTGTATACCAACTAACGTTGAAAAAATCAATTTACGTCGATTTTTGAACATTTTAAAAGCCGTAGTTCGATTCGGCGCCCAAGAAAAGATATAAATATACACCAAAAACATGGCAATCAATCAAGTTGAAGCGTTTTGGCGTAAAACATCTGTTTAGGCGAGATGACGTGTTTTTGGTGTACATGAGTAAGCAATAATGCTACATGACTAAAATACCCCCCCCCCCGCCTTTTGCATTCGCATGTAGTCATACATATGAGTCTCAAAATAATATAATATATTGTTAAATTATGCTCTTTTCAACTCCCCCGCCCCCGCCGCCGCCCCCTGCTCAATGAGTTATTTTACTTTTATTCTGCCATCTAAATAACTCTATACCCATGACTGGTGTACCAAGTTAAATCCACATAAAAAAAACCATTTGTCGATAAGTGTATTTATAATAATCACTTGAACATCCTTGGAGAATTATATCTATTTAGTGAATATTAATACCAAAGAAAGAAAACATCTCTAAATTCTGAATATAAAGTCATCAAATTCTTTTACAGATCTTATTGTGGAAACCCAAAAGTTATATTGCCTTTTTAATCACATTTTTGTTTTTAATGTCAAATACCAAACCATCTCTAATATTGTTTCATTATATAGAATGCAGTGTAATCCTAAACACTAAAGATTTGGCCCGAAAACTTGAAATAATATAGAGGGATCATCAATAATTAATAGTAACATTCGATAATTATAAAAATGTATTATTGTAGGATGAAATCAACCTTTATTTTTAAACATTTAGTGAACATTTCGGATGTTAATGCCTCTTTTATATAAAATGGTTTGATTAATTAATCAATTTTTGTTTTACAAATTTTTAATTTTCTCCATTTTGTTTGATTTTTATGCTATATTTATTTTATCTATCTATAATTATTTGCCTGTGCTTTATCTATTAGTTCCCATTTATATACTGTAGAAAATTTGGAATTCCTAATCTGTTAAAGGAACTATTTTTTCTTAAAAGTATTTCAATTTAGTGCATTATTAATGTCTTTAGTGCTTGGTTTAGTTGATATTAAATTTAGATATATTTAAAATGTATGTTTTGGGACCATGGGGTAGGGATATTGTGAACATATATATTATATTCTCAGTTCTTTTTAAGGTTAATTGTAAAAAAAAATTAAATAGCTTTTTTTGAGGGGTGGGGGGATATTGTTACTATTGAACACAATTTTATTAGTATTGAAATTAACTTCGTTGATTAATATTCCAAATGTCTCGGTGCTTTATTTTTCAATTTAAATAGCTACTTTTTATTTAATAATTGGGAATGGGGGGGGGGGGGGTATTTTTTCATTGTATAACACAATTTTATTAGTATTGGAATTAACTTTGTTTATTAACCTTCGAGATGTCTGTATTGGTATTAATTAGGCATTAATTTATTTTTTCATATCATTTATTGAATAAATAATAATTTAACAAACAAAATTATTATGTCATTTATCAATAATTACAGTTTAAACAGAACGAATGGAAGGGGTTGCATTCGAAAGGTTGCTATACTGGATATAAATTGGTAAAATACAACACACGTTTTTGTTATACACAAGTTTGTACGAAACAACACGAGTTTCAGAAATTTCAACACAAGTTTCAGAAATTTCAACACAAACAAGTTTCAGAAATTTCAACACAAATAATGTGTAGATTTTCACACAAGTTTTGTGTTGTTTCAACATTTAACACAAGTTTTGTGTTGTTTCAACATTTAACACAAGTTTTGTGTTGTTTCAACATTTAACACAAGATTGTGTTGTTAAATAGAGACACCTAACTTGTGTTGAAAATAACACAAGTTTGTGTTGTTTCAACACAAGTTTTTTTTCAGTGTACATATACGTCAAACGCCTTTATTTATTTTTCCAATACATAAAAAAAAATGTTTTAGAATTTAATTTGTCGCAGGAAAAAAGTTAATATTTCTGGCTCATTAAGCCGCATCGATGTCATCCTTATCAGTGATTGTAGCGGCCTAGCAAATATTCACTGCGGATCAGTGTGATTCCGCACGTTGAAGACTAGGTCCTGTGTGACCGAGACTAACTATTAAATTGGGTCAAAATTTGTAGCAGCCATATTTGGCCTGACTTAAACTAAGTTTAAGGCCGCTACTGTCACGAACCCAAAGCCTCTACGGTCACGCTCATTAAAGGTATTAAAGATAGGGAACGTACTTGGTTCTACTGGTTCAGACCTAATTGGTGGCATTTCTTTGTTTCTCACACATATAAAGTTGATTTTGTCACTACAAGATCTTGAAGATATCTTTACTTCATCAGCACCCACAAACGAACACTGATCTGTAAGAAATTTAAGTTTTTGATACATGAAACAACTTTGTACTATTAGGCCTATACCTATGATCAATGTGAAATCATGCCAAATTAAGTGTCTTGACGTATTTAGATTTTTTGACCCATGTGTCTCATTACTGTTATGGGATTTGTTTGTGTGTGGTACAGTCCTTCTGTACTTGCTATTAGACATCACCAACAATTGTAACACGTAACTGAGGCCTTTTCACCCGTCCCACGCACATGCACAAGGAATCGAGTCAAACCCGACTGGAAGATCAATACAGTATGGAAATGAATGACATTGTCTGCATATTTGTCTATTTAAATATAGATATATTTTCACTTATAAAACTTTTTGTTTAAATTTTAATAAAATTACTTAAAACTAGCTTACTGTTTGATTGGTCTGATTTAATCCATACCGGGTTTGTTTCATTTGAGTCTACACTTTTTATCCGGTATCTACAAATTGAAAGACAATTTATTCGGTGATATTTCGTGTAATATTAGCGTTATTAGAGAGGTTCAGATGCGTTCCGAGAACGAGAACGAGGTGAAGTCGTCGTCGTTCTCAAAAGACGTGACGCACTTTCACGGTTCAGAAAAATCCTCATTCTTGACATACGCGATGGTCAGTTCAGGCCTAGCTAAGTTGTAGTTGTGCCGTAACAGTGTTTGAGCGGGCATCCTAAACAGCGTCCACCAGGTTTAAAGTCGGGTATAAAGTCATCAAAATAAAATTTAGTAGCCATAAACGAAATAAGTACACCATAAAACACATTTCCTGAAAACTGAATAGAGCAAAACGTGCACTGTTTGAAAGTGTCGATTCGTTCTATCATTTCGCTTTTATTCGACCAGTCAAACAGTGCCTAACGTCTTTCGGTATAATTATGAAAAAGATTGTCTAAAAAAATAGAATTAAACCACAAGGATCTCTAAGACGTTTTCACGAGTTAGTTCGTCTGCCGCCGTGGGGGAAGCCCTCGAGAACTGATGACGTAGCCTGCAAAAGGGGTCCAACCTCGTGGGTTTTCTCCGGGTCCTCCGGTTTCCTCCCACTGCTAAAGACCCCTACGCGCAAGCGAATTATTGAAATAAAATTAAACCATATGTTAGTCCCGAAATGACCTAGTCTGTGTCGAGTGGACGTTAAATCCCATTTCTCTCTCTCTCTCTGCAAAAGGGGAATCACCTCGTTCTCGATCTCTTCTGAGTGCATCTAAACCAAGAAGCTTTAGTGACCGGAACCTCTCTAATAGCAAGATGGTGTATGGGATTCAAAACTTATCCTTATTGAAATAAAATTGACCTCTCTTGGTTTCTACTCGTCCGATCTAAAATCAAATAATTGAAAAAAAAAATATACCTAAGAGCATTTAAGATAGATAGGTTTGTATCTGGTGAAGGAATTTCCCCATTAAATGATCTGCACATATTTTTCACTTCTGAATAGGTATGTTGATGAAGGTCAAAAAACCGGAATTCTTTTCCTGGAAAGAAGGATGTCCAGCCTATTGGACCTGGAAAAGAAATTAGTACTACCAATTAATTTGTTTCTACTGTTTATACATAGTATAGGCCCACATTTTGCTTACGTATTCAAGTTTTGATCACACAGACTAAGAATACTGGCCCTATAGTCTGATGCGAGTCATCATATGTAGGCCCTATTTCTGTTGCTAGTTTTCAATTTCTGTTCCCCTTGTCAATTGTGCAGGACGGAGATGGAGAGGGTTCCAAGAAATTTGAATGTCTACAAATAAATACCCCCGCAACCTACACTCCCACAACAACCGAAGAATGATTTTTGGTCCAGGAACTGTGCCCGAGGCGTTTCTCATCTTGTTGCTGTTCTTCTTGTTGGCGGCGACGCTCTTCGAAAATAGCACAAGGCTCCACCAATTTAAGTATGATCAACACAAAACTCTTCATGTCCATTCCTTGACATCGATATTTGATATGACGTCATAATTCCAAGATGACTTCGATGACGTAATGCTTGGTTCCTGCCCCATAATACGCGCACAGAGTAAAAATACACCGAGTGGCAGTATTTTTACTCTGTGATACGCGTGTACTTATTAAAGAAGCACTTCACTCAACCACGCCTCCAAAATGTAAAATCGGTTAATTGTGGGGTCACATCGGGAATTATATATCAATTTTATGAAGACTATGTGTATCAAATCAAAACTTACTGTTTGCAATCATACAGAAATATTTATGTTCAAACAAATCACAATCAATATCATTCCATTTACCATTTGCTTCCATTACCATACAGTCTTCTTTACCACCAGCATTAATAGGTTCATCTGTAATATTAACATTTATCGTTAAAGCCCCAGCATGACAGGAAGCCGCGTTGACTCAATGAGTAAGGTGCTGCCATTCTCGGACTCGCTCCCGGTTTTGGCTGAGAAAGTTCCTGGTGATTTTCCGGCGTGATTTCCACATGTCAGTGGTGAAGAACGAAGGGCATGACAAGGGACATCGCCTGGTCGTTCCGATTGAACGAAAACCCGACGCCCCTTGTACACATAGGCGTGCATGTTAAAGAACCCCTGTCAGTTAGAATTGGTAATTAGAGCATATTGTGCTTGGCTGTGTTCTAGCAATAGACATGTTACACAACTAGCTACTTGATCCCGATAAACGGCCTATATTATAGTCTCTGGGTGACCGAGACTACCTATATTATAAAGTAAAGTGCTTTCATGAATAAACAGTGGTAGTACATTTCCCTCCAATCTCATGAACGGCGTATGAAGTTTAAAACACTTTACACACAGTTATTATTCAAAACGTATTTACGCTTGATAAAAAAAAATTGCTTTTACAACATTAATTTTTCTCTATGTGAAAAAAAAAAATCAATATGGAAACGAATATTATTTAAAAACAATATATATATTAGACTTTACACTACCTGACCACGCGGGGGTACGACATTATTGTTATCTTAATCACCGCCTATTAAAAACACACAGATTTTGATTCTAGACCCACACAAACTATAGAACCAGTCGTGATTCGCGAATGGTTAATAATATCACGTGATTCAGAGATCCGGGCCCCAACGATGGACCTAACTCTCACCCTTTCATTTTCGTAAACTTTAATAAGCTTTAAAATTAATAAAGATTTCAATGAAAATTCAGCACCAGCTATCACTTGCATGATAGCAGCCATTTCGGAAGACGTTAAAAACAACCGTGGGGTAAACACTTCGCTTCTTTAGTTTGTGCTAGCCGGGAACCTCAGATCCGGTTCAATATCCACCTCCTGATCCTGAATAAATGTATAGTTCACCTCTATTCCAGTTCGACCACGTGATGGGACTATCATCTAACCAGATATAACTACCATCATCTCTATTCTTATCAGTTCCACCAATCCATCGTCTTTTAGTACTTTCACCAATTTCACTGTTTAGAAAAAATACATGCATGATTTTAGAGCTATAGAATCCCTTTCAAACTACAGTAATATCAGTATCTAGTCCCAAAATAGTTCAGTTCCGTTCAGTATTCAGAAAGCTATGACGAATTAAAAATTGCATGGATCTATGCTGCCCCCTATGTTACAAGATGGCCACCATCTTTATCAACCAAATGTGAAATTGGTGAGTCTGTTTTAAATCCCAATGAATGCAAGCCAGGAGATTATCTAGCGTTGGTATTTTGACTTGTTTTCTTAAACATACATTATGCAAGAGGCCTGAAATGTTATCTAAATTATTAATTAGACATTAATTAACCTATCCAGGCCATAATCAACTCTAGATGGCAGCGCTAGCCTGCGATCTTTAGTGGATTGTAAGCCGATTTACTGCATCACTTTCCTTGTCGATTAAACGATTAATTGGATAATCGAGACTATGCTGTTTATCGTACTGACTTTAGTACTGATGACCAAGGCTTATGGGAATTTCAGTCGCTTAGTTCTCGGTTCATCGTGGATCAATTTGAATGAAATTTTCACCAAATTGCCTTTACATTATCTAGTTTTTAACTATTATAGTGAGAACTGCCAACTCGTTACCGAATCTCCCATAATGCATCTTTAATTAAATGTTAAATACAAATCACTCATCGTTGTTATTAAAGTCGGAAACCCTCTATCATTCACTTGATTTTATGCTGGTTATTTTGGAATACAGTTGGTGAGGTCAGTACGTTAGTTTTAGAGTTAGTGTCAGTATTAGTGTTAACATGGGGCACCTTAATCAATAGTTTGTTCCATTTATATATAATTACATTATTACATATGGACTAACATATGGTTTAATTTTATTTACATAATTCGCTTGCGCGTAGGGGTCTTTAGCAGAAACCGGAGGCCCCGGAGAAAACCCACGAGGTTGGACAGGCGACCCTACTCCTTGCCACGTACAACCGGGGATTCGAAACCACGCCAGTCGACACAATGACAGACTTTATGATATAGCGCGCGCACGCTAACCATTCAGCCATCCAGCCCCCCTTAATGTAATAGCTTCTGACTTAGAGGTAAGCCAACCAGTAGCAGACAAGCTGCATTGACGTTTTACCCGTAAACATCGATCGATTACAACAATAAATACCCGGACCCGTGACAGAGCCCTCCGGACCCTGGGAAAACAAACTCGGCGAGGGGTTGGTGGGTCGGGAGTGGGATTCTCTCCGCCCGGGTTAGAAAATTTTTGAAAGATACATGGTCTCTAGCGTCATTTTGGCGTACATCTTGGGTGACTGGAGGTCGCTTTGCTAAACAGAAACTGAGATTTAACACAACATATGAATACCAAATACATACGTTTTAGCGTTACTGATGTAATAATAATCAAAGGTTTTGACGGGATATTTTAAAGCGGAAATTGCAAATTTTTAAGTTATATTTTTAAAATTTATTAAAATAAAGCCTGAAAATAGATGGTATCCATAAACAGTCTTGTTAAAGAATAATCCTATTAATGCTATAATTCACTATTGCCAGCTGAGAAATTGGCAAAAATATCAATTTCCTCTTCATTTTCAAACGTTTGAAAAAAGCTACTCCATGGTGGGGAATAGAAAACAAGGGAGGTAATTGTGTTATTATTTCCTGTGTAAATGAGTTTTAAGTGTGAGAACGACACCTATGATCGTATATTGTGAGTTGACAACCTATTGAGCAAAAGACATAGAAATAATTACGTTTTGACTTTCTTAGAAAATTTGAAATTTCCGCTTTAAGCAAGCAAACAAATGGAAAAACAAAAACCAAAATATCGATCAGAAAATGTTTATTTCTTTCCAATACCCAAAATCATGTTGAATTGGATTCAGACGGAATAAGGCGTTAAGCTGAATTGACTTATGAAGAAAGTAACTTTTAACCAGTAGGTTGAATTCGAAATCTTAATACCCCCCCCCCCCACACACACACACACACACCCTTTTATGATACTACTTGCTGTTTGGATGTTATATATTTTATAGAAATGGACCGAGTGTAATGAACTGAATAAAGTAAACTGTTTGAAGGTGGGTGTTTTACTTTCTGGACATTTTTATTATCCACCTTGTTTTCACATTGACACGTATCTTACCTTCTTAACTGTATTAAAAACTGTGATTCCTGCTGAGTTCTCACAGGGGCAATTATGCCATCGATGTTTTGGCAAACTTCTAGAGCTTTAAAGAAGGTTTTAGGTTGCTCAAAGTGTCCATAAAATCTTCCTTCAAATGTTTTCCATACTTCTGTGTATAATGGAAAATTAAACTATATTAAAAGATTTGTTCCAGTTTTCACAGAACACTTCAAATATAAACGAAATGGTTTAAAGATTTAAATCAAACGTCATAATATGACGGAATAGATACTTTTTATTTTGTTTCCTGGTAAATATTTGATAATTCGATCAAAAAATAAATAAACAGATAAAAATGAAAATACATTAATTTTAATGATTAAAATTTCTAGAAATCCGGAAATGAACCATAAAACCGATCCCCCAAAATAACCATTTGAATTAAAGAGAATATTCAAATAACACTGGTCATAGTTTGGTGCCTTCAGTTCATAGCAAGGCAAATATTAAATTAATGTTTAAAACTTTCCGATCACTATACCTACTGCGATGTTCAAATGCACGAACGGAAACCCTAGACAAACTATACAACATAATTTTAGACATAATAACACATGACATAATTATATGAAATACAAGTTACTTGAATTTATTTCAGCGACTTATCGACGAGGGTTCTCCCGTCGGAACGTCGCTGAAATAAATTTTTCAAGTAACTTGTATTCCATATAATTGTGTCATGTGTTATTCTCATCCAGTTACTAAATGCCGCTTAAACAATTTATACTACAACATAATTTGTCTCCTGTTCGGCTCCATAATCCACTGTCTAGATTTTAACAATAATATTTTTAATCAAGTCCGTAACTTTATTGATATATCAAACAGATTTTAATCTCGACCAAATAGTATTTTATTTTCAGTTATATGTACAATTTTGCCTGGTTTATTAACAAAATGTTTATGTATAACCACAGAGTGGTATAACTATAATAACCTATTATATATACTGTACATTTTCATCAATTTTATTATATTTATATCATATGTATATATTTGCCATTTTAACTGTGAATATTTAGGGGGAGGGGTTTTACATAGTCTAATCCTGTTCCCCGATCCCATTCGGACAACTTGAATAAAATATTGTTTAAAAAAAAAATATTTAGAGAACTCACCATTTTGTCCATTAGTTAATAAAATAAATCCAAAAATAAGAGCTGACCCGTGAATGATATTCATTTTACAACTGTCTATAGGATGTCTGATATTATTACAATTCACCGACTACTTAACTTTATATACAAGAAAATGACAAGAGTTACATTGCGCGCTTCATAAATTCAAGCTCCATCACAGATCAGTGATTTCACAAATAATGCTTTCACAAATAACTTAAGGCTTCTTCAACCCGCGCCTGGTTTCCGATCGGCTATTTAATCTAAGAATGAAATTTAAACGTAATCAATATAACGTAAAATATACAAATATATCAACATAGCACCAGTAAAACATTTTGTAGGAAAGAACTTAATTGAAATTTTTGAGACTATTATTTTTACATACCGAGCGAAGCGGTGCACATTTTCAATTGCTATTACGAACAGCTTACAGAAATGTTCACATGTGAACTTCAAACATATTTTCAAATCATTCTTTACAATATTTGTTTACCAGTTTATCAACTTCTATGCTATCCGAACAGGTAGCAAAAACCCTTTGTGGGCAGTGTTTGTTTGTGTCAGTTGGTGTTTGGGGTGGGGGAGGGGAGGGGGTCTGTTATATCAGTCAGACCAAATAACATGAGCAGTGAGGAGTTCGTATCGTCTTTGTCATAATTACTAGACATGTTATAAATATAATTAAAGGATTTCCGTTAAAATCCAATCTACGTTTTCAGAGCATGATTCATAAGCAACCATCAGTACATGTTAAGCAAGCAATAATTTTCGAGTCGTAGTGTCGCCCGGAACAGACAGTAATTACTATTATAACATTTTACTTCCGTCACGGAGATTGCTGTTTTTGAGTGGGGTTGGGTAGCCGAACGGACTAAAGCGTACTCTTTAGATCTTAAGACTTGTCAATGAGCCAACTGGTCTGGTTTCGATCTCCAGCCTCTACGTGACAAGGAGTATAGGGTCGCCTGTACAACCGCATGGCTTTTCTCTAGGTCCTCAAGTCAGCCCCCCCCCCCCGAGAGGCGGGTGCAGCCGGTGCACCGCCCCAAGGCCCATGAATATCAAAATTCAAAATTGAAATGGGCAATTATGCATAAATATTTTATTGTTCCTTTGAACCCTATACACGTATGTATAAAAGTTTTCGCATTTATCGCAATCTGCTAGTGAATCATCTAGATGTTACTAGTGTTGGAAAGGGGGGGGGGGGGCAAAGAAAGGTCTCGCCCCAGCACATTTATTTCCTCTTAAGGGCTCTCTGGTTTTACCCCAGCGCTATAGATCCCCCACCACCACCACCGCCTCCGCCCCCGCCCGCCCCTCCATTAGAAGAATGTTTGTTCGTTCTCAACCAATTAGGGAAATTCTGTTGAGTAAGATACATTGTAATGTTCAGTATCCGTCTATTTGTTTTTGTTTGAAACATAATAAATACCGAGCATGTAAACTGATTGGTCGTTTATTTTTTTAATTTGCTGGGGAGTAAAAGGCGGGAGTAAAACTTATAAATATTAAACTTTTCCTATCACATTTTATCTTTTAATGAAGATGGGAGGTTAAAGTTCACGGAGATTAAATCGATATGGTCTGATAATAAATTGTCAAGGTCAATTTAATATCCGATCGTGTTAGCATCAGGAAACAGCGAATAGTAGAATATGCAGAATTTATTTTTAATTCTAGGAGTATTTTTTTTACTTATAATACAATGTATTTATGGAAGTCAACAGCCTAATATACTACTAGTAGTAGCAGACGATTATGGTTTTAATGACATTGGTTACCATGGTTCTGAAATATTGACGCCTACATTAGATAAATTGGCGGGAGAAGGTGTTAAATTAGAGAATTATTATGTACAACCTATCTGTTCACCAACCAGAAGTCAATTATTATCAGGGCGTTATCAGGTCAGTTATATCAAAAACATCGAAGGCATTCAAACACCCCGATTTTGTAGCTTTCTGAAAGGATAGCATCATTTTATGCTTGGTAGATCAGGGGCGGATCCAGGGGGGGGGGGGTTGCTCAGCCACATAATTTTTTTTGTAAATCAACTCAATAGTAAATGTTTAATACGTCATGCTAATCCGCACAGTATTACATAATTCAGTCAATTATATTTTAATGGATCTTAATCCACCTTAATTACCCACCATTTATATCTACTTCATATTGTCTTATATATTTCATTAATCACCTGTCTCCAGTATTCTTTGTTTTAAACTTTAAATTGAGCTTATAAATTATAATTAACGTCAACGGGCTATAGCGTTTAGTTACCAGGGTATATTGTTTGTAGATTTATAGGATTAATGCCCTAGGCGATGCATGGGGATATATAGACCCAAAATGACAGAATTTGGGAAGAGCTGGCTACACACGTGTCTTGGGAGATCAACTTAGATCACATACCTAAGGACAGACCTTATTTACCTGTATTTGGAGACATAAGTTTATGTCAATTCCCATATCCACATTGGAGCTTATTTACTATTAAGCATTGGACCAATAATTGTTATATTAATTGTCTGTTGTGATATTTGTTGATTACTGTTTACCAAAGAATATAGAGAACTATTAACAACCATCAACAATCTTGTCTTCATTTAATCAACAACGAAGATTCCAGAAAATACACGAAAAGTGCACTTGTACACATTAATGCTTTGCATCCATGAAATTGAATCAAAATGTCATTGTATTAATTCATAATAAAAATTGACGTCAAACGAGGTGTTGAATTTCTCTGTTTATAAAAAAGCTCAATGTGTATGTATATACGCCAAAATGACGATAGAAACCATGCGCGAGGGGGGGGGGGAGATACATTGTCTTAGGAACATGACCCCCCCTCCCCTGCAAAAATTCCTGGATCCGCCCCTGTAGATACGATACCAGGGTAATTTGTTATACAAAGTGGCTATTGTTACGACGAGTCTGAGCCAAGTTTAGAACGAATTCCAAAATGGCTGCCAATCTCCCCAACACCAGCTTTGAAAAAGGAGCAGTATTTTCAACGTTTTCAGAACTGAAGGCAGCAATTAAGAGATGGGAAGGGTTAGGGTTAGGGTTAGGACTATTTTTACGACTATTCAGTTTTTAACTTCACCGATGGAGGGCTGTGAAAGCATCGTCGTAACAATAGCCTGAGGACTATTTTTACGACTCGTCGTAACAATAGCCATGTGCACTGCCTTTGTTTTATTTGAGCCCGGCATAGCTCTCCGCTTTCACGTCATTTCTTAAGTCCATGATGCATGATAAGCCTTGATAAGCCTAATTTGTGCTTTGGATAGTAGTAAATTTATCACATTTTATTAAAGTAAAAATTTATCACATTTTATTAAAGTAAAAATTTATCACATTTTATTAAATTATATTAAGTAAATTTATCACATTTACATTGAAACGAATATTGTCCTATATCCTAAGAGTTGGCAAAATAGTATTTGATGTAGCTACGAGCACACTGGTTCGATGAGTTTGATGCTCAATTCACCAAGGAGGTCTCAAATCCAAACCTTGTTGTGATAGAAAGTTTCTTGGGATTTTGCAGGCGGTTTCCCCCTTTGCAAGAAAAAGCCTCTAGTCATTAAGGTGGGACGAAACGCCGAGATCCGTGTACACCATTATAGATCCACTAACAATTGGAAGTAGAAATAAAATACTCCTGTAAGGGCAAAATTTCCGCCATAGCACACTAGATGGCACATGCTTCTCCGGATTGGTTTCCCTTTGTCAGTGGCGCAGGACGGAGGGCCTGTTTAAGTACATCTGTCTAGCCGTTCGGATGGGACGGAAAACCAAGATCCCTTGTACACATTGACGTGCACGTAAATGATCCCTTGGTAGTTGGAATTCGATATAAGAGTAGGCCGGGCAAATTTTTCTCCATAGCACACTGTATTGCGTATGCTTGTCTTCATTAGCTCAGTAGGACGTTAAACCCTATTTCATTTCATTTTTTTCGTTTTCATTATCCAGGTTGCAGAAAAGTAAGGCATTAAATCTTTCACTTATTTAAGATTCCACAAATATTCCATGGGTCTAAAATATAGGAGACTCTTTATCAACTGATCAATCAATATTTCATTTATAAAAATGAAACTTAAAGATACATTATGTAAGATTTAGATAAAGAACTAGCCATTCTGGCTATAATAGTTCGAAAGTAGATGATGTAAAATGGATAATTTGAAAATTTCATTCAAATTACTCTATTGCAAGCGAAGATATAAGCCTTTGAAGGTTTGACAGACGTGTGCAATAATTTCAACCACCGTACTGGTTGATCGAAGCTAAGTCTCGGTCCTCCATATCTGATTAAATCAAAGTATCGCTGAACCATTCTAATCTATTTAATATCGGAGAAATCTGATGCCATCGAGAGTTGATTAAGGCCTGGATCAGTTAATTAATGTCTAATTAATACTTTAGAAAACATTTCAGGCCTAAAGAAAGATCTGCAATAGGCAGATTTAGCTCTTGCATAATGCATGTTTAACCAGTAATTGAATAAATAATTGTTTGAATTGTTTAGATACATACAGGATTACAGCATGCCATCATCTGGCCATGTCAACCTAATGCTCTACCTCTAGAAGATCTTACTCTTGCTGATAAACTACGACAGACCGGATATGCCACTCATGCCGTGGGAAAATGGCATCTTGGTTTCTACAAGGAAGAATATTTACCAATAAATCGTGGTTTTGATTCTTATTTCGGTAACTATTTTTGAAATATGACAAACAATAAGATTGAAAATATTGATATCTGCAGATATTAATTCTTACTAATATGGCTTTTACCCTTTGCGGGGTGTGGCTGTCGTTAACTATTTATTTTTTGATTTTAAGTGATATATCTATACAGTTACATTGACATCGTGAATATTCAGATTAGAATGTATGCAAAATGTGGGACAATTTCGCTGAGTCATATATAGCTTAAATTTTAATCAATTTAATTTACTTGTCGTTCACTTTTTAATGGTATTTTCTATGAGTTTGAACAGCAGAGAAATGGAAAGATAGGGCAAGTATAACAGACAACTTTGAACGCGATTCACCATTTCCATTGTTTTCTATAAAGCTCATCACAATTCTGATGAAAACCTGGCATCTAGCTCGAACAGGACAAGTCATACCTAGTAGCTAGCTTTAACAGGACAAGCCATACCTGGTATCACAGGACAAGTCGTACCTAGTATCTAGTTCGAACAGGACAAGTCATAGCTGGTATCTAGCTCCAACAGTACAAGTCATACCTGGTATCACAGGACAAGTCGTAGCTGGTATCTAGCTCCAACAAGACAAGACAGAGCTGTTTCTAAAAGCTTGAATATATTTTATTAATCTTATTCATGAATATTCTTCTTTTAGGTTATTTAACCGGCAGTGAAGATTATTTTAATCACGATACGTGTAATTTTCTTACAAAAGACAAATATTGTGGCATTGATATGACCAAGGGCAGATCACCAGATATCACAGAAACTGGGAAATATTCAACTCATCTGTTCACAGAGAGAGCTATTGATATTGTTAAAAATCATAATAAATCTAAGGTATTTAGTTTGATTGAGCAGCCTCTGGCATATTTTGGTTAATCATGCTTAAAATGCTCTTGTAAACCGTGATAACGACCTAAATTCCACACCCCGACTTATATTTATGTCTGACAATAGAGCATGTTTCTTACTTGTTTCGTTGTCTGCCAACTTAACTTAACTTTCATATCCCCCCTCCCCTACCAATTGCCCTGTACAACAAGACAAAAGGCGGGGTATTAATTATGCTTGTGAATATTGTTTTCTTCAGCCTTTATTTCTGTATATGCCTTATCAAGCTGTACACGAACCTTTAGAGGTACCTGCTAAATATATGAAACCGTATGAATTTATTAAAGATGGAAACAGACGTACCTATGCAGGTAGGATGATTATAACAGTGTAGTTTAAAGCCTGAATAAAAGCCAAATACAGAGAGAGAGAGAGAGAGAGAGAGAGATAGAGAGAGAGGTGTTATCATGTAATATCGTGTTATGATGTGACGAATATCGTGTTATGATGTGACGAATATCGTATTATGATGTGACGAATATCGTGTTATGATGTGATGAATATCGTGTTATGCTGTGATGAATATCGTGTTATGATGTGACGAATATCGTTTAATGATGTGAGTCATGTGACGAATATCGTGTTATGCTGTGATGAATATCGTGTTATGATGTGACGAATATCGTGTTATGATGTGATGAATATCGTGTTATGATGTGACGAATATCGTGTTGTGGTGTGATGAATATCGTGTTATAGTGTGATGAATATCGTGTTATGATGTGACGAATATCGTGTTATGATGTGACGAATTTTGTGTTATGATATGGTGAATATCGTGTTATGATGTAAAGAATGTACATTTTTAAGGAATGGTATCCTGTATGGATGAAGGAGTAAAGAATTTGACAAATGCCTTTCAAGAAGCTGGTTTATGGGATAATACCATTTTAATTTTCACCACAGGTGAGAACTGATATTCATAAACTTCCATATAAGGTATATTACTTTGACTATCAGGGATGTGAATTTACTCATTGGCTGAAGAACTGTATATTTAGGTGTAAATTTCAGTTGTGGTGTGGCCATTCTGTATTAATTAACAAGGGTAGTGACTTCGATTGTCTTCCATACCGAGTGCCATGGATTTTGACTGTACGTACAAGGAAATACTTGTTCTAGTTTGATTTCCGATATTAGAAAGTTGAATCCTTTAGCATGAAAATGAAATAATAATGGGGTTTAATGTCCTACTGTTCTGCTCCGACTGGGCTAACGAAGACGGGCATACGCCACACAGTGTGCTATGAGGGAAATTTTGCCCGGGCAGCGGCACTATGGCCTACGCTTATATCGAATTCCAACTGTCAAGGGATCTTTTACGTGCACGCCAATGTATACACGGGACCTTCTTTTTCGTCTCATCCGAATGACTAGACAGCTGTCCTTGTCAGGCCCTCCGTTCTGCACGACTGACAAGGGGAAACCACGTCGGAAAATCCGAATCCTTTAGCAAATTACATTTTTTTTTGAAAGTTGGATCTCTAAAATTAATGTCAGTCAAGAAATGGATCAGTTTCATTCCGTATTCACAAAAATATGATGAATTGAATATTTCTGGACATCCTCTGAAGATGATATAAACAAGTCATTGCCACCTCTTTTAATCTGATTCGACCCAAGCCCGGAAATTATTTATCATTGATATTTTAGAATGGCTTTCTTAATTAAACAATTAATTTGAGTACATACTGGTGTGGTTTAAGCCCTGAAAAATTCCACATTGTCCGAAAAATGCAAAAAGACGACAGCTTTCAGCAATTCTATTTGTTTTGATTTTTTAACAATAAGACAATGGAGGGCTGGTTTATTCTGGTGGAAACAACTGGCCACTAAGAGGATGGAAAGCAACTTTATGGGAAGGTGGTGTTCACGGCATTGGTTTTGTTCACAGTCAGTTATTAAAACAAAAAGGTGTGGTCAATAAAGATCTTATCCACGTTTCTGATTGGTTTCCTACAATTATCAACCTTGCTGGTGGATCTTTAAATGATACCAAGCCAGATGGGTTCGACCAGTGGAAAACAATTAGGTAATTCTTGAAATTGATACTTGACTTTTATAAATGTTGAGAAATTCTGTCACACATTAGGTCTAAGCTTTTACATTATGTCGTTAAAGATTAATTTCGAGTAGATTTGTTATTCGATTATTTAGACCTTTTGCTTTAATGTCAATCAAAACTGGCCTGGTGTTTGACCCCTCCCTCAAATTTAACATATTTTTATAACTTATATTTGTGTAGGCCAATATAACTTACATAATTAAACGAATACTTCTTGAACCATCCCCATCCCCATCCCCAAGTAAACTCGTTTTTATAGTTTATATTAGTGTAGGCCAATATAACTTACAAAAACGAATATTTCTGGATTGGTATTTGAATCATCCCCATCCCGATGCCCAACTTCACTCGTTTTATATGTTAGTCCAGTGTTTTTAAAACTAAAATCAGCATATTCCTATTTCGTTAAAACACTGGTTCAAAGTCCTTGCTAAGATTAAGAAACAAAATTTCATTACAAAATCTTTATTATTTCAGTGAAGGAGAAATTGGTAAGAGAACTGAACTTTTACATAACATAGATCCCATGTATTACCACAGAGGATCCAGGGTATCTCCAAATAAATTTGATACACGAATCCGAACAGCTTTTCGTCTTGGTGATTGGAAACTGATGACAGGAGATCCAGGTAGTATTCTTTTTTGTTTCGAACATAAAGGTGGCCTGAAAATCTGCAAGCATTGTATCCTGTGAAAAGGAGAAGAGTCCGGAGGTTTTGTGTAAGAGTGGGGTGGGGTGGATTCATACAGCGATATCAACAGAGTAGAAATGAAATGGGGTTTAACGTATTACTGGAGTACTGCGCCGATCGGGCTATTAAAGATGGACATACGCCATACGCTAGGAGGGAAATTTTGTCCGGACAGCGGTTCTACGGCCTACTCTTATTTCGAATTCCAACTGTCAACACCAGATCGAACGCGGCTCCCTTCAAAGAGTAGACACATATTCTGGAAACAGTTTTGTCCTACAATATCTAGTCTTTTATCTGGAACTTTGGTTGTTTGACGGTATGCCATTTATTAAACGAGCGACGTCGTAACAAAAGAGCCGTATTATGAATCCCGACGCATGACTATAAAGACCTATTAATGGAAACGTCATATATTTACATCATCAGTTATAAGTCACATCACGGAGCGGCTAAACAACAATGCCTGTTTTGATAAGTTGAACCAGTTTTGGGTTTTTCTTGTATGATTAACAATATTGTCATAATCAGAAACCAGGTCAAAGGATTTGTTATTTGAACTTGTTCACTTCTGGTATGATACGATCAAGATATTCCTGAAATCAATTTGGACAACTTCTTATATTCTATATAAATGTAGTTGATGAGGTATTGGTCTTTGTCTGCGATATCACTTCGGTGGAAGCGGACGTTAAATAAAGCTATTTCACACACGGTATTGGTCATAGACCCGGTAGCGTAGCTAAGGCAGGGGCGGGATAATAGAAGTTAATAAGTAAGTTTTATGTGTATTATGTTCTCATGGAGGACGTAGTAAACCCAAGAACAGCCCTCAACACAAAGATCTGAGGTTCTCTTCTACCAAGCAGCCTCTGCTTATACAATCCATATCCAAACTATCCTTTCAATTAGCTATAATGGGTGACGGGTGTCGACTAAAAGAACATCTGTTACCACTTCTTATTAATTTAAGCAGTTGACAATTAATTCTTCTATATTTATCAGGTAATGGTAGCTGGATTGCACCACCAGAAATACGTAAGGAATCTCGGCTTGATTCTTCACCAAAAGACAAGAATGTCTGGTTGTTCAATATATTAAAGGACCCTAACGAGAACCATGATTTATCTGAGGAATATCCTGATATAGTTGACAAGATGTTAGATAGATTATCATACTACAGTCAAACAGCGGTACCTGTCAGATTTCCTGAAGCTGATCCCAACTGTAATCCAGCTTTACGAGGTGGTGTCTGGGGCCCATGGGAATAAAGACATTATTAACTTTCAACTTTGTTTTTTTAAAATTTTATTTTGAAGTTAATGTTAAATGTTTCCAAATGTGACCATAACGTATAGCTTTGTTGAGTGGCATGTGTCCGTCTGTCCACCCTTTTTGCCCCCCCCCCCCACCAACACATTATACCATGAGATCGTCTACTGGGCCACATGCAAGTATTCACCCAAACGTCGGCGTTTTCTGAATAACTTTATAACAGTTTATTCTATATTTGTCAATATGTGCATATCGTTTTCTTTTCCAAAAATGGTCATAGATAAACGCGTTATATAGTTATGATACCAATCTGAATCATTATTTACTCAACATACATCTAACTGGCCCTATTGACCTGGTTACTTATATCGGAAATGACTAAATGGTAGGAGTCCCGAGTGTACTTTGACTACTAAATGTATCATTTGAGTTCAATACCGTCGTGGTAAATGAATTATATGGTGAATATAACGGACAATTCTGCTTTGGATACTTCAAGATATTCTTTTCATTTTAAAAGAAAGATGGCTGTGCATCATATCCTTTTATTTATTGCATTCAGTAAACTAGGTAAGAACATTATTTTGTTTCTTAGATCCTTGCTATAAAATCAGTCGGAGAACAACTTACCAAATGAAATGAAATGGAGTTTAACGTCCTATTTTTGTACAAGAGGGTCATACACAACATGTCAAATTCGAACTGTTAAGGGTTCTTTTACGTGCGCGGGACCTCGGTTTTTCGAATAGCCAATGGAATTGCCAGTCCCTTCGTCCTGCACCACCGATAAGGGGGAACCATGGCGGAAATCCCGAGGAACATCATCGGCGAACACCGGGAGCGAACCGAGACCTCCTATTAGCCACCCCGGTTCCCCTCAATTAAACTTCCAGTCAGTCTACCCTATACAATTTTCGTGGGTAGGTATGGGTAATGCCATACTCAGCTGATACTCTTATTATTAAACTTTTAAAGCCAATGACAGGAATCAAACATCGCTGGGTTCTTTTAATTAAAATGTAATGTTATTTCCGTTCCGTTTACTCTGGTGGCCGTTCCATAATACGGCACGAAATGTTGCTACCAAGTCACCATTCAATAATCAACACCCCCTTTCAAGCAATAGCCCTGTGGTCTCTCTCTCTCTCTCTCTCCCTCTCTCTCTCTCGTGATGAAAAGTAGGCCTACATACAGTGTAGAAAATACATGATTAAATTGAAGGGAATGATTGATATAAATTATTCAAAGTACATTGATATACGTAGTGATAGATAATGAATGAAATTTAAGAATATTTGGAGGAGTTATGTAAAAGGCTGGCAGTAAATAATTTATTTGAGAATACACACATTCGGGAGACCACAACCGTCAAGACCGATGTTTTGCTTACAATGTCTGTGTAGTATGTAATTTGTCTTGATGGCAGGTTTGTCTTAATGTCGTTTTTTTTTTTAAAAATGGTTCTTTTAATCTTCAGGTGTAGAAGGAATGTCTTTTCAGCAAAATGTGAATAAAAAGTTAGTATATACTGCGGTGCCATTAAATTTTCGGAGAGCATCAAGATTATGTGAACAACTAGGTGGTATAATAGCTCCATTAAAAACACGAATGGATGACATGTTAATAAGTGCCATCAGGTAAGAAAGGGTACATACTCCCCCCCCCCCACCTTAAAAACGAATGGGTGGGCAAGTTACGAGACGATTCTTTGCACCCAAAACGAATGTAAAACAAAACATTTTATAACAAAAGTGTCACGTTGGAGTGGGATTGTCATTTAAAGCGCGATATAATGATTTAGACATATGTGATATATGATATCACAATTAATGCTTTGCATCAATGGAATTGAATCACAGTGTGATCCTTTTATTTCATAATAAAAATTGACGTCCAACGGGGTGTTGGATTTCTCTCTTTAAATAGCTCAGTGTGTATATATGGCTGCGTAATTTGGAGACGATGGTGGTATCATACATTGTCAACTGTCAAATTCCCCTAACAGGAACCTGGCAAACCCCCCTCTTGCAAACATTTCTGGATCAGCCCTTGCACCCTGTTTGTATTAGGCGATTTATTGGAACTACCACTCCGATTCCGACTCGGGGTACACTATTCGAATGTCTTTCCAAAGATACATCCTCGAACTTTCTAGAACTTAACTATCCAAGTTCTAAAGAAAACTATAGGTCTATAGCACTTATCGATATTTGGTGGTATCGATTTGGATACAACTTTTAACATTAAGATCTTTCGAAAAACATGTATTTGTAAAGATACGTAACTGAGCATTCTAACGATGTATAAGATAAGGTTTTTGATGATTTGTGTCCTTGCAAAATTCTCCAAAAAATTGAAACCCCTGAAGTTGGTAACTAATTATTAGTTTACACTTTCTATAGAGTCAAATCCCACGTACTAATATAGTGAATGATATATTTATATATAAAAAACAATGATACTTTGGTAAAATCCTTACCATTGTCAAAATATCCATCAAATTCTATCTTTTTATGACATGTGTTTGTTAGACCAAATAAGGTAATGTTCTCCCCACCCCCTCCCGTTCTTTGGAGAATTGGGATGTTTATTCCATATATGGGAAGGAAATTAACGCCAAGGTCCGTCTATGACGTAAAGAAATTAGGGGGTTGTAAAAGAGCGTTTTGAGCCAAATTCGTCAGAGCCAATATATTCCTTGCAGCTATCATCTAACATAGAAGCCTTGGAAACAGTTTAATAATAAAGTTGTAGAAACGAACTAACCTGTAGTTTTATTTACGATCACAAAGGAAACACAACAAGGAAGTCCGATATTACTACAGGTTTCGGACAACTGGCAATAAAGATCTCAAATATTCAGACTAATACATAATGTAACTGTATTACAGAGGTAAAAAAGATATATGGATTGGAGGAACTGATAGAGAGATTGAAGGTGAATTTAGATGGTTGGATGGTGATTTATTAAATTATACAAACTGGCGGGAAGGTAAATCAAACTTTCTTTCAAAAAATGTATGTTATTTCAGTTCAATGTTAAAGTAAAATATAGTATACAGTGCACACACGCTTTGCAACGAACGTACAAAAAAATTTAATGTGCGCACAAATTGTAAGCCATATAAAAAGTAGTCTGGTTCTCAGATTCCGGTGCATCACTTTAAACGGCCCACATAATCCGTTATTATTTTCCAATAAGCATGAGCGATTGACTGTGATAATACTATCTTGAAACAATTTCAAGTTGACATTTGTACAAATATCTTGACCATATGAAAATGCAAAATGTAGTTTGGTCTATATTTTCAGGTGAACCTAACAATGCCAAGGATGGAGAAGATTGCATGATTTTAGAAGGCAATCATAGAAAACAATGGGGTGATAGACCATGTCACTTACGCTTTCCATTTGTGTGTTCAATAGATGTCGAAAGTAAATATTAGATTTTTATCTCAACTTATTATGGGGTATTTCAGATTTATATTTAAAAGAAAGACCCCAGGTCAAATGTTGTTAAGAAGCTTAATATCATCTCCTTACATTAAATGCATTAATCTTATTAATTTTACAGGTTCTCCATTGGAAAAGACAATAAATTCACCTTTTCTTTGTTTCAGATGACTCTATAGCAATTGAATAACAGTGTATCTTAATTTACATTAATGTTTTTCTTTCTTTTTCGCAGTTTTTCAAATTGTATAGTCTATAATCTAAAGATATATATTTCTTCAAATCAGATCCTGGAAGGAATTCATTAAGCTTTTAATGAATTAAAAAAAATGAATTATTAAGGAAGTCATTAAGCTTTTAATGAATTAAAAAAGTAAGCCGTTTTGGGTTTTTTTTCTATTGGCAAAACTGTACATAAGTCAACTTGGAGAATAGCAGCGAATACCAAAATAGACCATTACTCAGACAAAAGTAAGTACAGTTAATCCTAACCGGGTAACAAAATAACCAGGAACCGAGCATAACCTCATCGTCGCCATCTTGGAATTGACCAAATGATGGGCTAGATCTAATTATTAAGGCCACCTGCAGATTTGGTCAAGGTCGCCGAGATGTTAATAGGGTTAGGGCATGTATTTGTTGACGAGATTGTGGGTTAGGTTTAAGAATTATGAGGAAAGGTCAATTCTCCACATAAGCACTGACCTAGGATAATATAAATTTGGTTAGTGATATTTCCTAGTTTTATTAAAAAATACATGCAATACATTAGATTAATATACAAAGTTGGTTTCGCTGTTTTTTGGTGTTGGTGGCGCTGATGGTCTTCCTTAGGGTAAGGGTATATGAAATGGCGGCGACTTCTGCTTTTTTCGAAGAGAGCTGCCCACAAGAAATACAATATATAACAAGATAAGTAGCGCTTGGGGACCAGTTCTTAGTCAATGAAATTTGATAAACTGTTTTAAAACGGTAAGTTTTTATGGATAATTTTAAGTCCTGACACAGTTTTTAATATACATATAGGTAAGTAAAATATTAAATATCAATTATTCACAAAATGTCCTTAAAATAACAATGAATCAAGAAATTTGGTAAATGGTTCAGCGCCAACTCGATGACGTGTAGCGGAAAAGAACGCAACTAGGATCGCAGTGCCATTTTGTAACATTATGATATGGAAGTGCAACATTAAAATTTGTGATGTTGAAAATGTATTTTAACGTAACGATATGAAAGTTGTAACATTGTGATATATCGAAAATGGAACCTTTTGATATTGAAAGTTTTCATCATTACGTAATATGACATTGCAGATGCAATAGTAAAATTATACTGACTTGGACAATGAAGCTATGTGCTATTGCAAGTGAACTATGACTTTGGAACTTAGAAGATGGGATACACACTGATCCGCAGTGAATATTTGCTTGGCCGCGACAATCACTGATAAGGATGACATTGATGCGGCTTAATGAGCTAGAAATATTAACTTTTTTCCTGCGACAAATTAAATTCTAAAACATTTTTTGTATATATTGGAAAAAATAAATAAAGGCGTTTGACGTATTTGTAGGTAAAAATTATTTCCGATTTAGTGTAAATGGGTATTAAATTGACTAAAATGCAGCATTCTCTCCGAAGCAGTTATGTCTTATGTAAACAATGCACGCGCCATTCAGCCAATATGATTCACACGGCGTGCTGTGACAGCACGTGTTAAGGCAGTCATCTATGACAGAGATATTATACGAGACTCGTAATTCTCTGTGAAACAGATTGGATGGGATACTGTATAAATATTGTGATATTGAATGTGATCTGTAAGTCAGGAATATAGAATATGAGATACTGTATAAACATTATGATATTGAATGTGATCAGTGACTGGAATATAGAATATGGGATACTGTATAAATATTGTGATATTGAATGTAATCTGTGACTCTGGAACATAGCTGATAAGATACTGAATGGTACTGTACCACTGTGATATTGAATGTGTTCTGTAACTCTGGAAAATACATGAAGGGATACTGAAGAATACCATACAATTGTGATATTGGAAGTTATCTGTGATTCTGGAATATAGAAGGTGTGATATTGAAATCTATATCATTAAGATATTGCATGTGTAACGTTAGAAGTTGAAAGATGTAAAATTTTAATATTGAAATTGGGAGCTTGGGTGGCCGTATAGTTAACGCATGCGCGTTGCGTAATAAGGTCTGGCGTGGCGTGGTTTCAATTCCCCGCTTCTACCTGACAAGGGGTTTTTCGCACTACTAAAAGACCCCTACGCGCACGCGAATTATTGAGATAAAATTGAACCATGTTAGTCCCGAAATGGCCTAGTTTGTGTCAAGTGGACGTAAAACCCCATTTCTCGCTATTTTTAATATTGAAAGTGTACTGTTTGTGATATCGATGATGTGATTTTGGAATATGGAAGAAGTATTTTGTTATATGGACGATGTAACGTTTTGAATGACAATCATCATTGTGAGACTATATGTAACTATGTGATATAGAAAGGGTAAAATGATAATATATGTGAAATTGAAAGTGTGATATTAATAAATATGTGATATTGTAAGTGTAAGGTTGGATGAAGTAACTTTATGATATTTTCACATTATAATATTTCTGGTTGATCAAGATGGTTAAATATTGATCTATGAGCATTTAATGTTGGGTTCCTTATCGATGATTTCATTAATCTGAATTAGAAATGAAATGAAATGGGATTTAACGTCCTGCTTTTCTGCACCATACAGTGTACTATGAGGGAAAGTTTGCTTGGACAGCGGCGCTACGGCCTACTCTAATAGGACCTCGGGTTTTCGTTCCATCCGAATGATTAGACACTGTCCTTGCACCGCTAACAAGGAGAAACCAAGTCAGAAAGTCCTCAAGAACTTTCTCGGCTAATACCGACCTCTTGGTTAGCAAGCCAGCGTCTTACTCACTGAGTCCACGCGGCTACCAAATCTGACCTAACATGTACTATCTCATATATATATCTCTCAATAATATCTGTATACAGGTTGTTATCTATGTTTCATTTCCCAGTCATGAACGAGTCTTCTTAACCTCTTGGTGACCTGTGCTACTATGAGCGCAAGTGGGATTAAATTACACTGAAATCCTACAAATGTATGGAAGACCAAGCAGCTCTTTATTTCTTAATTCATAGTTCTAATTCTTATTTCTTTCATTGCTGTCGTATTTCGGCCATTATATACTAAAATTAAAATTTGTATCTTAAAATCAATATTTATTTTACAAACCAGACATTTGTCATATCAGATTGGTAAATTGTATCTTTGTTTAATATAATTATATTTTAATATAAAGATAAAATTTCTTTTAAATTTACATTTCATAAGAAACATAAATCTCGAACAACAAATTCCCAAATACTAATCTCCAAATACCATGGATCTTGCAAAACCATTGTCAAAAAACCATTTCTCCAAAAGTATCTAACCTGAATATTATGCCGACCGAGATCACTAGTGGTGGGCTGTCAAACGGCTCTACATATATACGGCTCTTTGATAATATACATTCCTCCTTGAAATTTAAAGCTTTATATAATAATTATTAAAGTCTTTATATAATTATAATTTTAAACACTGTACTTATCATTTTGTAAATAATTTCGTAAGCAGATGATTTATTCTATATTTCTATCAGATTGATAGAAATATAGAATAAATCGACATTGTTTCAATAAACGCTGCATTGGTTATTTTTATAAATGCTGCATTGGTTATTTTGATAAATGCTGCATTGGTTATTTTAGAAACCGTGCATGTCGTATAAATATTTTCTTTTGTATTTTCATTATACTAACATATTACAGATGGATATAAAGACGTATATCGACATTACACGCAGGCAACACAGGTACCAAATACAATCGTTTAACTTAAGATGAATTGAAACATATGCAAAACAATCTAAATATGTCACCATGAGATTCATCTGCAGTGTCCATTAAATGAGACTCAATAACTTTGCCTGAACAGATCTGAGTAAGCACCACAGCGGAAAATGAGTACGACATTCACATTTATCGCAATCTGAACGTTGGCCCAGTGGTTAAAAACAATAAAACCTGTCGATATTCCATGGTTAGCCTACCCACATGTCTTTTCTAGGGGAGTACCTATTAAAAAATGGGCCCCTAATCTAAAACTTATTACAAAGTAAAAACATTTACATGTAGAGCTTTTCTCAAAAGCTTTTAGTTCCAAATATTTAAGTTTTGGAATTATAAAAAAAATCCATCATCTTCAAGAATTGAGTAGATTTTTATTGATCAAGGCCCCTGTGAACTAAAAATTAAATTGATTCCATGTTAGTGTAGTGACTGTTAGTTTTGACACAACTGGTTGAAAACTTGTTGTTCTCGCCCCCCCCCCCCCAAAAAAAAACCCAACAAAAAACCACAAACGAAAGCCACCGCTATGAGGGTCATTTAGGTCCATATGGTTTGGTGAACTGGGATTCGAGACAAACGGTCACGCACCAATATTTTTCCACTCCCTAAAGCCCCTTAGAGCTTCATCCCTTCGTCCATGATCAAATTATTTAAAATGTCTCTAAATCCCATACCAAAATTTAATATTTAACAACTGAAGCTTTAAAAGTACCTTTATTATTGATTTGTTTTATTTCCTTTATTGGTGAATAGGATACAGTATAAAATGGAGGAACATTCACAACTCCCACCCCTAATAATTGTTAGATATAATAATAATACAATTATAAAAGAAAGTCATAATTATAGCAGAATTATTCGTTTATCGCCGCTTGGCGTGAATACTGTATGGTGGTGGCGACAAGCTCAGCCCACATATTCCATTAGCACTGGGTGTTTCACTGCTCGGGGTTGAAAGAGAAAATCTCTGTAAAACGTTAGTAAAAAACAGAAACAATTCCATCCTAGCTAGCGGTTCACCTGCACACATTCTTGGGCCAGTTGAAAAGGGCATAAAAGAAGCATTATGTTTCGATACCTTCCCTGTATCATCAATGAACCGTTCTGGTTTAAATTTCAAAGGTTCCTTCCAATATCTAGAATCGAGATGACAGGCATACATATTTGCATAAACCAAAGATCCTGCTGGGATAAGGTAACCTTTAACAACAGTATCTCTAGAGGCTGTATGCGGAAGTGATGCCGGTATGGTGTTTCCAATGCGTTGAACCTCTAGAAGTGTAGCTTCGTTGTACGGCATTTTAGATTTATCAGACCAACCGACCATGCGACTATCACCGACCACATCATCGATTTCCTCTTGACATTTCTTCTGCACTTCCGGGTTGAGGATCATAAAAAGTAGTGCCCAATCAAGGGTGGTAGCTGTCGTGTCAGAACCAGCCAGAAACAGATCCAAAATGCTTCTTCGCAGGCACCCCTCACTAATTGATGAGGATTCACTGTTTTCACCGATATCTAGACAAACATCAATAAAATCATTTATATTGTCTTTGCTGAAAGCCCGTTTGTGTTCCTCAACGCGTTCAGAAATAAACTTCGCTGCCTGCTCAACAGCATTAGTAATGGCCAATAATTTGGACGCTAAAAATGGCATAAATCGAAGCAGTGGAAACTCATTGATGGGTGAAAATGGTCCATCGCTCTTAAATCCTGCGTCTATGACTTCCATGATTTTTAGAAATCCTGGGTCATCATAGTGATATCTCTTACCAAATACAACACTACTGATAATATTGGTGGTAGCCTTCATCATTATTTCATGTGCGCAGAAAGACGTTCCTTCTGATTTGAACAAAAAGTCCAAAACAACATTAGTTTCGTCTTTAATCCTTTCCTCAAGTGTCGATTTTCCAACTCCAAGATCACGAAGGGTATGGAGGGCCATTCGTCTCGCATCTTTCCATTCTTGTCCACTCGACCAGATAACTCCCTTCCCATTTTGAATAGTCCGATTAACTGACCAAAGCTTCTTTGCTGGTCGAATACTAAAAACATCCTTTTGTTTAACAAAAGCTTCGTCAACAGATTCGAAATCATTTAAAACTATCATCAGTTGACTGCCAAAATAAATTCGAAAAATATCGCCATGTTTTTCTTGAAGTTGTTCGAAATATTTATGCCTCTTGCATGCAAATGTTAACTTCATTTCCAGTATGTTTCCAACAATTGGCCAATATGACGGTCCAGGGGGTATACCAGATCGTTCCTGCTTTGAGAGCACAAATCCAATAATAAGCAAGAATACAAAAGCTATTAAAATAGTTGTAGCATCCACATATGATGACACAATTTCCCACAAGTTGCTCATGTTTGTAAAGCGATCTCACCAAAACACACAATATATAGGTCTATATGAGTGATCAACATTCACTTAATGGCGAGAAATTCTTGCTGTGTTTAGTTTAAATCCCAATAGATCCCTTCTCTTTATATTACAAATACTCCAATGCTGTGCCGTAGAGAGCTTTTACTATAACACAAACACCACACATAAGCAAAGTTACATTTGTATTTGTATTACTCCATAATTACATCAGAAAACAAAACAGTCCAAAGGCCATTCGTTGTGTTTTATAACTCAAACATATACACCAGTTAGTCATAAGCCCAATGATAGCTTATGTCTGCGGGTTGTATTAGGGAAATTAGTTCTATAGAGGTTACAAGGACACGTTTAGGTAGTTGTACTTTTACTGACCTTATATAGTATGCCCCCTTTTTGACCCGTACACAATGTTGAAACCAGATAAAGAGAACCTATGACGGGGGATTTGAGTCAAAAGTCAGTGCTATGTTGTTAGTGCTATTACATGTCCAATGTTGCAAATGTTGAATGTAATGTGTAAATTGGACTAAGTCAAAAGTAAAAAATCCTGTAATACTGACAAATACATCGTGTAAAATGACATCTACTTTTTGTCATTAAACATTTCACAATAAGCCGAAGTCCATCTACACAGAACTTTAAACACCGAACTCTGACATCTTCTCATTTGACACTCGCCCTATGTATTGTACCCTTCGACATATGTCTTGTGTATCGTAACACAGGACAAGTAATGAAATTAGCCAGTATGCAAATTAGTTCACACGGTACCTATTTTTAATCACGCGAGATCTAAGCTGTATGACTGTCTCTTTTTGGTGCTGTCATCTTTTGCATTATAATGCTATCCTGTTTATAAATTATATAATATCCATCCATGGGCCATTGTTCATTCTTCTCCTTTTATTTGTTAAGCTATTATATTTTGTATTATGTATACTTCTCATGAAGGGCAGGATGGTTGTTGTGGCAACTTTCTATGTCCACATTGCTCATGGACTGTCGCACACGTTCACACAAAACCCTTGCGACTTCAGAGTAAATTCTTCGTAGGAAAGTCTATGAATTCTACGAACAATATCTTGTGTTATATGTGGAAGCCAAGATATTTTACTTTTCTTTCTTTATGTAGAAAAAAAATCATGAAATCAACACCCGGTTGCAGGTCTCATGCCGGGGGAAATTCCCTGCTTGAAAATTATGTTTTCTTCACGCGAGATGTCACGTGATTAAAAATAGGTACCGTCTGAACGTATTTGCATACTGGCTAATTTCATGTCGTGAGTTCTGTGTTACGATGTAAAAGTGAAATGTTGAACGGTACAATACATAGTGCGCGTGTCATATGAGAAGATGTGAGAGTTCAGTGTTTAAAGATCTGGGTAGATGGAGTTATAGGCGTGTTGTGGAAATTTTGAAATGTCTAATGTGAAATGTTTAATGACAAAACGTAGATGTCAATTTACACGATGTATTTTTCAGTATTACAATATTTTGTTAAATTTAACGTCCTCCAATTCACACATTACATTCAACATTTGCAACATTGTAGATGTAAAAGCACTAACAACATAGCACTGACTTTTGACTCAAATCCCCCGTCATAAGAACCCAGTTTAGTTTACACAAACTAAGCAATGAGATGATGTTTAACGTATTACACATTTACATCAACCGGGTTAATGATGACGGATATGCGCCCTTGCAGTGTGCTGCAGTTTAGTTTACACAAACTAAACAATGAGATGATGTTTAACGTATTACATATTTATGCGCCCTTGAAGTATGCTGTAAGGGAAGTTGTGTCCGGACAGCAGCGCTAAACGGTCAACTCACTTTCATTTCGATTTCCCAATAATTTGTTTTCAACATCCAATCGACTCTAAAAAGATCATTTTGAGAATACTAAATATCGTACATCTTTTTACTTTAGATATTCTTTGAAACACATTCAGCTGAGAGTCTTTCAGTGAAATTTTCTTTGAGGTGGGTACGAACGTCTTTTTCCTCTGTCCGAGTGGGTTTGTGGGTGCCCGGGGGTGCGGATGCAGGACAATTTTGAAACATCAGGTGTCAATAGAGATTTGTGGCGCTGATTTGAACTCCGATATAACATTCAATTTCCTGAGCTACATTACACGGACATTAGCTCGAATCTACACGTTGATTTCTTTTACACTGTTACTTAGAGAGGCCCTGGGTACGCCACTGGTCTTTCAGCAGTGTGTGTGGGGAGCTATGGAAGCATGCGACACTCGATTTATCATGTATCGACTCGCTGATATGGGGGCTATCATGTTCCATACGGCTGGGATTTTAACACACATGACCACACTTCTTCTTCGAATTAATTACAAAACGTCTCTTAAACCCCATATGAATAATTTAATATTTAACGTAACACAATAAACACTTAACAGTGGTATCTTGAAAAGTACGTATATTATTATAATTATTTTTTAATTTTAAAAGAAAAATGTCATTTATTTGTGGGAGTCACGGTGGCTAAATGGGTGTTCGATCCCTGCATTGGCCTAGAAAGTTCATTCAGATTTTCCGGCGTGGTTCCCCCTTGTCAGTGATGCAGGACGGAGGGTTTGAAAAGGACAGCTGACTAGTCGTTCGGATGGCACAAAAAACCAAGGTCCCGTGCACACATTGACGTGCACGTAAAAGATCCTTTGAGAGTAGGAGAGTAGGCCGTAGCTCATAAGATTCAAGTGTGAACAAATGCAATTATGCCGAAATGCAATTGTCTTCTCAATGAGAATCATTATCCTAAGGTTTGATAAATGGTGGCATCTAGAGAGCGGATAAGTAAAATTACGCTAATATACTAAACAGCAAAAATAATGTCAGTACGATTTCAAAATCAGAGAGGCACTTTAATCAAATCAGTCTAGAAAACGACTTACTAAATGAATCAAAGCAATTTTTTGTGAACAATATGTTGACACATTAGTGATTAATTCATCACAATTCCAAGACATTACGAGAAGGTTTAGAGTCTGTACACATTCTATACATCAGTATGTCAATAACAGCAGCGCAGCGGCTGTACATGGAGTGAACCAGACGATTGATGAACGCCATCGACACCTGGAACCACACTCTCAGAAAAGCCTGGCGTAATCCATCGGCTGTGTTTGGTCTCGGTACGACGTTATTAAGTCTCCCATGAATTTCATCCCAAAGATGTTTAATCGGGTCGAAGTCCGCACCAACTGGCTGGCCAGTGCATAACGTTGACACGGTTCTGCTGTAGAACGTCCCAAGTAACTCTGGCGGTGTGGGCACGGGCGTTGTCGTGCTGGAAAACGTTGTTTCGATGACGTGAGAAATGTGGTATGACGTGGCTTCTGAGAGCTTGATCGATGTAGCGCGCAGCTGTGATGCCGCCTCCACTCCCTGGATCAAGATTTTGGAACGCCACAGGACCCACTCTTTGGTTCAGGGCGATTCCATTCAAAACCATTATGCTTTGACCTCCACATGAGTCTCGTTCCATGACATATTGGTCAGAATAACGCTGGCCACGTCGACGCGATATTCTGGTCCTGCCATCTGTAGTTGATACGCAATACCGACTTTCACCTGTGAACAGAACAGTTCTCCATTGCCTGTGTCGCCAGTTCTGGTGTTGTTGGTCAAACCGTAGACGTTCACTTCGATGGCGGCGTGGGGTGAGGATCGGTCCACGGTAAGGTCTACGGCAATGGGCAATGGGTGTTCTCTCTGGTGAGACGTCGGCGCACTATATCGGTACAGATGGGTCTTCCGTGTGTTCCCACTGTCTGACGTGCTGTCCCAGATGCCTGTGTGAAGGGATTCTGCACGTGCTGTCACACAAAATGGCGGTCTTGTCGCCTTGTGGTAACCCTTGGTCTACCAGTTTGGGGGTGATCATCCGGGGTGTTGGTGACCCGAAAGCGTTGCTGTAGCCTGTAGATGGTCCGAACATTGACCTGGAAGCGATTGACAACGGCTAGGGCAGTCTGGCCTGCGTCGGGGCTTCCAAGCGCTTGGTTCCTCTGAACTGTCGTGAGTCGTCGCATGCTGCTGAGGTTGTAGATTCTTCACAAAAGTTTACAGGAGCTCTTTTTACCCTCATGTCTGAGTGAGAGTGCGACTACTGGCTGGTCCTCCCCGACAAGATTTTGAAAGATCGGGGTGTCAATGGTGTTTGGTGGCGCTATATCACCCAAACCAACAATAACAGAGTGATGTGTGGAATTTCTATACTTACATTTAGTGTGTAGATGGGCGTGGTTTGTGTGTGTATGTGTGTGTGTGGGGGGGGGGGGGTAAAGGAAAGGCGACCCTCTTCTATCGATGCCGCATGTGTTAGACCCCCAACCCCGACTTGCCTCCGAATTTTTATGAAGGCCATTAGTGTGTATGTTTTGATATACAACTGGCGGTAGTTTTTACTTTGATGTCCATAGCAGTTATATCTCATAACAACCGGTCATGACATCATCATAGGTTGATATATTCGTTCATATCAACCACTGAAGACGTCATGACAGGTTGATATTTCATATCAACCGCTAATGACGTCATCTCAGGTCAATATATTCGGCTCATATCAACCGCTGATGACGTACAGTCCACTTAAAACAGTCGGTCAAATCCTTCTCTGAACATACCGAAAACCTTCAATTAGCAATGCAAAAGCTCGCTATGGGCGCCACTGATACTATTTTTTTATCACTGTCAAAAAATCTGACCGTAAAATCTGCCGTTTTTGTTCCGCGACTTCGGGAAGGTGTATGACCACGAACACCGATGACCCTTTACTTTTCGTGAAGAGGAGAAAACAGAGTTTATGTCGAGCGTGGTTTGGACATTCAGAAACGTATTTACGACTGATTTTTTATATTTTGAAAAAATAAAATTATCAGAAAAAGGCAAAAACGACGCTCGTCACTGGAAGTAAACGTATTTTCTCATAAAATGACCCCTTTTCTAGTTATATTGACCTGTATTTCATTCACCAACCGTTGGAACTAGTGCCAGAGCTTGGGAAAACAAATCATGTGGAAGAAAAGAAAAGATAACTCCACCGATGTGGGTGCAGACCACAGCAGCTTTCTTGTTATTGTGAACGTGTCAAACCAAGTTTCCCTTTTGCTAACAGTGGGCTGATTCTGAGGCACGATTTTCAAGTGCACTTTTTAGGAGTATAAAGTCTTCTGCACGGTTTCTCTTGTATTGTTACAATATTTTATTGATTCTAATAACACTTCCTTAAAATTAAATTTTTTTAAAAATTATCTCTTGGATAACTTTCTCTTTTGTTGGTGATCAAATGACAGCCATATGGAATCTGATACAAGAAAATGAAATGGGGTTTAATGTTCTACTCCTACTTGGCTTATGAAGAGGGCGGGGGCGTGGGTAGGGGGAACACGCCATTGTAGTGTGCTATGAGGGGAAACTTTGCCAAAACAGCGGCGCAACAGCCTACTCTTATTTCGAATTTCAACTGTCGAGGTTTCTTTTATGCGCACATGGGACATCAGTTTTTTTATTCTATCCGAATGACTATTTTGTCACTTGCTAGGTCAACCGTCGTACATCTGGGGGGAGGCTGGTGTGTATAACACAATGAACTTGCTCGGCTAATGCAGGAATTGAACACGGCACATCAAGTTGAGTGAGCCAATGTCCTACCCACTGAGCTACTGTGGCTCCCTGTTGCCGGAAAAGAGAATGGGCTGGATGAGTATGGGATGTCCAGTGCTCCATCCCCAGAATTCACTTTGTTTTGCGGATCAGAGAACCTGACAAGTTGAATGAAAAACAAGGTCGTATGTACGGATTAGCGGCGAACAATAAAGATCCCTAGATACCTACAAATCGAGGAGCAGTCTATACTAGGAAGTTGGATTCATTCTGCCGGCATAAAGCAATACCCAAAATTTGAGGTCCATCATATGTGAATTCTATCTTAAAAAAGTCTTCAACGCAAATTAACCAAATTTGTTTTTTTTTAATCCATGTTGCAGACCCCATATCAAAACAAATAAATTATATCAGGATATTTCCTGATAATTTGATGCCAATATCTTCAATAGTTGCTGAGAAATGGTCTTCGGTCACTTTTTTGGCATATTTTAAAAAAAAGTGTATACTGACATCCATCAATTTGGGGTCTTAAAAGTGCAACAACTTATTTATTTCTTAACCGATTTTTAAATATTTTTTGGTTTCTTAAATGGGAAGGGGGCTGGAATGCTAGTAGATATTCAGTTTTAGTCCGATTCAAAAATATAAAAAAGCTTTTGCATTGCTACTTCAATCATGGTTCACTGTCAGAATTCTTGGAAAAGAATGCCTTTTGGTCCATATTTTCTGCAGGCTTTGGATAGATCCTCGTCGATATTTGCATTCACATCTATTCCATCGTCAATATGTTGGCTAAAAAGGATTGATTATTCGTCTGACTTCGTATTACTATCCATTTTGTTTTTGCTTTCAATTCAATACGACAATAGTCCAAAATGGCGACGTATAAACAAAAACATGCACGTAATTACACGTGATTACTTCGGTAATTTTCGCTATTTGGCGGAAACTATCGAGCAATTATCCAATCATTGTTGCCTTTTAATGGAAGAGCCCATTAAATTTAAGGGTGAAATGGCGTTGTATATGTCGGATATCCCGCGCGTTCTCTACCATATCAACCTCAGGTAGGTTAATATCCTATACATATACATCTCCATGATGAGGGCGTAGGTGGCTATTTTGTTTGTCGTGTAATTTAAACATACATTATGCAAGAGCTAAATCTGATTATTGCAAGTCTTTATTTAGGCTTCAGATGTCAAAGAAATTATAAATTAGATCTTTATTTACACAATCCCTCTTCACCGTCTACGAGAATGCAGGCCGTTTGAATGACAGGCGTTAACTCCACCTACATAATCTCGATTATCAAGTAACGTTTTCAATCACTCTATCATTCAGCCTCGATCTAAAATTTCCCAGAGTATGACGTCAACGTAACGGTTAATCTCAGCTTACGACGCCATTTAAAAATTTAACCAATCAATGAAATCCTGTTTAAATCCAAGCGAATCCAAGCCATCCAAGCCATCCGTGGGTCTACAGAGTTGATTTTCTGCTTGTTGTGTAAATAAAGATCTAATTTACAATTCCTATGACATCTGAAGCCTAAATAAAGACTTGCAATAATCAGATTTAGCTCTTGCGTAATGTATGTTTAATTTCTATGTCGAAACCCAGCCCTGTTTATGCAAGTACTAGCAGGATACCCGGCTTCGCTCGGGGGTCATAACTCCGAAACCGGAAGTAGTAGACTAACGCCACCTGGCCTATGTTACTCCCCGGTCCGAGATACCCCTATACCCCAAATTTTAGACCTAGTGTAGCTGCCAAACCCGAACAAACCGGCTTCGCTCGGGGGGCATAACTCCGAAACCGGAAGTGGTAGACTAACGCCACCTGCCTATGTTACTCCCCGATCCGAGCTACCCCTATACCCCAAATTTCAGACTCGGGGCAGACCTAGTGTAGCCGCCAACCCCGAACAGACAGACTTCGCTCGGGGGTCATAACTCCGAAACCGGAAGTGGTAGACTAACGCCACCTGGCCTATGTTACTCCCCGGTCCGAGCTACCCCTATTCCCCAAATTTCAGACTCGGGGCAGACCTAGTGTAGCCGCCAACCCCGAATAGCCGTCGCCCTACATTGGTGGGTGACGGCGTCGAAATATACTATTCAAAAAAAGTAGGGGATATTTGATTTTGGGGGCATAATACTAAAATATGCAAATGACTACGAAAAAAGTCACTATAGAACCTAACAGAAGAAACATTTCCAGTTACATGTGACGCCCAAACGCACCAATAGCTACCGCATGGAATGCAGGTGATGCTTGGGATCATCATGGGGGTCCAACCCAAGATTTGCACGACTCTGACTTTGAATGTTACAGTCATTGTGACATTGAATTCCAGGGTGGAAACATCAGTTTAATTGTTTTAGTGACCAGAAAACAAATTTTGATATGCGTCGGCTTACCCAAAATGAAAGGTTACGTGCCCTTGGCATGCTACAGATCGGCACAACACAGGCGGTTGTGGCGCGGACGATGAATGTTTCTCAGGCTGTCATAAGCAGGCTATGGTCCAGATACCGTGATACACAATCTGTACAGGACAGACCACGCTCAGGTCGACCAAGGGCGACAACTCAAGCCCAGGATCGATTTATCCGTACCTTGGCCTTGAGAAATCGTGTCATCACAGCAAATCAGATCAGCGCTCGTCTTCAAACAGACACTGGTGTGAGAGTGAGTGGCCAGACGATTCGGAATCGACTGCATAGGGGTCACCTTCGCGCCCGACGTCCTCGCGTGATCCCTTGTTTGAGAGATCATCACATTCAGGCAAGACGTCGTTGGTGTAGGGATCGTCAACACTGGGATAATCGACGCTGGAGCAATGTGATGTTTTCAGATGAGTCAAGGTTCACTGTTGATTTTTTGGACAGACGTAGGAGGGTGTGGCGTCGTCGAAACGAGCGCTTCCAAGACGTTAACGTCATCAGACATGATCGATTTGAGGGTGGTTCTGTTATGGTGTGGGGAGGCATCACTGTTGCTGGAAGAACGGCTTTACATGTTGTTGCAGGGCGTGTTACAGGCCAGTACTACCGGGACAACATCTTGGCAGTCCATGTTGTGCCGTTCGCACGACGTCATGGCCGCCGTTTCATCTTCCAGGATGACAACGCAAGATGTCACAGGGCCAGGATCGTTACAGGTTACCTCCAACAACAGAACATCACCACATTACCTTGGCCAGCACTGAGTCCCGACCTCTCCCCCATCGAGCATGTCTGGGACATGCTTGGACAGAGGTTACGTCAACGTCAACAACGTCCTGCCAATGTCCAAGAACTTGCTGCTGCGTTGCAACAGGAATGGGACAATCTGGACCAAAATGACCTTAGACGTCTCATTAGGAGTATGCCACGTCGAATCAATGCTTGTTTGGCAAACAGAGGAGGATTTACCCGTTACTGACTTGGTTATGATGCTGTGGTAACTTTGCTGTTTGACCCCGGGTATCATTTTACCCTTAAAATGGTCAGTCTGTGCCTTACTTAGTCTAACGATCATTTGGAATAAATCGATGAATGTGAACTTCATTTCATTTTGTCATTTGTTTCTTCGTCAGTTTCATTAGGTGACTTTAATAACACTTAAAAATCAAATATCCCCTACTTTTTTTGAATAGTTAATTTGGTGATCTGTGTGCGTAGAATGTAGCCATTGCGCATGTAACTAACTATAAACTTCCGAGGCGAGAGTCGCCGTTAAGCCAGAGCGACGAAAAAGCGATTTTTTCGGCGACTTTTTCGTCGCGTGGCTTAACGGCGACTCTCGCGTTGTATCTAGAAACCCGCCGATCGAAATGGACGCTTTCAGCCACCACACGTCTGGGCCTTTTAATATATATTCTTCAAAAAAAGTAGGGGATATTGAAATGCAAATACCTATACAGGTTTTGATATGATAAATAGTCATGGAGTATGAACACTTGACATGCTTTGAGAGTATGTTCACAGATGAAGAACTTATCGCCTCAACAGAATTACTGAGATGTAGGCCTACATGCGACACGCAATTTAGCGCCATACACGTGGGAGGGGTTCATTGTCAAATTTGTCACCTCAAGGAAGGGTTGATGAAAACTGCCGCGTGCTGGTTTATCTATCCATGTTTGCTTTCCTATCGGTTCTTGCATAAGATTTACTGTTTAGTGTGTATCTTTGCTTTAGTGTGTAAGTTTAATTTGATCGGGAGACGTGTTCGTCGACGTCAACGTCAACCGACAACACTGCAAGAAATGACTGTGGCACTGCAAGAGAAGTGGGTCAGATTGTCCCAAATCGTGATTGGATGGTTGATTAGGAGCATGCCATGACGAATTGCTGAATATCTGAGGATTAGTGGAGCAATTACTCATTATTAAGGCACAAATCAAAAACGTCCATTTTCACTTTTGACGGTGTATTTGCGAGTAAAATGGGGGCCGTCAGATATGCCGCCCATGAACTGTTTATGTTCATTTGTTGGCAATTGGCCTGTTATTAACATACACTGGTTACCTCTAATAAAAACAGCAGTGCGTTTCCACAGTTTTGTATTGTTTCTGAATATCCCCTATTTTTTTTATGAAGAGTATAATATTATACTTTAAAGCAGTGGTCCTTGTCCTACTTACCCATTTTTTTCTCCATTATTAACGGAAGTTGTCTCCCATTATTTATGGTTCTCGGAATCGCGGAAGATTATCACTGAATGATCCCTGATATTTAATAGATTTAGAAGACATGTTTTGTGAATAATTAATGCTGACAGAAGAACAAGCATCTGGCTAATTGCCTAGTTGTTGTATACAATATGTCCAGCGCTCCCAAGTACGTATGACTATGAGTAACTGAAATGAGTACCGGTAACTGCAGTTCTGTGCTTGTTTGTGAGGAAGTTGGCCAGTTACTAAAAATAGAAGTAGCCTACCAGTAGGATGAGTGCTAAATGATAAGGCCAGCTCAATTTTTCGTCATAGATCACGAGATATAAATAGGGCTAGCGCTAATCCCAACCCTAACTTTGGATCTAACCCCAATGCTTACCCTTATCCTAACCTACAATCTCGCCAACAATCAGGTGCCCAAACCTTATTTGCATCTCACCCACCTTGAAAAAAAATGAGCTAGCCTTAACAAATAGATTTAGCCCTACCCATAGGCCTTTTGGTGGATGCAAATTTTGTTTAATAGGAGGGACACCTGGCGTGGTCTTGGAAATGAAATGGGTTTTAACGTCCTACTGTTCTGCTCTGAACTGTGCTATGACTACTATGAGTAGGCCTATGCTGGAAATTTTGCCCGAACAGCGGCACTAGGGCCTATATGCTTTTATCGAATTCCAATTGTCAAGGGATCTTTTAGGTGCATGCCAGTGTGTATACAGGATCTCGAATTTTCGTCCCATCCGAACAACTAGACAGCTGTCCTTGTCAGGCTCTCCATCCTGCATCACTGACAAGGGGGAACCTCGTGGAAAATCTTGATGAACTTGCTTGGCCAATGCAGGGATCGAACACCGGTACCAGGCTAGCGAGCCAGCATCTTACCCACTATGACCTAGAAATGGTTCCACTACTGATGTCTTCTGCCTTACTCCAGTCACAGTAGTGGCTCATCCTACAGAGCTCCTTTGCACAAGTTTTTTAGTCAAACGACTACAAAAAGGTTACTGGCCTATAGCTCCCTTAATTTACACATAAACTGACCCAAAACAGTACTGCACATAGCTTAACATAAAATAAATCAATTCCCATTGAAATAAAGGTGAAGCCTTACCACATATTTATATGATTTGATGAAACCCAACTGCTACGCGAAATTTCAACTGGCCGGAGTCATTGCAGCTTGCGTAATACGTCATTACAAGAGACATTGCTATGCAAATGTAGAACGCATAACCACAAAGAAAAACTGTTCAGTAACTATTTTAGTGGTCCAGTCTTCACTATTTGTCATAGAATTACTTATTCCAATCCAAACTGTAATGATATGTGTTGACAATTGTGCGTTTGAACCTATTTGAACTTGCGTAAGGAGTCTTAGACTGTATCAATTGTAATGTTAAACACACAGTTTAACGTTACAAGTATAGTAACTAACCGTGACCCTGCGTAGTCTTGGCGTGTCGATTAAAGATTATAGTGTGAAATCAGTAGGCCTACAATGCAACAAAGACTACAAAACAATGTAAACTTTAAACAGTCAAAATTTAAATTAGAATTCAGATAGGACCTTTGTAGTGAAGTTTTATACATCAGATTCATTTAAATTCTGTTTACCACTAATATTAGGCTTCATTTTTATACCCCCAGAATGAATTTTGATAACTTGAACAACTAAATCCATGATATTAAATGTTTCGTATACTAAACGTTAGCAATTACTTAATGAGTTGTTATTCTTAATCAGATTTTAGTGTATTATAAATGTTTCATTACCGACAATAGAAGAAATATACGACAACTCTTGTTGACTGCTCGGCCGACTTAGCTGCTGTGGGCGCATATTTCGTTGCCTGGCAATCAAGTAAAATTTATTGAAACAAGTTTTTGAAATCACAAATATGTATATGACTCACTGATATCATACATATTAGAATTATTGATAACAAAAAAAACCACGCGAATTATCGATGACCATGAATTTTGATATCAAACTTAGATTTCTTGATATAAGAAATAAGTTGACCAAAAAATGGCATGCAAAAGTTCTGGTTATCTACATTCAGGATACAGATATGCCAGAATCCAAGTATTCATAACAGATAGGACAATACTAACAAATGTAATGTTGGATCATTGTTTCAGGACATGTGGGCAGACGTCACCAGTAACAAATAAATATGTTGAACTGAATGATGATATATTGATCCAGATTTTGTCCCATCTTCCTCTACGTGATTTAATAACCAATATACCTCTCGTTGATAAAAGATTTAATGGATTTGTTCAACAGAACATGTTGTGGGAAATGAAGTGTCGAAATGGTGGCATCTCCACACAAAATGTCTTACATCCAATTCCAGACACGTACAAGGAACTTTACTTTAATGAAACATATGGACAGAATCTTATCAAGAATTGTTGTGCCACAGGTTAGATTTCATTTTGTTGTAATTTAAATCACTTTGAAAAATATAAAACTTATTACATAATATTGTATGAAATACAAGTTAGTTTATCAAGAATTGTTGTGCCATAGGTTAGATTTCATTTTGTGATTATTTCAAATCACTTTGAGGAATATAAAACCAATTACTCGGTTTTTATACGCCCACATTTTCATGTGGACGTATATTGTCGTCGCCCCTGTCTGTCCGTCCAAAATTTGTTTGTGGACACTCTACAGGTCACAATTCTTATTCGATTTTGATGAAACTTGAAATGCATGTTTGTAACCCGAAGATCTTGGTTTCTTTCGATATTTGCGTATATCAGATCGTAACTTCCTGAATTATGGCCTCTGATTGTACGAAAAATTGCGTTTTTAGCTTGTGGTCCCTCTAGAGGTCACAATTGTTATCCGATTTAAAAAAACGTTTGAAAATATCATCGTTACACTGTAATGAGGCTTGAGTTTGAATTTCGTGAAAATCGGACCAAAACTGCCGGACAAAATGACCGCCCCATGTATGCAAATAATGTAAAAATATGGTATATCAAGGTTGTGGACCCTCTAGAGGTCATAATTTTGATCCAATTTTGATGAAACTTAAAATACATGTTTATAACCCAAAGATATTGGTTCCTTTCAAAATTTGTGCATATCGGATCGTAACTTCCTGAATTATGGCCTTTGATTGTACGAAAAAACAATTTTTATCCAATTTAACAAACCATTTGAATATAATATTACCGTTACACCCTAATCAGGGCTGAGTTTGAATTTCGTGAAAATCGAACCGAAATTGCCGGACAAAATGGCTGCTCCTCTTACACAAATAGTATATCGAGATTGTGGACCCCCTAGAGGCCACAATTTTGCTTCAATTTTGATGAAACTTGAAATACATATTAATTACCCAAAGATCTTGGTTCCTGTCAATATTTGTGCATGTTCCGACCATAACTTCCTGAATTGTGGCCCTTGATTGTACGAAATATCATGTTTTTAGCTTGTGGTCGCTCAAGAGGTCACAATTTTTATCTGATTTATAAAAAAACGCTTGAATATATCACCGTTACACCCTAATGATGGTTGAGTTCAAATTTCTTGAAAATCGTACCAAAACTGCTGGACAAAATGGCCACCCCTCGGACGCAGATAGTGTAAATATATGGTATATCAGGGTTGTGGACCCTCTAGAAGTCACAATTTTGTTCCGATTTTGATGAAACTTGAAATATATGTTTATAATCAAAAGATCTTAGTTCCTGTCTATTTTTGCGCATATCAGATCGTAACTTCCTGAATTATGGCACTTGATTGTCGAAAAAAAGTCTTTTTGTTTAGCTTGTTCTCTATCCATCTCTTGCAAAATGTGGGCGCATCCTGTCTGGCAGCCGCTGGTTCAATCATTTTAAAACAACTGGAGTTGTATGTAGTCCAAAGTGCTATCCAATTCGGTTGCTCTCACTCTCTCTCTACGCGTGGCTTGGCGTGTATAGTACCTATTAACCAGGTGGTCTAGGGTTAGATCCCCATGTTGGCTTAGAAAGTTCCTCTGGATTGTCAGTGGTGCAGGACGGAGTGGCATCATGTTGTATAGTTTCAGGCCTAAACATCCAAAATTAAAAATTGTTTTGAATTCCAGAGAAGTTTGAACACTGGACTATAGATAAAGATGGAGGCGATGGTTTTCATGTTGAAGTATCACCTCGAGGTGCTAGTCCGATACCACCTAAAGCTTTTGAAGAATCTGGTGAACCAAGTGAGTATAATTAGGCCTATTATTAATTATGTCAAAACTTGGTGTTTGTCAAAACATTTTTTTAATGTCAGTTGTGATCATAGGTCACTAGAACTACTCATCATATTTCAGATGGAAATATCCACAGCAGTCAATGAACGACTACTTTTCACATCTGAAAATATGAAGATTTACAATGAAGTATTTCTATACGCCCACATTTTCATTAGGACGTATGTTGTTGTCGCCCCTGACCGTCCGACCATCTGTCCTTCCACAATTTGTTTGTGGACACTCTACAAGTAACAATTCTTATCCGATTTTGACAAAACTTGAAATATAGGTTTATCTCCAAAAGATCTTGGTTACTTTCGGTATCGGATCAAAACTTCATTGATTTTCGTCTGCTTTTGATGAAACTTGAAATGCATGTTTATAACCCAAAGATCTTGGTTCCTTTCGATATTTGCACATATCGGATCGTAACTTCCTGAATTATGGCCCCTGATTGTACGAAAAATCACGTTTTTAGCTTGTGGTCACTCTAGAGGTAACAATTTTTTCCAATTTAAAAATCCTTTTGAATATATCACCATTACACCCTAATGATGGTTGAGTTTGAATTTCGTGAAAGTTGTACCAAAACTGCTGCACAAAATGCCTCCCCTCGTACGTAAATAGTGTAAATATATGGTATATCAAGGTTTATGAAAGTAGCAATACATGTTTGTAACCCAAAGATCTTGGTTCCTTTGGATATTCTCGCATATCAGATCTTGTAACTTCCTGAATTATAGCCCTTGATTGTATGAAAAATCACGTTTTTAGCTTGTGGTCCCGCTAGTGGTCACAATTTTTATCTGTTACACCCTAATGTTGTTTATATCCCAAAGACCTCATTCCCTTTAGATCTTCGTGTATTTCAAACCATAACTTCCTGGATTAGCTTATGGACCCTGATTGTATGAAAAATCATGTTTTTTAATTTTAGCTTGTTCTCTCTCCATCTCTTGCAAAATGTGGGCGTATCTTGCATGGCAACCGCTGGTTGTGTTTAATAACAGTTTTCTTTGATATTTTTTCTAGTTATAAAGAACTGGGTAACATCTTATCAATGGTGTAAAAAATCTCAAGTAGTAAATTTAATGGAGTCAGATTTTGCTGTTTTGATGGACATGTATCAACCAGATATACTTGTATCAGTTTGGTAGGTTATATCTCTGTTTTTATACGCTCACATTTTCATGTGGACGTATATTGTCGTCGCATCCGTCCGTCCACAATTGTTTGTGAACAGTCTACAGGTCACAATTTTTATCCGATTTCAATGAAACTTGAAATATAGGTTTATCACCCTAAGATCTCAGTTCCTTTCGATATTGGCATCTATCGGACCGTGACTTCATGAATTATGGCCCCTGATTGTACGAAAAATCACGTTTTTGGCTTGTGAACACTGTAGAGGTCACAATTTTTATCCGATTTTGTTGAAACTTGAAATGTAAGTTTATAACCCAAAGATCTTGGTTCCTTTCGATATTCGCACATATTGGACCGTAATTTCCTGAATTATGGCCCCTGATTGTACGTAAAAACACGTTTTTTGGCTTGTGGACCCTATAGAGGTCATAATTGTTATCCGATTTAAAAAAACGTATTATTATATCACCGTTAAACCCTAAGGACGGTCGAGTTCGAATTTCGTGAAAATCGGCCCAAAACTGACAGACAAAATGGCCGCCGTTCGTTCTCAAATAGCGAAAAAATATGGTATATCAAGGTTGTGGACCCTATAGAGGTCACAATTTTTATCCGATTTTGTTGAAACTTTACATGTAAGTTTATAACACAAAGATCTCGGTTCCTTTCGATATTCGCGCATGTCGGACCGTAACTTCATGAATTATGGCCCCTGATTGTACGCAAAAACGCGTTTTTTGGCTTGTGGACCTTATAGAGGTCATAATTTTTATTTGATTTAAAAAAACGTGTTAATATATCACCGTTACACCCTAAGGACGGCTGAGTTCGAATTTCGTGAAAATCGGCCCAAAACTGACAGACAAAATGGCCGCCCTTCGTTCACAAATAGCGTTAAAATATGGTATATCAAGGTTGTGGACCCTATAGAGGTCACAATTTTTATCCGATTTTGTTGAAACTTGAAATGTTAGTTTATAACACAAATATCTCGGTTCCATTCGATATTCGCGCACATCGGACCGTAACTTCATGAATTATGGCCCCTTATTGTATGACAAATCGCGTTTTTAGCTTGTGGACCATATAGAGGTCATAATTTTTATCCGATTTAAAAAAAACGTTTTATTATATCACCATTAAACCCTAAGGACGGTTGAGTTTGAATTTCGTGAAAATCGGCCCAAAACTGATAGACAAAATGGCCGCCTTTCGTTCTCAAATAGCGTAAAAATATGGTATATCAAGGTTGTGGACCCTATAGAGGTCACAATTTTTATCCGATTTTGTTGAAACTTGAAATGTAAGTTTATAACCCAAAGATCTCGGTTCCTTTCGATATTCGCACATATCTGACCGTAACTTCCTGAATTATAGCTCCTGATTGTACGAAAAATCACTTTTTTAGCTTGTGGACCCTATAGAGGTCATAATTTTTATCCGATTTAAAAAAACGTATTATTATATCCCCGTTACACCCTAAGGACGACTGACTTCGAATTTCGTGAAAATTGGCCCAAAACTGACAGACAAAATGGCCGCCCCTCGTTCTCAAATAGCGTAAAAATATGGTATATTAAGGTTGTGGACCCTATAGAGGTCACAATTTTTATCTGATTTTGTTGAAACTTGAAATGTAAGTTTATAACTCAAAGATCTTGGTTCCTTTCGATATTTGCGCATATCGAATTGTAATTTCCTGAATTATGGCCCTTGATTGTAGGAAAAATCACTTTTGTTTAGCTTGTTTTCTATCCATCTCTCGAAAATGTGGGCGTATACTGCCTGGCAGCCGCTGGTTATATGACGAGGGGGGTTGGGTGGTCAGATGATCTTATGTGTTTACGCTTTAGATCATATTGTCTGTCATTGTCTGTCAAATGTTACACGATTTCGATCCCACACTTGTACATGGCAAAGAATAAGGTCATCTGCCTCACCTTGTGGCTTTTCTCTATGTTCCTCCAACTGTTCAAGATCCATATGTGAGTTATTGAAATAAAATTGTACCATATGATAGTCCTGAAATGACCTAGTTTGTTTCGAGTGGACGTTAACTTCGTTTCTCTCTCACTCTCTCTTTAAATGGCTTAATGTTATTCTTAATAATCTGTTTCACAGCGTAATGCAAAAGCCCTCTTTTAACTATGTACAAGATGACTGATCTTCAAGTTCATGTGCAGTATAGGTCTACATTTGACATCTCCCCCCAGCCCAAAAAGTTTTGAAAGGTACATTGTCTCTCGTGTAATTTTGGCATATATACTCAGCCAAATTAAAAACTTATCACTCGGGATTTTGGGGACTAGATTTTTAATATTTGGTTTAAGGCAACTATTTTAGTGTTATGTTGTGCACAGACGACCTTGACATCAACAGAAAGCAAGAATACGTCTCGCCGAATGTCCTTGACATTGATAACGTTCATGATGTCACAGTACCCCCCAAAATGAAATTCCCAGACTTGGAGAACAATCAGAATAAAGTGTTTAGTAACGTTTGTGGCCTCCTATAGCGTCTGCCACACAACGTCTTCTCATGGATCTCAGAACATTAGTAAACACTACCCGAGGAGGGCGTCGCCACTGCTCAGCAAGAGCATGTTGAAGGTCCTGCAACTTCAGTTGTGGATTCACGTGCTGACGAACACGTCGACCCAGTTCGTCCCAGATGTGTTCAATAGGATTAAGGTCGGGGCTAAGTGACGGCCAATCCAGGACTTGGACACCGGCATTTCTTAAAAAATTCTAGGTACCAATTGCTGTATGGGGTCGAGCATTGTCTTGTTGAAACGTTAGTCCAGGCCAATGTCTCTGCATAAACGGAAGAAGAACAGGTTGCAAAATCTGATCCCTGTACTGGACAGCATTTAAGTTCCCTTGGACAACAACAAGAGGAGAACGTCCATGTGCACAAAAAGAACCCCAAACCATGACACTCCCGCCACCAAATCGATCAACTTCTCTGACACATACTTGAACGTAACATTCACCTCGTCTGCGGTACACTCGGACCCTGCCATCGGCAAATCTCAAAGTGAATCGAGATTCCTCACTAAAGACAACAGAATTCCTTGGTCTTTGAGTAAATCTTATGTGTCTTGTGGCCCACACAAGAGGTGTCAATATTGGTCCATTATAGGGCCTCCGAGCTCGAAGACCAGCAGCCTGCAAGCGATTTCGAACAGTTTGTGCAGTACCCTTCCACCAAACATCTCTCAACTTGTGGAGGTTGCAGTGACAAATCTGTTTCTAAGATGACGTAATCGTATTGCTTGATCTTCCTGGAGTGACGTCACACGTGGCGCTCCCGCCCTTGGGCGGTCGGCAATGGTTCCAGTTTGAAGCACTCTCATTCTAAGATTAATTATTGTCTGGCGTGAACAATTTAAGGCTCTTGCAATAGTGACCACAGACTGACCAGCATAGAGCCTACCTATAGCACGTAGACGTTCTACATTTGAAAGGTGCAGCATTTTCTAACAAAGATGAAAATAACAATTTTAATTTGTTTTTTCCAGTTCAAGTTAGGTGTGCGTGTTCAGTTTAAGCAAACTTGCATCGATTGACCTCACGAGTTTGTGTTTGCACGTGTTTTTCATCTTTATATGCTCAAAAGTCACGTGATCCACGTGACTTTACAATTTTATGAAATTAAAGGCTTCTTACTACTTACTATCGTTAGAAGCACTTTAAAATTTATTTGACTTACCAGAAAACAAAATTTGTTGAAATTCATCAGTGTCAAGTTTTTAATTTGGCTGAGTATATATGGGGTAAATGAGGTCACTTTGCAAAAACACATTGGTTGGAAAAAGTTCCACAATTGGTAAAAATATTGAAAAACATTTTTTGCATGGCAACCGCTTGTTTAATAAAACATTCCCCAACATAGATTCTATTTTATTATTTCATTGTTAAAACTATAGGCTTTGTGGTAGATTTGACTGTGGCAGTGAATATAAGTTAAAAATCCAGTTACTAGATAAATCTAAATCAGTTATAGATGAACACATGATTCATGAAGATATACCATCTGGCCGTAAATGGAAAAAGGTAATTTATTATAAATATAATAGGTTATTGAAGGAATTTTTGTAGGTCTACAAATTCTTAATAAAACACAAGACAGAGGCATGGCCTGCCTCAAAGTAATGGGAGTGAGGGGGTCTGAGTGAAAATGTTTGTGATACCAAAGCAACTCTCCATGATGAGTTCTGCATGGTGAGAAAAATTTTAATAGCCGAAAATGCTTCTTTTGAAGTTGTCGAATAGTAGCACAATTGGAATTGGAGGTTGTTTTTTGCTAGGCTGATTTACAATTGTAACTTTTAGAGTTATGCCCTTTTACAACAAAACCTAGATAACACTCTGAGATTACAATTATAAAACTAACTTTATGAAATTTTGGTGGGTTGTTGAAAGGTACACTTTCACGAAAGTATTATCGGGTAGTTATTTCCAAAAAAAGTATGAAAATTAAAAACGCCCAATCCTAGAAAGATACTAAATTTTGAAAAAAAATACTTATGGGGCCCACACAAAACAAACATGAGTGTATCCTTAAAAGGCAGTATGCCTCCTCTCTCTAGATCCTCATCAGAAACACATGAATTTATCATATCAAATGAATTGTTTTTGCAGTTAGCCTTCCCGATTTCTCAATATGGTAAAGGTGTTCGGTATTTAAGATGGTCTCATTCTGGTAAAGATACTCGATTCTGGGCTGGACGTTATGGGGCCAAGTTTACACTTTGTATCTTGCGTTTAAAGTTTTCATTTACAACCTCCAATACATAAAAACAGTCAATTTTACAAGTCTTCTTCGTGACAAGGAGTATGGTTGCCTGTCCAACCTTGTGGTTTTTCTCCGGGTCCTCCGGTTTCCTCCCACAGCTAAAGAACCCTACGCGCAAACAAATTATTGAAATAAAATTGAACCATGTGTTTGTCCCGAGTGGAGTGGACGTTAAACCCCATTTCTCTCTTGCTCTCTCGCAAGTCTTCTTGATTTACCACCTCCAATAAATGGAAACATGTAATTTGTACTTGGTGAGCTAATGTGATACAGTTTGTGATACTCAAGAGTGACTCCAGAATGTTTTGATTGGTCAATACTCAATAATAATGTAAATGCTCCACCCAGTCAATTAATTTGTGAAATCTCAAAAATAACCCCTGAACTTGATAAATGTGCCAGTGGTATAGAAACTAGTCTTTACAACAGTGAACAGATCCTAGCTAGCCACCATACATTACTTAAAATAATGTGTTGTTTTTGCTCAATATCCTATTTCTCAATGTCTCAAAAAGTTGTGTTAAACTTTCAGTCTTTAAGACAAATTAATCTGATTGGAATCAGATATCAGTTGCATTTTATTTCTAATGTTGTTATATTGCATCAGTATTTGACATATTTTTTTTGTAAACAATGTTCAGATCATGTGAATTTATTGATCAATCAAATTGTCTAGATCCAAGGTTAGCTTTGAGGTTATTTTGCGCTAGCCCTGTTTACATCTTTTGACCTTTGACCAAATCTGGAGGTGACCTTAAGAAATAAATCTAACTGGATTGAACCTAGAACCTCCTGGTTAGTAAGCCGGTGACATATTCGTCAAGCCATAGCAGCTCCTGACAATCAAAGTACTTTGATAATTGCTTTGTAGCTTTAAAACTATTTGTTATTTTTTTAAAAAAATATTTATTTTCTACTGTATTGTATTATTAATTTTGTAAATAAAAATATATATTATTTTTATGTTTTTTGGGATCTGTTAAATAGAATTCCATCTCAAGAAATCAATCATTTTTAAGAAGTTCGTGTTCAATTTGACCCCAACCTTTTGTCTAGCCAACAGAGGCTTTGGTTTTGGCAAGTGTTAAGCAGTCAGTGTGTCAAATATTTGACAGTCAACAGAAAATTTCTAGATTTTCTCGCAGTGAATTAAAACTGGAACAAAAATAAAGACTGAATTTGACTTTTTCAGGATCATATATTAAAGACCCTATGTGTAATTTCAGCGCTATAAAATCCCTTGTAAATGCAATTTTGTGAGTTTAATCAGTCAAAAATAGTTCAATTCCGTTCAGTATTTTTCAAAGAGATGGTGAAATGAAAACACGGCCACCATCTTTATTTGCTGTGAATCGAAGCTGGGAGATTATCTAGCATTGGTGTTTTGATTTTGTTTTCCTAATTAAATGTTAAGTAATTAATCCGAGTAGATATTAGCATGGATTAAGCCGAGAGAAATTTGATATTTTCGGAAAAATGCAAATCACACATCATTATATTGCTTCTTATAGTTTGGATATTAAAGAAATAAAAACATCTTCATAGATTATCGCATGGTCATATTTTATACAGTACAAAGCGTAAATCTTTGAAAATTTCCACATGAATTGGGAAGTGTCAAGTAAGGACTACTGTGTCATGAGTTATCAAGTACTCAACGCTTGATCTCGCTTTAACTTCAGGCATCTTATCAAGCCCTTTACGTATACATAATACCCCGCATATTTCGGCACTAATTTCGATTGGGTACTGACCCAGCTGGGGACCTGTCAGATTCCTTGATAGAAAACACCTCGCTAATACCAAGTCTCGTGCTTTCCAGGTAAAATTTTCTGTCTGATACTGACCCAGCTGGGGACCTTTCAGATTCCTTGATAGAAAACACCATGGTGAATACCAAGTCTCGCGCTTTCCAGCTAAAATGTTTACTTTTGATAATCGAGTTGCAAAGTTCAAGGTTTGTTCAATGTAAAGGTTTCCATGGAGGTCGCCATGTTTGATTTGGGTGTGTTTGTGCCACGACCTCCGATTTGACAACACTATTGTTCATGTGTCTGTGATAAAGGGAGATAACATACCTATAAGTTCGGGAATTCTAGAGTAATCGAGCAACATCTAGATGTTGTAGAACTTGCGATTGTTGCTTCAAGAACATGCATAATAGTTAAGTAACTGACCTATCATGAGATGACAACTATCTATTCTCCTGCTCAATATTTAACCTTCAAATGCGATGTTTGTGACAACATTTCATTCAGTCACTTGACTCTTCGGAAAAATAAAAACCTTCCTCGGAAAACCAGAGTTTTTTTTTTTACATGGCCTCAAGTATTTCATTTCATTATATTGTTTTTTTAAGAAAAAGAAAGAAGAAATTAATGTTAATTGCTTTTATATACATATCACAGACATAAAAGAAAAAAACAACAATAAAATAAACTGACAACAAACAATGTTTGCTATTTTAAAAAAAAGAAAAAAATGGAAAAGCATCATCCAAAATATTCTGTATATATTTTCCTCATATTTTCTAGTCTTGTTAAAAAGACGCTATAAAATTATTATGCCTGGAATAAATGCAAATACTGGAAAGAATCTATAGTTCGATTAATATTAAGACACATTTATTGTCCAATAAAGACTCCCAGTGTCATGATGTATTATTGTTCCTCCTGGACAATTATCAATAGTTTAGTTCTTTTACATTCAGAATCCCATACTAATTTGTAATAGCACTGTAAATAAATCTTAGCATGTATTAATTTATACATTAGCTCAGTCGGTTAAACCCAATCTCATTTCATTAACTTATATGTCCAATTCCTCTGTATTATGTCCAAATGTACCAGAGAACACCATTTCTATATATTTTTAGTCTCGATTCATGGAAGACTATACCGATAACTATCAATCTGTTGTTGTATCAAGTGATTGTAAATGGTTTAACATGTGACTTTCTACATTCTGAAATAAAAACAAAAATACATCCAATAAATCATTTTTTTTTTACTACAGCCTTACTTCACTCTGTATCAAACCTTATAACAATAATAACAATTATTTTCTATAGCGCTGAACATTCACTCAGTCTGACTGCTCTGTGGCGCTTTAGATCTTGAAATGTAAAATGTGTCTGCAATATACTCAAAATTGATGATCGACGATATGAACAGCATAAGTGGGAATTTTTGAACTACCATAACTTTATAGATACCTTTGATTCTCTCTGAGTAGAAAACCATTGTTTACATCCTCTCCAGGTACATTTTGTCATAAATGAGTTTGGTGTCAGATGATCAGTTAAAACATGATGTAACAGATGATCTTTCACACCAAATATATGAGTACAATTATCACACTGAAATATAGCACACAAAATATATGAGTACAATTGTCACTCTGAAATACAGCACACTAAATATATGAGTACAATGATCACACTGAAATATAGCACAAAAAATTTATAAGAACAATTATCACTCTGAAATATAGCACACAAAATATCTGAGTACATCACTCTGAAATATAGCACACAAAATATATATCATTCTGATTTTTAATTTCCGAGATATGAATGTGTTGGTGCCAAGATTTTTGAACATGGGTAACAAGATTCTGAAGCACACATGTTAAACCATTCGTCCACCCAACCTCACTTAATTTCAGACAATCTGTTATATTGTATATGATTAATATTGTAATAATACCTGACATGGCCAGACTTGTTGATGATTTATATGTATAACAGATATTTCACCATCACGATTACCAGTATATAGCTGTAACATATAAATACATGTTATACTTTATGGATATCTATCACAATTTTTTTAAGGATATCTTATCACAATTCTTTAGGGATATATATCATAATTCCATATGGATTTTTGTCACAATTCTTTATGGATTTTTATCACTATACTTTACGGATATCTATTCTATCACTATTCTTTATGGGCATCTATTTTGCAATTCTTTAGGGATATCGATCACAATTCTTCATGGATATGTATCACATAATACAGACTATAGTAATTCTTGAAGGATATCTAACACTTAATCAAGACAGATTGTAATCCTTTCAGGACACCTATTACATAATTAAAACCGATCGTAATCATTAAGGATATCTATCACATAACTAAGACCGATTGTAATCATTATGGATACCTATCACATAATTAAGACCAATTGTAATCCTTAAGGATACCTATCACATAATTCGTCGGTAGGCAGACGAAGTGACTTATCGTCAATAGCTTACGGTAGGAAGATAAGTCACTTCGTCTGCCTACCTACGAATTAAGACAACTTGCAATCCTTTAAGGACATTAAAAGTTGTTATATAATTAAAACAAATGGTAATTTGTTATGGATACCTATTACACAATTACAACAAATACCTCTTACGTAATAAAGACACATTGTAATCCTTTAAAGATACCTATCATATAACTGAGAACCCATCATGTGATTAAGATAAACGGTAAGTTTATCGTATAATATAAATGGTATGGTAAAGCCATTAAATATACAATGCCAAGGACTGAAAGAAACAGGAGTAGACACATTTTTTTTTTATAAAATGAAATGAAATGAAATGAAAAGGGGTTTAACGTCCTACTGTTCTGCTTCTATGCTGGGCTAATGAAGACGGGCATACACCATACAGTGTGCTATAAGGGAAATTTTGCCCGGGCAGCGGCACTATCACCTACTCTTATATCGAATTCCAACTGCCAGAGGATCTTTTACCTGCATTCCAATATATACACGGGACCTCGGTTTTTCGTCTCATTCGAACGACTAGACAGTTGTCCTTGTCAGGCCCTCCGTCCTGCATCACTGACAAGGGGGAACCACGCCAGGAAATCTGGATGAATTTTCTCGGCCAATGCAGGGATCGAACACCCGACCTCCATGCTAGCGAGCAAGCGTCTTACCCACTTAGCCACGTGATCTTCTTTTTTTTTTCTTTTTTTTTAGCTCTCCTTACTAAAGTCATATGAATGATGATAGCTGAGAGATGAACTATATTTGTTTGGCTTGATAATACATTCCAAAGTGAATTGATTAAATTATTAACATTAAAACAATGTCTTACCTTGCCATCATGTACAACTAATCTAGATACAACACTATGACCTGCTCCATAATACATACACTTTAATGTCTGATTCTGTAATTAAAGTATTAATATTTATATATGTGATATCAAACATAGGAAAATATTTTACATCTATATATAAATGAATGACTGTAAATCACTTTAAATCACAACTGATTATTTAATTAAAAAAGAAAAAAAAAAACAGAATATCAACATCACATGTAGATAATCTCAATTGCATTAAAAAGAGGCCTATCAAAAGATTTTACCCTTAAGCGACGCTCGTTTATTTGTAATCGTCTGGATAGGATGACGAATGTCACAAAGTTTTCAATTCGTCATATCATTGTAAATACTGAACTGAATGGACTGATATTCTTTTTAGGGATTAAATTATCACAATATTGTAGTTTGATAATATTATGTGTAAATGTGATATAAATATTTACCTCTGTATCATAACATCTAACAAATCTATCATAACTGGCTGAGAACAATAAACCACCGTCTACATATATACTGGTAACCATTCCTTTATGATCTTTATAAACATGTTCTAAATCTCCAGTCTATAATAAATGAAATGGGGTTTAACATCCTATATTTCTACACCAACCTGCAGCTGTCTAATGAAGATAGTCATACGCTATAGTGTGCTATGGAAGAAATTTTTTCCTGACAGCGGCACTACAGCCTACTCTTTTTTTCAAATCCCAACTGTCAATGGTCCTTTTAAGTGCATGCCAATATGTACACAGGACCTCGAATTTTTGTCCCATCCAAACAACTTTAATAAACACAACATGTTTTCAGTATTTGGAAATGAAAATCACCTTATGGACAATGGAGGATATTCTGGATAACAAAGAGAAAGAAATGGAGTTTCCACATAGGACATCGTAGATACTGTTAATCTTTCAAAGCAATACAGTACATTCTTTTATCCATTTTTTTTTCTCTGAACATCAGATGATTTTATTGAATTAAAATTATTAAATATTTCATATATTAAAATTATTAAATATTTCATATATTAAAATTATTAAATATTTCATATATTAAAATTATTAAATATTTCATATATTAAAATTATTAAATATTTCATATATTAAAATTATTAAATATTTCATAAATTAACATTAGTAAATATTTCATAGGGGATAAAAAAAATTTGTAGGAAGTGCACCATGAAATAGTGTGTATATTTTGTACTTACATGTAAATCATGAACCATGACAGTTTTATCACCTGATCCACTATATACTTTATTCATAGTCACCTATAACATAAATATACACACAGTTAAACATTTATAGACCAAGTGATTGTATTTACTGTGGTAACACACGATAAGACAGTAACGAAGCAGATTTGAAAGATTTCTGTTCTTTGTTCAACTGAATGGAATTATTCACAGCAAATTTACAAAAAGAGGTGTGTCTTTGATTGACGTTACCCTAGGGCATTTCCGAGTGACAATTTAGGGATAATGTTAAAAAATCAACATAAGCTTGATGTCTGAATGCGCTCAATTTACCATTGGACATTTACAAATTCACTCTGACTTATCTTGTCATTTTGAGGTGAACACACCATAAAAATCAAAAGCAAATACAAACCCTGACAGAGAAAGCTGTTTTTGAATGTCCCTCTAATACCCTAACAGGTAAACCACTGAAAGCATCATAAACAGTTATAGTAGCATCCTGTGATGAAACACACAACAGTTTAAATCCACCTTCTCTAGCTGATGTTATACAATGAATACATTGATCATCACTCTGATATGTATCAATCTTTTTATTAGCCTAAAATATACACAAACTTCATTTTACATACATTTTCTCACACAAAGCAATAGTTTGCTACATATTTTCATGACTTAATTTATGCTAAAATCGATTATACAACATTTAAAGATACATTATGGGAGATTAGATAAAAAGCTGGCAGTTCTCACTATAATGTAAAGGGAATTTGCTGAAAATTTCAGTCAAATTGATCCATTATGAACCGAGAACTAAGCAACTGAAATTTCGGCCCAGCCTCGATATCATTACTAAAGTCGGTACGATAAAAAACATAGTCTCGATTATCCATTTCATGATTAAATCATGAATGAAAGTTTAGCAGCAAATCGGCTCATAATCCACCCAAGATCGCAGGCTTGCGATGCCATCTAGAGTTGATTATGGTCTGGATAGGTTAATTAATGTCTAATCAATAATTTAGATAACATGTCAGGCCTAAAGAAAGACCTGCAGATTTAGCTCTTGCATAATGTATGTTTAATCAATGAGAAAAAAGATAGCAACTTTAGATAATCTCCCAACTTGCTGTTTTTATATCAAAGATTGAGACAAGTATCAGACTTTAACTTTATTAGATAAGAATACATCTTGTGTACCAGTGTGAATGTGGATAGCCTTCAGTAGATAGAAATATTCTGATCCAAAGATTTGGCTAAACTGTGAACACATGTACATACACTTTGCTATCTATATTTGGTCTTGTATGTGAGGACCAAATTTTCATTCACATCTCTTACAGCATGAAAACCCATGTCAACATAGACTTGAATAATATAATAAATTTAATTTTGACTGAGAAATTAAATACACTTATACATAAATCAATAGCTAATTGAGCAATAGTTTATAAATTATACACTGAATTCGGGAAGAAACAGGAAATGTATTTTTATTTAGTGGAACAGTCATCAGATTATTGATTGTATTTAGGTGATATACTTAACCACCATTCACTTCCGTTATAATTATCAAGCCATAAAAACAGAATGTGGTTTATGGAGAATTAGTTGTCTATATGATCTAACGTTGTCTTACAGGATCATGAAATTATGAAATGATGGAACTAAAGGTAAGAGAAAAGAGAGAAATAGGGTTTAATGTCCACTCAACACAAACTTGGTCATTTCGAGACTAACATATGGTTAAATTTTATTTCAATAATTTGCTTGCGCGTAGGGGTATTTAGCAGTGGGAGGAAACCGGAGGACCCGGAGAAAACCCACGAGGTTGGACAGGTGACCCTACTCTTTGTCACGTACAACCACAGATTCGAAACCATGCCAGTTGACTCAATGACAGGTCTTGTGATACAGCGCGCACATGCTAACCATTCAACCATCCAACCCCCCGACTCAATGACAGACCTTATGTTACAGCACGCACGTGCTAACCATTTGGCCATCCAAGCCCTCTGTAAGAGAAGAGACTATTGAAACGAAAGTACTGACCTGTAATCTGATAACTTCTAACATTCCATTAGATAATCCACCATATACATGTCCATAATCTGAATGTAAACATTTCACTTCTTCCAATACATCAATTGTACACATTGGTGATGATTCCTAAATAATAATACAAGACCATAACAACACAACATAGAAACTATACATACATCAAGCCCACACATATTTCTTCAAAATATGCTGTGATCTTTATTCTGGCTTTATTATCCATAACAATTCATATTCCTTTAGGGCTTGCAGCAAGTTATAATTAAACTGTAGTTCTTCACTATAACCACTTTATGCCGACAAATTGCTTTTGATGTCCTTTTGTATTTTAGAAAACCTATAATATAACCATTTATTGGTGTCTTTTGCAAAGTTAAATATATGGTGTTCCCCAAAAAGTTAATCTATTAGTTCTGGTATTACTACTTCATCAGTTCCCCGGACTAATATAAAGTTACAGATATCATATTTTATCTACAGAATGGAATGTGGTTGAAAATCACAACACGATATTTGGTCATTTTGATATGGTAAATTTTATTTCTATGCACAATCCAAAGGGCAGAATTTTGCCTAGGCAGTGGCTTTTTCCACATACGCTTCTTTAAATTCCACAGTAAACACCCATTTCATTTCTTCAAATTCCAACTGCTTTGGGTTTTTTAATGTGCTTGCCCATCCAAACGACTGGGCACATTTTTCGTGTCAGCCATGTAACCCCATCATTAACAAGTGAGACCAAAGATTTAAAAGACCCAAAGGATCTTCCTACCTCTAGGACGTTAAACCCTGTTTCTTTTCAGTACTTCTCTTCTTGGCCATAGACATTCTAGTCGAGAACCCATTGCCCTACACCTCTAGATTACCCCAGCCTCCAGATTTACAAAAAGTACCATCATATTTACACATGATCAAAGAAGCAGAAATATAATTAGGACTGTTATTTTATCAGTGTGTATTACTAATTTATTATCTTGATTTTACCTCTATCTCATAAGCCATAATACATAATGCTGGGCCAGCCATATATAGTCTTGTTTCACCAGTTCTTGTAGTCCCTATTGTCATACATTGTATAATATTGCCCTCTGTATTATACTCCTTCATCAGTTCTCCAGACTAAAATAAAGTTACAAGAAATATATTAATCAGATAGAGAGGAATGGGGTTTAATGTCCACTTGACAAAACCTAGGTCATTTTGGGACTAAGATATGGTTCAATATTATTTCAATGTTTTGATCTACGCTTAGGAGTCTTTAGCAGTGGGAGGAAACCGTAGGACCCGGAGAAAACCCATGAGGTTGGTCAGGCAACCCACTCCTTGTCACATTCAAGCAGGGAATAGAAACCACGCCACTTGACTCAATCACAGACCTTCTGATCCAACATGCATGCGTTAACCATTCCGCCACCCAACTCCCCTATATTAATCAGAGAAAATGGCAGAAATCGGTTCTAGATGTTTATCTCTTTCAAAAGAACTATTGACATCAATCTATTGTTCTGAACTATTGCCTTCGGTGTTCAAACGCTTGTTGTTTTTGTTGGATTTTGTCTTTTCTTATATATCCAAGCCGCTGAGTGGTTTTGAATCCCTTGCTAACTACCATATTGTGAAAGGAATAAGAGTCTAAAATGGTTTGGTGGGGTTGGATGGCCGAATGGTTAGCAGGTGCGCGCTGTATCATCAGGTTGTCATTGAGTCAACTGGCGTGGTTTCGATTCCCCAGTTGTGACAAGGAGCAGGGTCGCCTGTCCAACCTCGTGGTTTTTCTCCGGGTCCTCTGGTTTCCTCTCACTGCTAAAGATCCCTATGCACATGCAGATTATTGAAATAAAATTGAAACATGTTAGTCCCGAAATGTCCCAGTTTGTGTCGTGTGGACGTTAAACCCCATTTCTCTCTCTCCAAAATGGTTTAATTCCGTTCACTATTTATAATGATTCATTACATCCTCTGCCAACTAGATAAATAAACCAGCACCACCTGTAAGTGTTGGTTAAATATTTTGATGGGTCTCATTTTAATCCGATTGAATTCCACCCTGGGTAACCTGGGTAATTATCTATCGTTCATGTTTTAACTGTGTCTTACCTTTAAGAATTAAAAACAACTCTTTGGTCGTCTAAAAAAATGTATGCCCATATGAATATTTACCTGTAATGAATATCTCCTAACACCATAATCCTTGTAACATACAAAAACATCATTCTTTATAATGTTTAAACCACAAACAGAATTTTTAGGTCCATCAAAAGGTTGTTTAGTATGTGGATGTTTTGTGGATAGATGTGAACTGAAAGATTAAATGACATAATGTTATCGCTGCTATTATGAATAATAATTCACAGAATTATGTGTGGTTTAATGGTCGAGAGCGAGACATTAAGTAATATATTGTAACAACATGAGGGCCGTGAGGCCCGAATGTTTTTACAATATATTACGTAATGTCTTAAGCTCGAGACCATTAAACAACTTAAAATACAGACACTTGCACGTGCTTTGCAATGAAATACGTCACTCGAGTTCAATATTTTACCAAGTTACGCTTGGCACATTGCCCGTACGATTATTTGAAATAATGGTACTCCAACATCAAAGGATGACGTCACATCTGTATTTTAAGGTAACTTACATGTATGTCCATTTTCTTAAAGGCAATTTATGAATTTTCCCTACTTTTTTTAAAGGACAATTCCAGATTATTTAAAGGGTGCCCAAAATAACAAGTAATCTCTAATACATTGATAATTTTGCCACCATATTCATATATACTCTTAAAAAACAAGTACTTTTTACTTTAGTGTGTTACGTTTAATTTGATTGGGAGACGTGTTCGTCGATGTCAACGTCAACCGACAACACTGCAAGAATTGGCCGTGGCACTGCAAGGAGAGTGGGTCAGATTGCCCCAAATCATGATTGGACGGTTGATTAGAAGCATGCCACGACGAATTGCTGAATGTCTGAGGATTGGTGGAGCAATTACTCATTATTAAGACAAAAATCAAAAACGTCCATTTTCACTTTTGATGGTGTATCTCTTTGCGAGTGAAATGGGGCTGTCAGATAAGCCGCCCATATGAACTGTTTATGTTCATGTGTAGGCAATTGGCCTGTTATTAACCTACACTGGTTACCTCTAATAAAAACAGCAGTGCATTTCTGCAGTTTTGTATTGTTTCTGAATATCCCCTACTTTTTTTGAGGAGTATATATATATAACAAACCTTACCTAATTTTCACCATTTATCATCTCTAAATAAACAGTCATAATTGTATTTAGTAAGATAATATTAATTCAAATTTAAATACACTGAAATCATTAATGCCCTTACTAACTCTACACACAGACATTTTTCGGTGCAAGATTGGCTTGTGTCTGTGGATTAAAATCATTTGTGATAAATTAGTTGGCACATTTTTCGCTGAATGATTGACAGGCTTTGATTATCTAGGGTATTTTATACAAAACATTACAGACAGTTAGGGGAAAAAAACCTTTCAATTTACTTGTTTTCATCTTGTTTACTGTCCGATTCCGATGTTTCCAGAAACTGAAAATATTCTTCATAACCTTTAGCTAATTCCATATCTTCTTCATCGGAATCAGTCTCAGAGAATTCCATCGACAGTGTTGACAATTCTGATTGCTGGGTCTGTAGTTTTTGCTTGATACTAGCTAATGGAATATTTTCTTCATCGAAAGTACTTTCTGAACTAGAATCTATAACCACACAATTATCATTAGACGTAGATGGCCCCGTTTTATGCGGGGAGTCAATCTTTTTCACAGGAGACATGGTTGATGCTTTTGGGTTCAGTATCGATGTACATTTATCATCAATTAATTGATTTTCCGTTTGTTTTGCTTCAGAATTTTTTGACTCCATTTCAAGTTTTTCTAATATTATTGAACAATCTCTGAGATCACCACTAGATTCGGTACTATCTACACAGTGTTGATAGTTATTAACAGAATCACATGACGTCATTATGGGATTCACTTGTTCAACATTTTCCCTGTGTTCGGCTGTAGTTTTGGTTGGGGTGGTTTGTTGATTGACACGAACACAGGACACAGAGGTAACACCCGCGAAGTTGGCAGCAATTTGTTTGATTATTGAAGCTCTATCAGGAGAGCCTGTTATGGCACCAAGATATTTCACTGACCGACCACAAATACTGGGCGATATATCACTTTTATTATCTACATCTGATTCTGACACACTTCTTTTCCTAAAACTTTTACTCGCACATTCTGGACTGGATTCACACTTTTCTTTCTTTACTGGAGACAAGAATACATCTATTTCACCGGATCTGTCTCCCATCGGACTCATCATCAAACTGCCCGGTTGATCGGTAATGGCAGGGGGAACATGTTTTGATGGGGAAAAAATAATCTTGTCATGTACATTTTCAAAACGAATTGAGGTATTCGGAGAGGACATTTTTTGAATCTTTTCAAAAGGAGATTCACAAGTAGATTGTAGAGACACAACAGCAACTGTTTCCAAACTGGACGTTTCCACATCAGAACTACAACTTTCTTCCACAGCTTCTCTTTTAATTTGGTCATCTGTTGCCATGGTTTCATCTTCTGATCCCAATTCATTTGACAATCTGATAAAATCCATGTTTAAATCTCCGGAACTACAATCCGATTCCACAATAACCTCACTGTTAATGTTTGATGATTGTGAACTAGTCCTTTCCGAATTCGCGAAATCAGAATCATGAGAATTATAGGACACTAATGACCTGGGGGAGAACATTGGTTCAGTTTTTGGGACAGAATCGTGAGAGATTTCTGTAGTTGTTAAAGTTAATGGTTGTTCAACAAATGGCGAAGATGTGAGTGGATAAGATATCTGTACACCTATATCACAACTTGATACTCTGTGATTGACAGCTATCACGTCATCTCTATCTACATCATCACTATCTTTTATAAAATCTATAAACATAGTAAAACATATTGACAAATATACAATAAGTTCTAAATATATCTTTGTCAGAACATTACGGTACTTAAGACATGAGTAAATGTGGAGATAAAAGCTAATGATTTTTATTTGATGAATTCTTTTGAATCCTTTGGTAACTACAATATTGTAAAAGTTGAATCTTTAAAGGGAATACCAATCCAAAAATGGTCCAGTTCTGATCAATAAATTTTCATCAAATACATCCTTATAATTAGTAAATGATCTAAGGGATTAATCATAGCTAAATATACGACAATTGAGAGAAAAAGAAAAATTAGGGTACCTGTTAGAAGTTTACTTTTCTTTATACGTATTGCCTTCTGTTCATCTAGTAACTGAAAGATATAAGACCTTCTACATACAATTGAGATATAAAACATAACAATATATCAATGTAAGTAAATATTGTGTGGGCATTTTTAAATATCTCCTAAATAATTATTAATATATAAACCAGGTATTGTATTCTGGGAAAGTCAAATAACATCTAGATTTTACTGTATGTTAATATGACAAATTATTATACTATTACATATTTGGTAAATATGGCTAGCCATACAACAAAAGTTTCTTTCCGTTTCTTTAAGAGGCAATAATGACTTCTATTTAAATAGATAGCAGACAAATTTAAAATCATGATTATTTTTTGTGTGGATTTTTATTGGGTAAGTGTTTTCTCAAATGGAGTTTTAATCAATATTTGTTGAAATATGGTATTTAGTATTTTTCTTAAGAGTAACTGCCAGTAAGAAATGTTACCCTCTTTCTCTTTTCTCTACAATCATTCAGTTGTTGCATTGTTTTCTTTAAAATCTGGTTTAATTGCTCTTCTGTAGTATCCACAGATTCAAGATGAGATTGTATCTTCTCTTCTTTGGAACTCAAACTTATTAATACTTTCATGACAGATCTCTGTTCTGCAGATGGAGGAGTTGTATCATCAAAAGCAAGTATGTCCTGCGTTTCACTTGGTTCATCCAAATCAAATTTGATTGGTGAAGTTGCTGTAGTTTGATAAATCTTTTCTTTTCTTGGTGTCTCAACCTTGACTGGTGATTTTTGTGCCAGTAGGTTTGATGATTGATGTGGACTTAGTAACTTGTCATTATTATCACTTGTGGAAGCTTGTACGGGTGACATTCGATGAGATTGGTCCTCATGGTTGGAAGTATGTGGTGCTGATTGCATGTTTTCTGGCATAGGTCGGTACTGATTTCCCATTGAAGGAAACATATTGAATCCAGGCATAGACATGGGGTTAAATGATGGATTAAACATGTTTGGTTGTTGATTTGGGAACTGCATCGGTTGATGGAAAGGAGGGAAACCATGCGGAGGAAAGGGAGGATACGGATAGTTTCCAGAAAAATATGGATGGGGATAAAAGTTTGGGTGTGTTGTAGGGGGTCTATTTGCCATAGTCGATGACGACGTTGCCATGGACTGTTTATTTGTAGATGGTGTAGCTTCAGGACTGGATTGTGGTGTGCTTAATGTTACTGTAGATTCTGGTAAAATAGAAGGGGAATCTATCGACACGGCTGGAGGCTGGGTTGAGGAGCAATGTGTTTTGTCCATAACTGGAGCTTCTTTCTTAGATTTTTTCAACCATTCAGGCTCTGGAAATATAAAGCATATAAATCTAAATGCAATCAGAAATAATGTCAGGAATAATAATAAAATGAAAAACCTATATTAGCGGATACCTGGACTTTTGATGTATTTTGTTCACCTTGGATTAGCAAGATATTTTCCCAAATAATATGATAAATCTTTGTATTTATTTTATATATAAACTGTAATTTTAACACTGTAATTCACAGTTAAATTCTTGCAATTCTGATTTTTTAGCATGTGAATTGATTGACAGCAGATAAGTTCTTCAGTTGGTCAATTTCAATAACAGTCAGTCAAGACTGTTTGAGGTATTTTTTTTCTACTGTCACCACAAAAATGAATATTCTGTGGATGAAACATGGAACCAAAATGAGAAAATCTACCTGATTTAACTGTAGACTGGATACATGTTTTCTTGTCATCTTGCTGCAAAGAAATAAAATACATTGTATATAATTAGATATATTTACAAAGTAAGCTTATTCTTGTATTCTTTGAGAAATTAGAAATGAGCTTACTTTTATATAATTTCAAAAATAAGCTGAATTTAGTAAACTTTCAGAAAAAAGCTACTCCTAATTTCATAACAAAGAGCTTTGTTTAATTTTAGAAATAGGCTTCTCATAGTCTAATCTGACACAAAAGGCTTCCCATGGTGTGATTTCACACAAGTTTCCTGTGGTCTAATTTCACACAAAACGTTTCCCCTGGTGTAAATTAAACATACATTATGCAAGAGCTAAATCTCTGTCTATTGCAAGTCTTTATTTAGGCCTGAAATGTTATCTAAATTATTTATTAGACATTATTCAATTTATCCAGACCATAATCAACTCTTGATGTCATTGCTAGCCTGCGATATTTACTGGATTAGGATCTAATTTGCTGCTCAACTTTCATTCATGATTAAATCATGAAAGGGATAATCGAGACTATGATTTTTATTGTACCGACTTTAGTAATGATGATCAAGGCTGGGCCGAAAATACAATCGCTAAATTTTGGGTTCAGAGCAGATCAATTTCACTGAAATTTTCAGCAAATTCCCTTTACATTATCTAGTTTTTAACTATTATAGTGAGAACCCTCAGAGGCCTATTTCACGAAATTTTAACTAAGATAAAATCCAAATTTTAGTAATTTGATTGGATAATATTAGATGGATTTTTGTGCTTAGCCAATCAAAATTGAAGTATCTACTAAAATTTGGATTTTATCTTTAGTTAAAATTTCGTGAAACAGGGCCCAGCTCTATATCTTAACTCCCATAATTCATCTTTAATGAATAATCTTCATGTGATCTGATCTAATAAATGAGCTTCCTGTGGTCTAATTTTACACAACAAGTTTCCCATGGTATGATTTCTGAACTATGACGATTCCCTTGGTGTATTTTCAGAAAAAAGATTTCCTTTGTATCATTTCAGGACCCCATGAAATCTGTTCTGTTTGTATAAATGATAACATGACCATAAATCATTCACACTTACTTTTGTTTCAGCTGTTTTATTATCATCACCATCCATATGAACCACGGAATCATCTTTATTGGACTTGTCTTCTATCGTATTAGTCAACATAGACTGAACATCAACAGACAACTCAGAATCATCTTCTATTAACTGTGCTATTTGTAACTGTATTTCAGGGGTAAGATCTTCTATTTTAATAGATGGGAGATTATTCCTTGATCCTCCAAAACTTTCACACAGACTGTTGAAGTCATGTTTAACTTGCTCTATATCCAAGTCATCACTTCTAATTCTTGATGAGTCTAATCTATTATGGGATTGTGCATGATCTCTTAACATGGTGGCTAGTTGCATTCGTTCCTTTCTTGATCGCGGTGAGTTGACCAACTTCAATAACGTTTCCTTGGCTAGAGCTTTCTGGGGTTTATCTGCAGGTTGTTCACTAGCTGTCATTCTTTCTCGTCTTGAAGGAGAACAAAGATCATGGATGGTTCTAGACTTTGATGAATCAGAAGAATGGTCTTTACTACAACTTGCAGCATCGATATCAATGGTTGTCGAGGGTTCACCGCTGTTTTGTCTACTAGTTCCTGGTCGAATTTGAGGTTTAGGATCTACAATGATGATATCATCATCGTGGCTTTGGGAAGAACTCGAAGATACTAGAGCTTCACTTACAACAGATGCCTCAAACTTGGATTTGTTACTTTTAGTATTTTTATTATCACTCGATAAACTAGTAGATATCTTCACTGAATCTTTCACTGGCCTTACTTTTGGAGAGTTTCTCTTCAGTAAACTCTTTGGTTTCAAGAACCTGGGTCCACTATCATTTTTATTGCTGCTACTTGATTTTACTGTGAGTGATTTTATCGGGATATTTGGATTTGGTTTATTTGGGTTCCTTTCTTTCACTGAGTATTTATTTTTTATGTTGCAGTCTGGTATTGGGGCAGGACTACTGATTGTATCGGAAATATGTCTTTCAGCATCAATACCACTAATTGTATTTGTGTCTGGAGAAATTAGAGGACTTGGAGGATCTTTAAGAAGAGAAGCAGTTGAAGATAACTTTTTCTTGGATTCAAAAGTTGAAGGGGCATTCAGCAAAGTTTCAACTGGAGATTCCTGCTTTTTCCCTGTTGAGATAGGCATATTTTGGGGAGTACTTTTTGTATGGCAAGAGGAGAGTGACAAGCTTTTAGATGAAGAGACAGACTTGGGCCTACTCTTATCCTTTCTGGAGACATCCATTTTCTTTTGTGCCAAAGAATTCAGTTTTTTGTTCAACTTTTTCTTTGGGGATTTTACATTTTTCTGTTTGAACTTTTGGGTTGTCACTAATTTATTTGACTTAGTTGATGCAGATATAGATGTTAATGATGAATTCTTATAATTTCTTGATTCGTTGTATCGTAGCTTTGAAGGGCGTTTATACCCTTTTCCATCACTGTGTCTTTTACGATTGGTTGATCCAACCGTTAAACTCTTATTATTAGTACATTTATATTGTCTGTCGATGACAGGCTCCATTAATTTCTCCTGTCCGTTAAAACTTGTGTAAAGATCACTGGATGGCTCTGTGTTGTCGTCTGCACCCTTTTCATAATTTTCTTGTGAATCATCATCATCATCATCATTATATTCATAGTCATAGCCTGAATTTCTATAAAAATTACCGTTATTTTTCCAATAATTTTTATTCCAATTATTACCATGGTATCTGCCGAAGTCTCTATTATATGCATACCCTGATGTCTCTCCATAGTTTTGGTAATTAAAGTAGGCATCGTTATTCTGCCAGGGCTGCATCATCATCAATGGTGGTGGCATAGATGGTTGCCAGTCACTAGTAGAATGCCAGAAAGGGTTTTCAAATTCTCCAGATGATCCGTCTTCTTTAGAATTCCTGCAATTAACCAATCCACCTTTTCTGGAATTAGTATTTCTATCTACCTCAGAAGAGGTGTGTTTAGATTTTTTTTCAGAGTTCATTCCCCTTACATTCTTATTTTTTTCCTCATCATCCTCATAGCGCTTGTGTGTATTTGTCATGTGACTATGTTTATAAGAATTTGTCCTTCCACTTCGGTCTTCATTAAATCGTCCATTTGGTCCTATATTTTGGGATGAATAAATAAAATCTCTTTGACTCTGAGGCCTTTGCCATGGAGGAATATTCCAATATGGTGGAGGTTGATTTGTGTGTGTTTCTGTGCGTCTGCTCCACCAAGGATGTGTTCGATCAGATGGATTATTGTCCATACATGCATACTGGTTGTTAGGCCTGTCAGCGTAATCTTCTCTTTCGCTATCACTGGAAAATACAATTAATGATACAAAAATGAATTATTTAGTTCCTTACTAAAAATTTTGTTAGAATACACTATGAAAATCAAAGTACTATCTAATAATTAAGTTGGTGGCTTTCCTTGATCCTGTGTTTGTTGCTGGCTCTCTTTAAAACCATGCACTACTTGCTAGGTGATGAGGTCAAGTCAGGTCAACTGAATATAAAACTTATTGTTTATATTAGCAATAAAATAATGGCTGAAATGTGTTTTAGGAGGCTAGAACTTTTCTGCAATTTTGTTCTTATTACAACACTGACATTACGCAAAACAAGTAGAAAGAGGAGTTGCAAGGATTTCAGGTCAGGATTTTCTCATTGTTAGTTAAATACACTAACTGTAAGTTCAATGCAACCCGGAACAAAATTAGCTTTAATTGAAAAATTTATGGAAAGTGTGGGATTAAAAACCAAAATATAGCGTTTTACCTAAATACATAATCTTTTCCATTTTCTGCTGCTCTGTTAAATTTCTCTAAAGCCTTTTTATGTCTGGCATTGAGAAGATGTTTTCTGTATTCTGGTATTGTTTTACAAACATTCAAACACAATGTACATGAATGAGTTGAATTTCTAAAAATAAAATTGATGTTCTTAATAAATTACATTCAAAATCAATGACAATAACATTTATATGTATACTGTACACTAGGAATGTCCAACCTATGGCTCATTGGATGATTACAAGCGACGCTTTTTTTAAGCGATTTTATTATCTAGTGCACAACCTTTTTTTGGCTGTTATTTTCTTTCACAATATATTAACAGTTTTTCAAATAACATATGCTTAATGAATCAAACCAGCAAATATGGACTTTTGTTCATTGAAGTAGATGGGGTTACAAGATAGAGTTGTATGGTGCATCTAAATGTTTGTGTGACCCATGGTTTGTAAAAGGCTGTTCCTACCTTTTCTGGTCTTCGATTTTAGTGTGATGAATCAATGACCATAAATGTTCTTTCAAATCCTGGAAAATAAATTATTACTGGACTGAAATGTTTAATCGCTTATAATATCGTTTATGGACTAGATTTAAGGATTATTTCAAAGTCGCTCTACATGTACATGGACCTGTAATATAACTTATGAGTTAAAGGTTATTTCTTTAGAGAAATGAAATGAAATGGGGGTTTAACGTCCTACTGTTCTGAACCAACTGGGCTAATGATGACGGGCATATACCATGCAGTGCAGGAACTTTCTTGGCTAACACCTATATCACACCTGGTACCACCGAGCCACAAAGTTTTTTTACATATTAGACATGTACATGGATCATCTATTTAGATTACTGTGTAACTAAAAAGTATCCATCATCATACAAGAAATTTAATGAAGAGATATGTAATGTTGTATAAACATACCTTTTCAGAATTATAGGATGTTTTACATAGATCACAACCTAATGATTTTGCCTCTTTTTCTTTCGAATCTGACATCCTTTCATTGGAAAGGTCGAGTACAAGGTCATGTCTGAAATATAAATAAGAAAATGACTAATTTTCAATGTGCAGACATATTTTGGTACTTACATGTACATACCTAGCGTTTTTTTCTTCTATTTTTGAGGACATGGACAGAATAGTCAAGACTATTAAAATCTTAAAATTTTGAGCCCGCTTTATATTCATATCACTTTTTGTCTTTAATTACAAGACGTCCAATTTACAAGTGTTTAATTTCTCGATCACTGTTCAAAAATTAATCATTATACATTAATAATAAATTGGGTTGTTTATTTTTTAACAGTGATCGAGAAATTAAATACTTGTAAATAGGACACTCAAAATTGAATGGTCAGCTTTACTGGACGGGGAGTTGGATGGCGGAAGGGTTAGCATGTGCGCATTGTATCATAAGGTCTGTCATTGAGTCAACTGGTGTGGTTGCGATTCCCCGGTTGTACAGATTTTCTCCGGGTCCTCTGGTTTCCTACCACTGCTAAAGACCCTTACGTGTGTAAGTGAATTATTGAAATAAAATTGAACCATATGTTAGTCCCAAAATGACCTAGTTTGTGTCGATTGGATGTTAAACCTCATCTCTCTCTCTTTTTATACTGAACACAAGTACAAATTAGATGATTTTTGGCTATTTTAAACAATTTTTGCGAATTTTTAAACAAATATTTGATATTAAATGAATGTGAAAGAAATTGTGCTAAATACACAAGAATACCTAGGTTACAATGATAGTACTAACAGTTCTTGCAAATCCTGCATCCATAGATTAGGTTACCTCTAGCTACGAGAAGGTAACTAAAAACGCTGAGATATACTGATGTGCTTGTTTTTAGCTACGATTGGATGCCTTAGTTCCAAGTGGCAAACTCAATTTCTTTATTAATGTATGTACCATCTTATACTATTAGTACTTATTACACATACGCAGTCCAATCTACTGAAACAACATTCATTTGTTATACTGATGTGCTTGTTTTTAGCTACGATTGGATGCCTTAGTTCCAAGTGGCAAACTCAATTTCTTTATTAATGTATGTACCATCTTATACTATTAGTACTTATTACACATACGCAGTCCAATCTACTGAAACAACATTCATTTATCAGCAAATATTGACAATAAAGTAAATCAAGCGTTGTTTTTATCAAAATTGATTCGGACGTTCATAATTACGGCGTATTACTACTGTGCAACTCTGATCAGATTAGTACTTTGATTGGCTATTGCACACGAGGCCCCGCCTTTATGTGTTACAGACGTAAATTTAAAATGTCGGAAAAAGCAATCTACTGTCGCTTTGATTTAAAAAGAGGGGATTTGTACCCATTTCAGGTAGGATTTTATGCTTAATTGTAGTTCGGTGTGGCAGAAATATTATAAATAACAATAATCAATCGTTGTTTTGATTAAAAATATTGTCAATTTTGTTTACAAATGCCGGGTGGTAATCGCTTCCGCATGTGCTACGTTGAAGGTAATAGCATCATCTCTTATCTCGAAACACGGAGGGTTGAGAGATAAGATTTGTTATCTAGTTACCTCTTGCGAATGTGTCTACCTCTGCAGGTCAGATTTGAATAATTTGATTTTTTGGCTCATTTTTCTGTGGTATTGTTTTTTGTAGCCTACTCGACTATGTTTGTGGGTGACAAATTTCAAGGGAATTTTATTTTATCTTTCATTGATGAGACTAATATAGAGCGAAGCTCTAAAGCATCGCGCGAAGCGCGGTGCTTGAGCAAAGCTCTTTTCCGGTAACACAGGAGCGTAATTGAAAATGTCACCCACAGACTGTTGATTAAAAAAAAATTCAGACAGGAACCGGATACACTGGGGAAAACAGGCAATGCGCATGTCTGTCAATGCGCATGTCAGCGCATGTCAACTTACCAAATCTCGCCCAAGCGAGATTTTGGGTCTCTAAGAAATATTTCTATGACGCGTGGAATAAATGACGTCAGATAATTTTGACGTCAATGAAAATCCTCACACCTTTTTGTTCTTTTTTCAATTGGGGAAACTTTATTATGAAGGTTTTATTTGACAACAATCACATCAGCTTCGCTCTACTCAGGCAAGGCCTGTTACATATTACAATTACTATTAACCATTGTCTGATTCATACTTTTGAAGTACAAGGGAGGCTTAGTGTTGTAGTCCATGAGGGAGACGATAGAGTACATGTACAGGTACATCGTTCATTTTATCTACTTTTACTTTCACTGAACTACTGTCAGTGAGTCAGTAACTTCAGTAAGGTAAGCTGAGCAGGTGCTCGTTTTGATTTCCAACCCAAAAATACGAAATAAAGCAGGATTACTGATTTAAAATGACTTCATTAAATCAATAATAGATATAAATTACTGACAAATAACTGACAACAATATATTTACATTTATCAGTCAATGGTATCCTTTCAAAATGATAAATTCATCACTTTGTTTTTCTTTTCTAAAATTACGCGGCCATATTGGATTACGACTGTTGCACGCTGGGAGAAAATCTTAAACATGAATAATTTTATTTAATATTTACTAAATCACAATATTATGCAATCGTATCATTTATGTGCCAAAGACTTTAAAATATTACAATAAGTTAAAATACAGATTAATCGTATTGTGGTGACCCAATATTGTTGACCTTATGACGTCATCCACTCGGCCATATTTATCGGAGACGACTTCATAATCGTTGGAAATAAACAATAATTATTGGTAAGTACGTGTCAATTCTCTGATTATTTTTCACCCTAACTGATGAAGTGAACAGTAAGCATCCCTATTAAACTCCACTGATTCCATTTATAGAAAGAGATGTATACATTTTCAGATAAACTTGACTGTAAATAGGGGATAAATAACTCGAAAATTAGTGGGCTGGTTCTAATAAATTTTTAGCAGACAGCATTCTTGTCTTTTAGTTAGTCATATTCATTACAATGTCAGTCATCATTTCCGAAACTAGACGTGAAGAAGAAAACTAAAACATAGGCAAGTTGGTGTTAGCTACAGTTGGGTTTCTTTAGTTTTATTTGTCACTCTACTTTGCATATTTGAGTAAACAACCAACTTGGGGCAGAAGTGAAGATTTCCAGTGCCAGGGATGTTTTCATTCAAAAGGACATGCACTTATAGTGTTATAGTATAGATAGTCACAATAATCGAAGACGGTTTTGTTTTCTTTACTTGTGTAGAGACAAGAACATAGGGTCATAGGTTGAAAGTAAGCCTACATAATGTTAGATATATTGACTTTTGGAATGAACATTTGAAAATTATAAAGTGACAAAGTTGGTGTTATGTCATACAATGTCCCAAAATCTTAAACAATCCATTTTTAATAAGATAATCAAATTTGTACAGGTACATGTCATGTACTGTACATAATTGTAGATTTGATTTGAATGCTCCTACATGTAATTCAAATGGGAATCCTGCAACTACTTGAAATCCCGTAATTAAAAGCCAGTTTTTAAATAGGATTGGTTTCAAACAACAGAGGGATGTAAGATATATGTATTAATTAGTAAAGCATTTGAAAGAAAATTTGTAAACATAAACCACCAGAAAAAGATTATTCAAAACAAGAGTAACCCCCCTTTGCAAATTAAGGATTCTGACTGCATTTCAGGATTAAGGCCTTTATATGTACATATTATATTGTATCATCAATCAATAAAAAGATTGATTCTTAGCCAACTGCTCACTATGGAAAGAAAATGGACGCTAAAATGATTATGATAATTTATGATTTACATGTTGCAATAATGGTCATAAATCTACAAGACAATACCTTTAAAAATTCTAGTACATGTATAGTCAATTCATTGTATGGGATCAGGATTCAATTTTTAATGGCATCACATTTTGCAAAACAGATCCATGGTTTTGTGAAACAAAATGTTTATTGTTGCTTTAATTATAGAATTAATATATCTGTAAGAGGGTAACTTGGGTATAAAAGGTCAAAATTAAAAAGATTGTATGTTTGGTAGACTAATTCACCCTTGTATCAGGGATGTTGTGTTGATAACCACGACTGAAGCAACCAATCCATACAATTGTGGGATGCAACATTTTGGCGGACTGTTTACACGTCAATGGTTCTATTCATTGTAGTATGGCAACATTTGTTTCTTCTTAGTGACTGAGTGAAATGGAAGTAAGGCGACACTTCTCATCCCCGTCTTTGTGTAGTTTTGATGTTGCCGGTTCCACAAAGTCCACTTATCCTATAAAGAGTTATTAGATATTCTAATTCAGTCACGGATAGGTTTAGATCCATTTTGGAGGATGTCAAAGTACTCGGAGCGAAAGAAAAAGACATCTTTAATCAGGAATTCTGGTTGCAAAGTCAGATACGACGTCATACACGGTAAATCGTTGTCTAATATAACGCAATTTGTTTGGCCATTGCACCAGTCCGTCGGATGAGAATAGAGCTGGTCCTATCCATACAACAAACTGTCCATCTGACCATTTGTATGATGAGTTGGTCGGATGTGACCGTTGTATGGATTGGTTGTATCGTGTAAAAGTGAAAGTTGAATATCTGATAGGCTTACTAAAAGTTTTCAGGGTCTGACTCTGAAGACAATTACTTGCTGTACATGTAACTGTCCACATAACCTAACAGAAATTACACACAGATTTTGTTTTATTCACTATTTACATTAATACACTGTTAATCATTTATTAGGGCAAAACCCAACACAGCCAACACACACAGTGTACAGACTGTAGACAGGCAGAGATAATAATTATTAATTTTGATATTCACCGAGAATTGTGATCCGTATGTAATAACAATCTTGATTAAGTTTGATATTCTGTTTGCTATATCAAAATTCATAAAGGCCACAAGACTTTACAGATTTGATTTCTCGAATTCAATTTCAGTTTTTATGCTCCCACATTGAAATGTGGTCGTATATTGTCATCGCCCCCGTCCGGCTGTCTGTAGTCCACAATTGCTAAAGTTAATATCCGATTGACTTTAAATATATACACAGTATTTAAGGTCATGAGACGAAAAAGCCTATTGATTTTCAGCAATTTCCGATAGTTACTGCCAAAGTTATGGCCCTTGATCTCTTGAAATATATTGTTGGAGCTCTAGAGGCTAAATATCCATTTCATGCATTCATTCACTCTAGAGGCTAAAGCTAATATAAATTGTTTTAAGGTCATGAGACAAACAATCGAAACAAATTCTAATGTTTTCTGATAATTATTTCATGGGTTATTACTCGCAATCAAATTTTCATGTGTGGTAAATGTTCTCTTTACTGACAAAAGAAAAAATATTCGACAACACATGTTGACTGCCCGGACGACTTAGCTGCTGTTGGCGTATGTTTCATTGCCTGGCAACCTATCTTCAAGTAAATCAAGGGATTTGTGCTACACAAATGTCAGAAGAAAGAAATCGACAGCAAACGAATGACAGTTTTAACAGATATTAATTTTTGTTTAAACAGTTACATGTATAGTATCAGTACTAATGGACTTAATATATACACCCTATACATGTACATTTAAATTACCATACTATGTTAAAGATACATTATGGGAGATAAGATAAAGAGCTGGCAGTTCTCACTATAATAGTTAAAAAACTAGATAATGTAAAGGCAATTTGCTGAAAATTTCAGTCAAATTGATCCACTACATGTAGGAACAGATTATTAAGCAATTGAAATTTCGACCTAGCCTCGATCATCATTACTAAAGTCTGTACATAGTTTTGATCATCATCATATCATCCATTTCATGATTAAATTATGAATGGAAGTCGAGCAGCAAATGGGATCATAATCCAGTAAATATCGCAGGTTAGCGATGCCATCGAGAGTTGACTATGGTCTGAATAAGTTAATTAATGTCTAATTAATAATTTAGATAACATTTCCGGCCTAAAGAAAGACCTGCAATTGGCAGATTTAGCTCTTGAATAATGTATGTTTAAGGTAGAGTTTTATTATAATCCAATAAACTACGGCTGTCTGATCTACTGAAAACAATCGTGACCTCAGAGACATTTGATATAATCGGCATGATTACGGTTCAGCTCATTCATGGGTCATTCAGTATCCAAATAGACCAATTTCCCTAAAGTTATGAAAAAATATGTTATAGGTTCGTACAATACTGTACATGTAAAGTTACCCCTATGTAAAACTGAAAAATAATATGACTAGTATTAATATGACAACCACTGAACCACTTGACAGGGAATTACCCTAATACTTTTTGAATCTTATCAATGAAATAAACAGGCATATTTAAAGGAAATAAAATGTTAATTCAAATAAATTTATTAAATCTTAAAAAGATTAAATGTGCACATTCTTATTAATGTTTATATTTATACTTTCAGTTTTTCAAGTTGCACTTAATACTTAAATTGAATTAAGAAAACTCGAGATATCAAGATGGCTACAACACCACCAGCAACTTTACCAACAGAAGATAATACTATGAGGACAGAATTACAGGAGTTGCAGATGCAAGCAAATTTGGTTACTGATGAAGTAAGTGCAGTAATTTAATTTGGTTTTACAAATTTCTAGTCTTTGTTTCTTCATTCAAAATTCTAGGCCCACATACATGTATTACAAGAAACCATGTTAATAATGAATATTTGTGTCAGCACAAATCTGATTAGTATGGGCACTTGTCAGCAATATGAATTATGTCAGATAAAAATAAGGACAACTGAAGCGTTTATGGAGCAGTAAGCGGGATTGGTGGGGGGGGGTGTCCCTATAACAAAATATATTCTTCTTCATGAAAGACCAATACAAGGCAAATGGTACCCATATCTCCATTGAATTTGAAATTTTACACATCATTTTCACTTGTAAATCATTCCAGGGTGCCAAATTGCAGTGTTTCCAAAAAAATCCTTGATTTTTTTATATAAGTTTGTAGCTCATTATTCATTACTAATTTGTAGTTTAAAAAAAACACTTGCATTGTGTTGTCATTCATTGCATACCCCTGGGGCCCTATTTGAAACAATGAACATCAACAGATTCGGCATAGGCTATGCACTAAATATTCTGAAAATAATTATTACTTTGATATATTTGTGATCGGGATACCATTTCTATTAATTTCCCACAGTGTGATATTTCAAAGAAACATTTACATGCTTATACGTTATACATGTCCAGACAGTGATCCAGTTTGGATAGCTTGGAAACTGATTAACTTCATGGAACAGACTAGACTATCAACTCTTTGCTATTTATACACAGTTTCAATTTAATTTTGGAAATCTGTCAAGACTTTAACCATCTTAACTGAACTTTAAGACGTGAGCTTTAATGGCTGGACGGGTGCATAGTTTTTCATTGAGTTCATCGTTGAATATTACCAATACGGTAATTGAATTAAAAACATTAGTCTTTCTCAGAATAGTGTGTTATGATATTTCTCAAAAGTGGTTTCTGGAGAAAATGATGCCACTTTCTGTTTGAATTCACATAAAATGTAAGACACAAAAGACACAGGTAGAAGCTAATGATCATAGTTGGCACAGGTTCATGTTTTTATTCTTAAAAAACACCATCTGTTGGAGTTAAACGCAGACCATACATGCTAAAAAATGCCCCTAAAATTGATCAATTTTAACTGATGGCCATGTAAAGTTCATAATACTTCCTTTTGATTTCATGTCACCATGGTCTTTTCTCTAGGATCTTGTGACTGAACAATAATCATTTCTATTCTATCCTTCTAAGGCTGAAATGTTACATGTATCTAACCAAGGAGTATGTTTATTGTTATAATTGTCAATGTTTCTGTTTCACAATTTGTCCCCTCTGACATTTTTTTGATAATAACTAAAAGTAGGTACCATACACTTTTCAAAATTTAATTCATGTAAACAATGCTTTGAACACCATGGGTATACATGTATTAATGTTAAATTTAAAAAAGGAAAGTTATTATTGGCCATTTGGCTTACACAAGGTTCAATATGGCATCATTTGCTGAGAGAATTATTTTTATCTAATTGATTTTTGTAAAATTATTTTTAAGGGAGATTTGGTATTACTACATGTACACATGTATTAAATAAAACATCAGTTAAAGACAACATAAAATTGTGACGTACATTTACATCAATTCATTAACAAAGGGATTACTGTATACAGTTTATTAGCAATATTTTTGAAATACCGGTACATTTCTTATTTGAATATGAGTGATAATTACGATTCAGTGGAAGAGATTTCTAATGTAACCATGTTCTTTCTCTTCTGTTGACAACAAATGAAATAAAATGGGGTTTAACATCCTACTTTTGCACCGACTGGGCTGATTAAGACAATCATATGTCGTACAGTGTGTTATATGGGAAATATCACTAGACAGACACGTTCCCTTGGCAGGGAAACCACGCCAAAAATCCTGGTGAACTTTCTTGGCCCACACCAGGATCAAACATGGGACCTCCAAATTAGTGTACTACATTCTTACTAGCTGAGCCACTGGGACTCCCTCTGTTGAGAAAAGCAGAGTACTGTAGATGTAAAACCTCAATGCAATTTTCAACATTATTCATCATCATATTTCAAGGTAACAGTAACAGTAGACAAGTGAAGTACGGTACGTTTGTAAACTACCTTAATCCAGACTGTTAATTAGTGTTAGTAATTAAACACTGATTGATATCAACTTTCAGACTATGTCGAAATTGTGGGAATACTTGATCGAACATTCCAAAATTAAATTCACTCATCCATTGATAGGTGGCAATCAAGTAAACATGAAAATTTTGAGCGAAGAGGCATGGCTTAATTTGATATATTATCAGAATTAATAATCATAGCCTATATTTGGGACTGGCAGAAGTATCACAGAACTCAATTTCATGTCACACGATTGTAATTCCATTGATTTGGAACATTCTGCATTGACAATCAAGCACCTCTTTAGAGTTACACACAATTCCAATAAAGCTGTTCCTGGACCCATATCGTATGATAAGAAAACAAATCCCACAAATCTATACTAATATTTGTGACTGTCGTTTGTTTGTCTGTTCGGGGTTGATGGCTACACTAGGGCTGTCCCGAGGCTGAAAATTGGAATATAGAGAGAGGTATCTCGGAATGGGGAGTAACATAGGCCTGCAGCTGGTGACGATGGACTACCACCATCGATTTCAGAGTTCTGCTACTTCTGGTTCATGGGTATACCCGTGCTACGCTGGGTCAACTGCTAGTTGTATATAAATATGATGAAATGCTATAAACAAAATGTATATGGGTAAGGCCACAGTACTGGTACACAGGTTACCTCATTGAGCAAAACCCTTACATGTATAAGATATATACATTTAGTATTACCTGGACTTTTTTATTTGTATATTTAGAAAACACCCTGCAGAGATAAATATGCTAGATTTAAATGTTTCTTTAAAAGTTTAAATGAACAATTATCTATGACCATCACTGTTTTTCCACATTTTGAAAAAAAAAAACATTTTTCAATCCCAATGCATCACTCTCAAAGATAATCGAATTACACTGTTAGCTTTTATTTTCACAAATAATGTTTTTGATTTATACTATAAAAAGGCTTTCCACAGGCATATAGTATTGTGAGCATTGTACATCATATTTTGTAGAGGTGTATATATTATAAAATCTCTCCGTATTTGTTGTTCTACGTGTTTGTTTGCATTATTTATGGTTATTGACAACTTGAATTGATTGATTTCGTAGCAAAACATATGTTCACAATGAACTATCCACAATGTACAAGTTGTGTCGGACAGACTGTATCATCAGGTCAGCTCTTTGTTGTATTATAAGATAAAGGATATTAAACAACTGGTCTAACCTTTTCAAAATATTAAATATTTATATCGTGATTTTAACATGAGATTAGGTCTTCCACACTGAAATTAAGCCCACAGAACCACACAGTTTTCAAGCTCATGATTTGACTTCAAGTTTAACTATTAGTTTCTGTAAAATATAACAAACTTAAAGCAGGATTATGGAAGATTACATTGTAGATATAGAGCTGACAGTTCTCACTATAATAGTTAAAAAAAAATAGATAATGAGTAAAAGGGATATGCTGAAAATTTCAGTCAAATTACTTGATGCATAAGTGAAGAAATTCCCATTTTGATAACATTGTAACCGCGATTGTCATTGTTACAGTTCTTACAATGATAATCAATGTCTTGATTATCCATTTTTAGGGTTAATCATCGACAGCCGTTGAACCTCAGATCGGATTCCAACCTGGAAAATCAGACCCATCAAATGCCATTGAGACTTGATTATGGTCATGTCTAGCCTAAAGAAAGACCTGCAATAGGCAGATTTAGCTCTTGCATAATGTCTGTTTAATATTTTTTTGAAGTGAAAATAAATGGGGAAAATATTTTAGAAACAGTAATTTTTACTTTACTTAAGTTTACACTTATTATTGCTGGACATTTTCTCAAGTCTTGCTTAAAACTGAATTCAAAGAACATTACAAAATGTAAGGTTACTAGTACCGATACAATATATGATATTGTGTGTCTATTTTTGGTGTGAATTAATAATGTAAGTTAATAATTTAAGAGATATGTCTGTGGTGTAAAAGAAACTCATACAAATTGTTACTAAATATAGATTTTGTTCATTAATTCATTAATTGGTAAATCCAAACCAAATGACATTTGTTATATAAACATAAATGTTATTTTTATTTAAACCTAAAATAAATTTACAATTTTTCAGTAAAGTAGCCAAGTCTTATAAATAAATAGGCATATGGAAAAAAAATCTTAATTAAACTTATTGGAAAAGAATGTGTGTTAGTTGAATCAAAAGATAGGTTTAATCTTATCAGTTGTTGATCTTAACGTCTGTACCTGTCTTCCCTCATCTTCCCTATTTCTAATCAATATTGTGAAAGCAAAACATTGTTGAAAATAACTTGTCTAAGAGAACTAAATCAGATGTATTTTAGGATAAACAGAGAATTGGTATTAGCGTATTCAAATAGTAAATTGATATTAGCGTATTCAAATAGAAAATCGGTCAATTAAGCAATTCATGGTTTCTGTCTTGTGGAGGCATGTCTTCATTTATTCATGATTCATATGCTAGTTCATTACCCGGAAAATTGAATGGAAGATTCCTGCATAACAAATACTATTAAAGATTAAAATCAAAACCAGGACATATGGGAATGGTTTAGGACTGTATACTAGTTTTTGGGGGTGCACAGCTATTCATGTAACTGGGTGGTCTAAGAAACTCTAGTTATGAGCAGTTGCAGTGTCTAAAGCCAAGATTAGCTTTGTTGGGCGTTGGCTAGTGAGAATGACCTGAAATCTTGCAAATTGCAGGATATACAGGACATACAATTTAAGAAACTTCAGAATTCAGACATTTTAAATTTAAATGAAATCTACCGGTACATAGTTCTTCGTGAATTGTTTAAACAGGAAAACAATAAAATGTAAAATCTGTTTCATACCGATTCATCTAAATCATAGTTGGGTTAATGT